ATATCGGAATCCAATATCGGAATTGAAAACCTTCCGATATTACATGCCCTATAAGTAATCTATTGCCTAAATATTTTTGATCATTGATTCTCTGATCCATCAAGCAATCATTTCACAATCACTCGGCGAGAAGGCCGTATATACGTGCACAGATAACGTGTGGTATACCCCGATACAGATCAGTGACACCTAAATTTTCAGACGGCCTAGAAAAATTAATTACATCTTGTCTACAATATAATTTCACAGACAAAGATAAGAACTAGTTTGGGTATTAGTACACGTTATCTCCATCGCAACTAGTCTTGTACAAAAAGTTGTTATTTTGAATTCATTCACAAACAAACAGATAAATTAAAAACAATTCCGCAGTTCTAGGTACACTACTAAAATAATAAATATGTGTCAGGAAAACATGAAACAGTCAACAAAACTTATAACGATATCTAAACCAGTTTTACAAGTATTACAGAGAAAAAAATATTAAAATTCTTTTTAAATGCTTTATAAAATCTCAAGTAATGCAGGTAGATAAGAAAACTGCGCAGTTGTTTTATTATCATCATACTCATGCTTTATCATCTTATCGTGTCTAGATAGGTACGTGCTAAGGGATTCCGACACACACGAAGTGACGATGTCCCGTCTCACACGCATGCTGATCATGAGGACTCATGAAAATCTATCAACTAAAAATATCATCTATGACAAAATCTGCAATAGGCTACGATGACATTTCAACTCAATATAATTACTGTAATAATAATTATTCGATTATGAAAAAAATTAAAAAATATGTGTCCCAAATTTTTTATTATCTATCTGACGGACTAAATAGAATTTCGATTTCATTATACCCAGTCATCATCCCTATTCATTGGGATTTCATCAGAATCTCCAAAATTTCACAATATTAAATGAAACTAGGGTTTTCTTATTTGTGTTTAAGAGAGCAGCTGTAAGTTCTATCCATGTTACCTAATTTACCAAAAAATATTAAAATACAGACAAAGATTTTTTTTAAACATGGCTTGTTTACATATTGCGGACATAATTAAAGTTGTTGTGTACTTGGATAATAACATTTATAAGAGTAGAGATTTAATTGATTGCCAAAGACAGAAAAGAGCATAATTGCATAACAAAACTTATGTGGTGAAACCCCTCTCAGTAAACCAAACATAAACAAAATAATGTTAAGAATGTAGAATTTCGCGTTTGAATTTCAGAAGCAAATCGCACGGCACGGCCGCGGAAAACCAAAGTCGGGCTTAAATTGAGTTTATTTAATGTATCTCAAGTTCCTGAGTCCATAAAAGGACTACAAAAGGACCAAGATTACATCACAATTTGTCCAAGACCATATAAAATATTATGATGAATTAAGACTTCAAAATAGCATACTGTAAAGATAACCAGTAAAAGGTCGGTCTACACCGACGCGCGTATCAGTCACCTATTGAACCGCGGACTATCGTACCGGTAATAACTGGACGGCAGCCGCGGCAGGCGGCTTCTGATAATGCTTCCACATGCTATCACACAAAACACGCTCAGAACTGCGTAGAACAAATGCACGCCATTTTACTCCTTATTGCCAACAAATTATCAATGTTTAATATATCGAAATCTTGACGTATTAATAAATTTTCCATAAACTGCCCAAAACAATGCAAGTTGCGATTTTTATCGATAAAGATAATGGTACGAAAGGCAGCGTGTTCGCGGGGGACTCGGGCGCTTATCAGCCGTCGGCGTTGTCAGTCTGAGACGATTTATAAGTAGCCGGCGCGAGTGCCCGCCACCACTGTCCGTATAGCGATCGCGCAGTGACCACTGCTTGTGGAGCTTAATACATTTTTGGTGATTAGTGTTGAAATAATGTTAGTATATCCGCAATGGAGGCCCGACGCGGCCAACGGCGGGTGCAGAGTCCAACGATGGATGTCTGCGGAGCGTTTCGCGCCTTATTTAGCGAGGCCTGTGGTCCTTCCTCCTCTACCACCACAGGTAATAATCAACCGCAAGGTTTTTTATTTATTTTAGTATTTTTTTATTACAAATAAGCTCAACCCTTATGCAGTGTTACATGGATAGATTTTTTTTATGTATTGTATAATTTTAAAGATAGGTACAAAACATGCTGACAGGGATCATGTAACAATCATTATCAGATGCATATTTATTTAGCATCTCATAAGAGATGTAGGAATAATTCGTAATTAAAAGTTTTTCTTTTCAATTATGTATATTTCTATGCTTGTTGCGTGACAGGTAAACTAATTAAAAGTTATTCTGTTTTTTTTAGTTATCCGTGGTTTTTTAAGTACTTAGCTCATTTTTTAAGGGTTTTAATAATTTAGTTAGGACAAAGTCTAAATAGCATCATCTGAACCTTATCTCTTCTTTCCAGTTGGAAGACGAGGACTCATCGGGCGGGTCGTCCCCCGAACGCAACCCTATCGAGTCCGACGAGACCGCGTGCAGATGGCGCGGCTGCGGCGAGCGGTTCGCGAGTATCGCGCGTCTTTCCGCGCACGTCGCGAGGGCGCATGCTCACGCGCACAGCGATGGGCTGTTTTACTGCGGGTGGAGGGACTGCGCCCGCCCGCTTAGGGGGTTCAATGCTCGGTTAGTATTTCATATTGTTATTATTTAGTAAAGTAAAAAAAAAAATATTTTCGCTCACTTCTCATTAGTGTAAAAGTAAAAAAAAATACAGTTCAATAGTTCAATGGAAATCATAAATTGGACATTTTACATGGCACCATCAAGTAATATAAAACTATCTTGAGGTCATAAATCAATGAATTATTTTTACTCTTGCCAAAGTGTTCATTTAATTTTTTTTTAATAATTTTTGAGAAAATTCGAAGACGAGAGTTTTACAATTTTTATGTTTATTTAACAGGTACAAAATGCTAGTACACGTGCGCACACACACGAATGAGCGACCTCACACTTGCAACCAATGCAACAAAAGCTTCTCCAGGGCAGAAAACTTGAAGATTCACCTGAGATCACACTCTGGAGAGAAACCCTACGTTTGCCCATATGAGGTAAGAATTGTTTTGTTGTCATGTCTTTGTTATTTTCATTGACTCATAATTTTATTACAAGATAGACAAGCTTATTAAACGTTAATTAACTTTATATTAAGATTAACGGTGAACTACTGGAGTAATTATCGAGTAATTAGACGTTAATTAAAAGTACTAATTACAAATGTTAATCCACGAACTACGCACGCAGACGCAAAAACATAACGGCGTTTTTTTGTTGACAGGGCTGCGGTAAAGCGTACTCAAACTCAAGCGACCGTTTCAAGCACACGCGGACTCACACAGTGGATAAGCCATACTTCTGCAAAGTCCCCGGCTGCAACAAACGTTACACTGATCCTTCCAGTCTTAGAAAACACGTGAAGACTTACAAACACTTCGCCACAGAAGAGCCTATCCGAAGGGAATCTTCAGACGAGGTTCAGAGTCCTGAGGCGTACTCCCCACGAACAGAAAACTCTTCTTATCCGAACAACGAGCCTACATCACCTCTACACGCAGGCTACAGTCCACAAAGACCTGTCGTATCTCCGACCTACCACCCAATTATAAATCTAAGGGACACCACACCAGTATACACACCTGTACCTGTCGAGCCAGTTACTTACATAGAACCCATGTACCCTCTGAGAATTCCGTCCAACGAAATGTCCTACCTAGAATATACACAGATGTACGAGCACTCTTACAGAACGTATTACTCGAGCAGTCTTGGTTATCCGCTCTATAGACAGAATGTGAGCGAGAAAGCCTACACTTATGAAGACCAGATACAGTATGATGACATCACAGTAAATGAAGTGAACCATGCAGAAAGGTATACGCAGAAAAACGAAGAAATGCCTCTAAATCTAATCTGCCCCAAGCAAAGAATAGAATGCAAACCTATCGAGGAACTAGTAAGACATACAGACTTGCCATTAGATTTAAGTACTAAAAGTTAAATTAAGATAAATAAACTATATATTTATAAACTAATAAGTGTTTCTCTACCTGTGTGTGTTTGTTAAATTTCATTCACTTTACAAAGAAATGCAACATTATGGATCCTACAACACTCCAACTTTCCCCAGGGGAACATACTTAGCCTTCACTGGTTGGGTTTTATTGCGAGATAATGACGAAACAATTCTGACTTGATTGATAGAACACAGACAAATTGTTCTAGATAGGTTTAAGTCTATTATTACCAGAATCACACATAACGAATTATTTATCGCCTATCTATCACAGATAAAACTGTATTTCCATTATGATAAAATTGACTACGATGAAGGTGCACAAATTGTAATGATGACTAAAATAATTTTATCTGCTACGTAATTCTAACTCGTCATTTAGCTCGTCATCTAACACATCGCGAATTGAAATAGAAGACATGATTATAATTACATATTCATCTATTGATAAGATAATAATTAATTTATGATGGCACACAGTACTTCTTCTCTAATACTTCATCGTCATAATAACGCTGATGTATCATCACCTCATCAAAAATAATCATAATTAATTATATTATGTAAAGCTTAAAGTTGTCATTTGGAAATCAAAAATATCTTTGAATTTTAGAATATTATTTTTATTTAATCATCAACGTAATGTTTACCACATGCAAAATTAATTTCATAATAACTTTATCATACACTGGCTTGTATCGGAATACATACGATGTCAACTTAGGAGCCATGCTCAAAGGAGTGCCCACTTATTTATCATTTAAATCACAAAAATGTATACGTGATTTCTTAGTCTCTGAACACTTTTCGATCATAACTATGCGTGGTCCTTAGCGTGTGTTCAACAACTAGCACCAATAGTACGACCCAAAACCTTATAGTGCGACTACACATGGCGAATTTTACACAAATTACCAATACTTGACGTTCCCGTGGCATGATGGCGACTTAAAGGTTCTAATTAGATTTGTTTTAAGACATGGCTACAGACATAAATTAAAACTCATTTTCAGTGTACTAAAAGTATACTTAATTCAGATAATCTTACCTTTGATTTCAATGTGAAATTATCAATAAAGGCGTTTTGAAGTACATATAATAAAATTCACTGATACAATTCCAAAATTTTATACTCATGTAGTTGTTTGTATCTTGTCGTCGCCAATATCGAGTTCGCCACGTGGCAACGTGTAGCTTTAACACCATGTGTAATCTCAAAGCGCAAAACACACTGAGGCGGTACGATGCACCACGCCACGCAGAAACCAGCTGCGGTTGCGTATCAGGTGAGGCGTAGACGATGCGAAAGGAGACTAGACGTGTAATAAGCAATCAAAAGAATTTCGTTATTGAAACGTCTCGTCTCCAAGTGGAAACGGTTGAGCAGAATTGCACCTCCTTTTAATGGAAATAAATGTCTCTCGTCTCCGCTTTGATGAAAAACGGCCCTAATCGGGACGAAACGGAGCGGGAATAAAGACACCTTTTAGAAAAATAAGAATTATTCATGTATCTCCGCTGAACTCTCAAAAAGATAAAAACTCTCCGCATATTTCCACTCCGCTCTGCTTTGGTGGAAATAGCATGCGCATCTCGCCTCGTCTCCACTTTGGTAAAAACGTCTCTCAGATAGAGAATTTTCTACACATCTCGCCTCTACCTCGTTGCAAACCGGTCCTCAGTGTGTTCAACTCTCAAGCAGTTATAAGTGCGTTTAGGGCCTACTGTTTAGTCGGCGCTAGGCGCGAACAAGCCGCGCCATGCCTTCGGAGATCGCGTTGAGAGCGGCGAGATCCTGGCGCGCTGTATCGAGCAGATGCGCCATGCCGCGCTGCTGCATCGTCAGGAATTGCTTCACGTCTTCTTGCGCGCCTAAAAAGTTAACAAATTATAAATAAATGAAATATTCTTATCCGCGGGTGTCGTAAGAGGCGACTTAGGGACTACACATCAAACAGAGAATGGGCAGCAGCGCTCTCTGAAAAACATCAATCTTTTAAACTGCGATCTCCAACCCGCCTGCCAAGCGTGGAGATTATGGCAAAACCCTCCACTATAGTGGAGGAGGCTCATAGTCCAGCAGTGGACTGTAAAGGGCTGTTGATGATGATGAAATATTCTTAGAAAATTTAAATTTTACACTGCGCCATCTAGTCCTAAACTGAGCTAAGCATGCGCCATGAGTAGCGGACAACGGATATAAACATACTAAACACTACTTTTTTACTACAATAATTGCAATATTATAAATTATTTGCCAAAATACCACACGATTTTCAAAATAATGATGGAAAAATTGACAATGGAAAGAGAGGTAGGAGTGATAAATCGTCCATTCATGAGAAAGTACTTTTTTAAATTATAAGAATTAATTGAAAAATATATCAGCAGTCAACACCTATTGCCAATAAATACAGACAGACGTTTCAATCAATGTTTCAAACATGGAAAACATAATAAAGTATGTAGTTTTTACCTGGATCTAGCTGGTAGCGTTCTTGAGATGCGCCCGCGCTGGCGCTGCGCTGCAGCCTAACCGCGCAGAGCAGCTCATTCAGGCGACCCTACAGAAAATAAAAATATTACATAAAATACCTCAAGTTTTACTGAAAAAATGTACTTGAGAATAAGAAGAAAATTCAAAACGTTTCGAGATTAATATTAGAGAAGAGAGGTAACTGATCAAGGTGTTTTTTTTCTATTCCTTTTTCAAGCTGGCATCAATCAAAGAAACGAAGGTCGAAAAATTTTGTGAATTTATTTTCCAATAATTTCTAGATAATACATTTCTATTGCTGGTGACAATTAGAACTGTAATCTTAATTACTTAACAACAGTATAGTCAAGTAGACAAATAGTGCGGTAATTAATCTATCATCGATCACAGAGAGCGGCTGCGTCCCTGCCATATCCACCTGCCGAACCGGTACCGACCGGATACAGTGATAACCGGGCCTAACGGCAGCCGCTGATGTTCGATATTACGCGTCCGTCGCCACCAAATGAGTCTAAGGCCACGCACTACAATCATGACCACACTGCACCGCGTGTTACCCAAATTACAGCTTAGTGTCACAGGCGTGAGCACACAGCGAGCTAAGCTGACATTTATTATGAGTAATTACTGATACAATTGATTAAGAACAGTTACATACACCATTTTAAACGTATAGTTAAGGCTTTGCATTCAGGCAAACAAATTATGTGGCTCCTAATTGGAACATAGTTGCCAATATTGGATAACTGTTAGCATTAAAAAATAATAATCCAACTAGACTTAACTAACAAGTCAGTCAATTAAGTTGGATAAAAGTTAGTCAATAGTAGAACATAATAAGGACGTCAAAAACTTCAAATTGCTTTACAAAATGTAGGAATTGGTAGAGTTTTGACATTCCATAAAAAATGACAATTAACTGGTGGTCACTTACGTTTGTGGATGGCCCGCTAATGCCACGAGCACTCAGATTACACTTGTCCCTAATACACTAACAGATAATTACTAGTTTTCCTACCACATTAGAGGTAATGGTGTTTTAATCATTGCAACGTTACGTGTGACACATCTTTTGCCGTTAGGAAGCGATTAACTTATGGTTATTTTTAGTGGTTGTACCTAATTAACACGAGCCGTGTTATGAAACTATACTTAAGTATGAATGTTTTACTGAATCGAGTTTGAGTTTCGTTTCATAAAATAAAGGTCTGCTTCAGGAGTATAAAATTATTGTAAACTACATGTTTAAATACCTACGTAATAGAGTTTATACAAAATCATAAAACTTCAAGCATGACTATTGACTATAGTTTTAGTGATTTTTTCCCTCAATATTGTAGTCAACGTATTCGACTGCAATATTGCATTACAACATACAAAATCATACTGACTTAGTTCAGAATTTCAGATGCACCCAGATACAACTATTAACCTCTTCAAAACAATGTCGATGGTATTCCAATATCATATGGGATTTGTAACTACTTAATGTTATATGTATTTGCATAATGTGCCTCTTTCAAATGCATCGATATAAGCCTACAAAGCCATGCTTATTATCAGAAGATCATTAGATATTTCAGTCTTCAGCTTTAAAAGTATATAACACAACAAGCAGACAATAATAAATGCTAAGTAAATTTTACTTGCCATTACCATTATAACATTGTTGTCTCGCTATGTCATGTGAGAAACATAAAAGATATCAAATATACCAAACACAAGTAACAAGTAAGAACCAGTTTGGGGATATAATACATTGTTTGAACAACGATAATAACGTTGTTTAGTAACAGCATCTTAATTACTGTTAGTTTTATTATACTGTTATAGATCATTAATTTAACGTTGACGATCAAAAATCCCACCTGCTGCATGAATGACGTTATTTTATAACTGTCAATAATTAATTGACTGACTTAACTAAACCTTAGCACATAATTAATATTATAAAACATGTAGAATGGCTAATTTAATTTTCTCAATATCCTCCAGCTACGCTGTAATGAATGCTATTGAAAATTAACCAATTAATTAATTGATCAAAACGAATTCCATATTTTACCCATTTCAGGTTTCATGGTGCATTTCATGATCACGGTACAGTAACATGATAGAAAATATTCAATTATTATGTCCGTTACTACAGGTGTTATAAATAGACGCTTACCTACCTATATTGATATACAAAAAACCGTCTGGTGTCTAGAGATAAGACCGTGATAACGGAACACGCATAGGTCGAGTGTACCAGTGTACTATGGGCAGACAAGGACATCTCTATAGTAATCTACAGCCTTAATAATCCGATAGGTGTTGTGGTATCACGTAATTTAAAGAATGATGCAGTTAAAATGACAGGTCATCCTGGATTATGAATCTTGATGAATTATGTCATTGATTTGTCCTTTTTGATGAGAACTTATTATAGCTAACAATCATTTATTGTAATTTTCTTAATACGTCTGAAGAATATGTTAAAACTTCAGCTTGAGTTATAAATTTAGGTTCTATTTAGAGACTTTTAGTTAGTTAGTTTCAACAGAACATGTCATCATCAAAGTTCAACATCTTATATCGGTCCTCATATATCTTTGAAGAGCTCTAGACAGAGCGTCTATGACACTATTATCTTGAAACACATACTTGCTTGATTACATAGTAACATACCTGATGATGATGATGATGATGATGTAACATACCTACTCTATCATCAAAGACATAAATATTATCTTGAAAAAATCAAGGTGTCATTACCCACGGGCACATTAGTTGTGGCCGGACAAAACATGCGTAGCTTTAGGCAGTAAATTTTGAACTTGAAAAAGTAGCTTCAGAAAAAACAGCAGCTAAATTTAGTACATGTGGTCCAAAGCTTACGAAATACCGTTTAGTTAACTATCTACCAACAATACCAACATTTCTAGTTCCATCCAGGTCCAGTATAGGACATAAACGTTGTTTGCAAAATTAAGTTTTTAAATTGACTGAAGACATATTGTTTTTATTAAAGCTAATGTATTAAACGCTATGAAATACAGAAATTCACGTAAGATAAATGTTTTGTGTTCACACACCATCCTTCTTCAAGACTGCACACCAGCAGCAAACTACGTTTTTAGTAAACTACTCATATTAATTAACCCATTCGCGTATCTAGGGTATTTTTCATGGGGGCCAGGCCCCCTGATGTATGGATACGAGGGGAGGAATAGTATCATAGCTCATGGTGAGTAATAATCTTCGAATCGTTAGACCAACATTCAATCTATCTATCGATCGATTATGTGCTCAACAGCACCACTGATTGGCTAGTGACAGGACCTTACTCTCCGGTGGCGTCATCCAGTTAAGTAAAAATGTTATAGTCTCTTTACCGCTTCAGCGCTCACAAGTCTGTCTTATTACTGTATTTGCCACTAGCCAGTAATACACTCAACATCAAATAAATCGCACCTTCCGCGACGCGAACTTTAAAGATTTTTTTTCTTACACAATCATGGCGCCCCAACAATATTGGTGTTATTTGAAAAGCCAATAAATATCCTTAAAGAAAAACACATTTAATTTCTTAATAAATGATTAAAATATACCAAAATGTGACTTGAAAAAAGATCTCACTTTGGGCTCACCTCTGGGATCAATTAGACCAATTTTTATGGTTATAAAACCAAATGATGATCTCACGTGTCCTCTTTAACAGATGGAAAGCGATTATTCCCAACTTAACAGTTTTATAGCCATAAAAATTGGCTCAAGCGTAACTACCTATTTTTTGAAGAAGTGACTTCGGATCCTTCTAAAAACACATTTTGGGGTAAAAACCTTTCCTTTAATGAAATGAAGTTTAGAACTAGGCTTTTAAATGGTGCCAATATTGATGGGAAGCGGGGATGCATACGTTTGAAAGTGCTTGTCGAGGGAGGTGCGATTTATTTGATGTCGAGTGCGTCCTTGCTCTACAATGGCGCCAAACCGGTTTTATTTATTTAATGCACAACTACAGACAACAAACAATAACAATACATTTAACACAACATAACACAATATTAAGTCTGAGCTCTAAAGCGATAGCCCTCATTGGTGACGTCATAGATTGTCCTTTGAAGAGTTTATTTATTTATTTATAGAACTTTATAGCACAATAAAAATCATACAATGGGTGGACTTAATGCCGTTTAAGCGTTCTCCTCCAGTCAACCCCTGAAGAGTTGCAGTTTGACAACTCATAAGTTTATCGTTTTAGTAAATGTGTCAACTACCCTATTATTATAGTATTACGCTAAAGCATCTGGTTGATGTACTCACATTGTATAGCGGCGGCGCGGCAAGTTGTGAGGCTAACTCATGAAGGCGCGCCCGCGCCGCTTCTTCTTCGGGGCTAAGCGCCACTCCCACGTGATTCAGCGTCTCTTGGCGTGCTATCACCTGTCAGAAAAAAAGCTTTAAAACTAACGTAATACAGCGGGTCTAGACAAAGTGCAAATTATAATCGCAAACCAATCGAAAAGTGGTCGAAAAGGACTTTTTTGTATGGAGTTTTGACGTATTCGTTTTTCGATTCGATCAAAAAGTACGTTTTGTCTAGGGGGGCAGGGCTCTATTACATGACTACAAGATCAGAATCAGAAATGATATATGTTAGAGGACTAAAGTAACCAACGTAACCCACTGAAATGCCAAACTTACGTGGACTGTCAGGTTTTGGCATCTCAGCTATGCCCCGCCCCAGAGTCGAACTGATAGGCTTTGGAGCAGATACTATTTCGGAGTAACCCTCAGCCCTGAATAACATGACTGATCTAAACCAGTCTTAGGTTATACCAGAGTAAATACAAATGAGTAGGTCATCTTCATAGTCTACTCGAAGTATGTTTGTATGTGAGCGCGCCAATACGTATGCGGCGCGCACGCACACACTGACAAATTTAGTGTGGATTAGCGGGGAGCCAGTCGTGGTTGCGCCGAATTTTGTCAGTGTGTGCGTGCGCGCCGCATACGTATATTGGCGCGCTCACATACAAACCGCGCTCGGTGCGTTTCTATGAAGATGACCTACTCATTTGGATTTACTCTGGTTATACGGACTGTTCGCGCACGGGCAACTGGCCTTGGAGCGGGCGACGTGGTGAAAGGTGCCGGGAGCGACGACGGCGGCGCGTGAAGGCGATCGCACACTTGGCCACCGAGCGGCGCGCACGACTCATACTTACGCATAGCACATTCATTGTTTACCTATTATATTTGTTTTTACATTCAAATTACAATAACTTTAATACAGTCCACTCTCGTTATTATTCAAGACCTGAGGCTCAAACATGGATGATAACCAAGTTTAAGTACTGCCAAGTGGCTAATTGGGCCAAATTCAGCTCTCAGGCAGTTCTCATACCAGAAAAGAGTAAAACACAGTTTAACTTACTTGTAACAAAGTGTGTCTTAACCCATGCAGCCTTGCAGCCAATTGCGACAGCCGGGCGGCGGCGGCGGCTCTCCTAGTGCGAAGCTCGCCCAAAGTATCGCTCGCTTTACGCAGCCAACTGGCCTGCAAGCCGGCTTGCTCAGCTTGACAACTTGCGCGGAATTTTATCTATAAACACCATTAAAAACGTTACAATGAGGGCTATCGTTTTTATACTTAACAGTTGGCACCCCTGGCGATTGACAGGACCTTACTCTACAGTGGCGTCATCTTGATGAGTGCAAATGCGATAGTCCTCCTACCACTTTAGCGCTCACCAGTTGGTGCCACTGTCTTCGCTACTAGCAAGTAACAGGACCTTACTCTACAGTGGTGCTAACTGGTGAGCGCTAAAACGATAGCCCTCATTGAAGACAATCTAACATAACAGTGAAATAAACTTTTTTTTCATTCAGTGACATTGAGTCATTTCATTGATTGTATTCAGTGACACATTAGATTAGGTACTCTTTTGAGTGATAAAATAAACATACCTCGGAAAAACCAATGATAGGCACAGGAATGTAGTTTTCAGGATCAGGATTGTCTGCTTGTGCTTGCTTCCAAAGTCGCATGTCCATTCCTGATGATCATAGCATACATATCATTAATTTACTTTAAAAATTCAAGGGCCGTTGTTGTGGAAGTCCTTGGGGGAGGCCTTTGTCCCTTTGTCCAGCTTTGGACGTCATTTGATTTACACGAATGAACGAAGGAAATTTAAAAATTAATAATATACTTACACTAACTTAAAACTAGCAATGTGGTATTAGGGTTTAGGGCGCATGCACGCGGTAGACGTGCGTTTTACCATTGCGCATGAATGCGCTCCGAATCTTGGAAAAATCAGATATACTTTTACACCAATAACATCACGTACACAGCTCTATCGGATTATAACACTCTCGACGGTGCCTGATAGAACCCCCACTAAGAGTAGGCCCACACCGTTGATTTTTAGTTGGCCGATAGTTGTGCCCCATTTTAAATTGTATGAAGAATCGACCAAATCGAATCGGCGTAGTGTGCGCACTCCCATACATGCCCATACCGATCAACTGCCCGACTAAACTATCGGCCGACGAAAAATCAACGGTGTGCGCCTACTCTAAGAGTCGAGTGACAGCGTGACGTTAGAGCTACCGGCACCGTTCAAAGACAAAGTCAAAATTTATTTATTTGTATGGACTATTTAAATGTACATACTTGCAAATTATCAAATATTTGTATATACTACACATCTCTACTACATGTCTTATAATCTTTTTACCCTACCAGCGCTTCGAGACCAAAATTTGACAAGTGCTCAGAATAAGCGCCGCGAATAGAAACATCAGTAGTAGGTATATTATTGATTCAGGAGCAGTCATCTGAATTTACCACGCATTCTTGTATTCAAAAACTAATTTCTTGTTTCACCAAACTTCAAAATACCTGGCGGCGGCGTCTGCAGGTAGTTTTGCAGCATCTGCGGCGAGGGCCGGGTGACGGGCGTGACGGCGGAGCAGCCGGCGCCGGCGAGCGCGGTGCGAGCGGCGCCCGCGTTCAAAAACGCAGCTAACTCTGACGCGGACACGTGGGAACCCCCGGCGTTCTTGTCCACGACGAATATCACCACCTGAAGGGTTATAATGAGGGCTATCGTTTTTATACTTAACAGTTGGCACCCCTGGCGATTGACAGGACCTTACTCTACAGTGGCGCCATCTTGATGAGTGCAAATGCGATAGTCCTCCTACCACTTTCGCGCTCACCAGTTGGTGCCACTGTCTTCGCTACTAGCAAGTGACAGGACCTTACTCCACAGTGACGCTAACTGGTGAGCGCTAAAACGATAGCCCTCATTGGTTGGCAAACTCTCAGATCATAGAAAGGAATAGATGTGAAACGGGGGCGTGGCGCGTGTCTCCGCGATATGCCCAGAAACGAACATCGCCCGCGACGCCAGGTTAGTCGCGATTCAGTCGTACTGAGGAAATGTTCTCCGATATTGTTGGATAATGCGTCGTAACGTGCAATAACATAAGTGAAACGAAGAACTACAGGAACAATGAAGTCATTTACCACATGTAAGTATTGCAAATCCATTGGTATTTTGCTTATAAATAAAAAAAACTAAACATTTTTACGAACGAATTCAGTTCCGTGACATTTTCTGCGATATCGAAATTAGTGGTGATAAAAATTCAAACACGTTGTACATTGACGATTTAGTTAGCAACCACTTTATGTCATGCGTAACTACTGCGCAATGTATTTTATTTCTTCCGATATCCACTGACGCGTGAAAATACACAGTACGGCCGCATGTGCCGGTCGTAACATAGTGCAGGGCTCGTGTTCTAATACGGTTTCCTATTATCGATAAATAGAAGTAAATTATTATTTTCTATTTTCTAATTTTGAATGAAAAAATCATGAGTTGCTTGCGATTTTTAAGTTTTTACAAAAACAATAACAATAGTAGAAGGGATTAGTAACTGTCAACTATGTAATTACTATAAGAGCTAGTTGAAAGCCTAATATAGGCATTATTTTTGATAAACATAGGCGGTACGAATTTCGCCATAATTAAAAAGTTAATGCGCGATAGTAGTTAATAATAATTACAGTGATCCTGTTATTATTATTAAAGTAAATAATAATATATTACCAATATTGTAAATACTGGTAAAAATCGCAAGTACCTACTTAACCCATGACTTTTCATACAAACTTTGTCAGTCTATAACTTCTATACTCCATCGATAACGACATTGAGCTTTGGTTGGGGTAAATTAATATAAGGTAACTTCATTTAGTCCCAATAATTGATTCTGAGTTTTTCGTCCATACAAAATGGAACTGACTCCTTTATGCAAAAATCGTTAAAGAACATAATAATAACGTATAATAATAAAAAGGTTTTCATACAAGCATTTTTTAAACCAATTTTGAGCCTTGCCCCCAGGATTTAAAGTATCGATATCTTATCGACTCCATTTTATCTTTCTTCTCTCTAATTGCTTTTTTCAAAGTGTGCGTCACGTCACGCGGCCATTGATTGGCCATAAGGCACGCCTTCTGGCCAATCACAGCACTTTTAAGCCGGTTGCACATGTTGTCGTAGACTCTCAGTCGCTTTGTTTTTACACAGTTGAATGTGTGTGTGGGAGCTGTGGTGGGGGAAATGTGGGGTCACTGGTTCTCGTTGTAGTTACGCGCGACTTAATATCTATTCTCTTTCTATGATCTGAGGGCAAACTGCAAAACAATGAGGGCTACGGAATTTGCACTCGCCAGATGGCACTACAACCATAGCCACTAAGGTCATGTTTGTTTGACAAACTGAAAAGAATAGCGCTATGTGTTTACGCTCACCAGTTGACCACATTGTCGTAGCTGCTACTAAGGTCATTTAACAAACTACAGAATAGTTAGGGCTACGAAATTTGCACCACAATCGCTACTACTAGGGTCTTTGAATAACAAACTGCGAAACAATAGGTGGTGGTGGTGATAATGGTTAGATTAACTAAAATGTGTAGAGAAGCTACTTTATAACAATAAAAATTTTGGTTCTTCCTTACCTGACTTTTGTTTTCTAAAACATTTTTCACTGCATCAATGTTAACAGTGAGGTTCGGTTTATTACCCAACAAACCAGATAGTGATGTGATGAGTGCTTGCTGATTATTCCTGAAAAACAATTGAAATATTTTCAAAATTTAATTAAATATACATAGATAAATGATACAATTCCTTGTTTAGAGTCAAAGGCAATCTCATTATCTCCTATGACACTCAGTGGCGTAACTATAGGGTGACAGGGCTGGCAAAATGCCCCCGTCCCTAGTCCCTAATCGCTTCAGGGCGACGATACCGAGGCCCCCCGGAAAAAAAAGCCCTAGAATTTGCCACGGGCCTCGGATGGTATAGTTACGCCACTGATGACACTATTTGTCATTTTATAATGAAAGAAAAGTCACTCACTTGATTTCTTGTTCTGTCTTGTTGAACGTCAAAGCAACGTGACCTTCCTTGTCTTCCCGACCGCCCAGTCTTGAATACCCCACTGCTTTGAACCGACATAATGGGTTCTGCTCATTCAGCTCCAGTGCTGGAGCATTCCGACTATAGTAAGCTTGTCCTGAAACGTTTCAAAGGTAACATTGGAACATAGAATTTATTATTACATAGTAAGGCGGTTATCACACTGCGCCGCGCTCCGCCGCGAGCGCGTGATTTCATATAAAAAATCCCGCGCGCAGACGCGTTGTCAGTGTGTTGTGCCGCGCGTGTTTTCTATACAAACTGAGGTACTTACATACAATGATTACATCTGTCGTCCCGCGTACCGCGGCGGAGCGAGGCGCAGTGTGATAACCGCCTAAAGTCGACAGCACATTAGGTATACTTTTTGGTCGCAAAAAAGCATCTATTACCTACAACTACTTAAGATTACAGCTGGTGAGTGTCAAGTTTACACAAAAATAAATCGTAGTGACTGAGTTTCTTCTTCTCATCACTGACCCACTTGTCCCAAATCAGTAGCTCATTTTCATGTCTTTTTCCACGGGATTTATGCCGACCGACGATAGGTATATCGACAGAGTTAATACTAATAAAAATGAGCTATTATTTAATACATGTCACATAGACACTGCTTTATGTCAAAAGCTAGCAGTATAAAGATTTTTAAAGAAAACAAGTGGCTCATACCAGTGCCCCACTGAGCCTGCAAGAGGTTCCACTTGGCTAGCACCTGGTCGCGCTCATCCCCGAAGACGTTGCAGTTGAACACCGCCGCGATAAGCGCCTCGTGCGCCGACGCGGGCCCGGCCGGCTGCTGCTGCTGTTGCTGCTGCTAGAATATAACAGTATTATTTGTTCTACTGAGTCCACCATAGTCCAGTGTACTCGCGACGCCTCTAACCGTCAGAAATGGAAGCACAGCATCAGGAGATTTACCCTCGGAAATTGTCACATAATATCGAACACTCCGCCGTGTACCTCGTCAACGCAACCACGACCACTGACAAGAGTGCCCGACTAAGAGATCGAGTTGTAGTTTCAACCAAAATTGACCAAAATATAATAAAACACAAACAAAAAACATGGCAAACTTTAATTACCATGAGCATTCTAACATTGCTAATTTGGACCGATTTATCCTGCCCTCTGAAGTATTGTATTTTTTATTCTTTTGCAAATAATCAGGTTGATTTAATTAAATAACAAATACAAAAGTTATTTTGCACTGGGTTGTCTCTCACTTGGGAATCTTCAGAAGCTCCAAGTCTCAGTCTCTTAACACAAATTTTGGTACACATCACTGATGAACCAAAAACAATTTTATATTTTTTATACCTGAGGCTGTCCAAACGTGTTGGTTCCAAGACCAGCGCCGAACCCACCAAACCCAGTGGTAGCTGGTTTAGTTCCAAATGCAGAACCAAATGTTGATCCAGTACCAAATGTTGAAGTGCCAAATGTGTTGGAGCCAAGCGTGTTGGAACCAAGTGTGTTGGTACCAAATGTTGGGGCTGTACTGCCGAAAGTAGAAGTACCAGCTCCGAAAGTTGTACCTGTTCCAAATGTGTTGGTACCAAATCCACCAGTTCCAAAGCCTGTAAACAAAACACAATATATGTTACATTGATGCTAGTTAAAAGGTATAGATGATAGATAAAATACACTTTAGTCACACAAGACAAGAAAACAAAAAGAATGAAATATACAAAAGATACAGCACAAGATCATTAAAATTATAGATTGCATTATTAAGAGCAAGGTAATTTAATAAAAAGAAGTTTTAGCTTTTTTTTTTTGTTTAACAGCTATTCTGGTTCCATGAAGTCCCAGTATCACTGACCAGTACTAATCTATTGTGATCGCCACTATTTTAATTACAATTCGCCTCCGAGTACTAGCTTACCAGGAAAAGCGATATTTTTTTATAATAATCACTTACTTCACAGTTGCAAAATTAGCAGACTACGTTACCTGTTGCAGGTTTAGATGTTGTATTTCCAAAGCCAGTTCCACCAAATAATGATGGTGCCGTAGACGCTGGAGCTGTCCCTAAGCCTCCAAAAGGTGCAGCTGCATACAAAATAAAATAAAATAAATCCTACTAATCTACACTAATATTAAAAAGAGGAAAACTTTGTTTGTTTGTTTGGTTGTAATGAATAGGCTCAAAAACTACTGGACCCTTTTTTAAAAATTCTTTCACCATTCGAAAGCTACATTATCCACGAGTAACATAGGCCAAATTCTTATTTTGGAAAAAAATAGGGTTCCGTGAAATATGTAGATAATGTAGTCCACGCGCGCGAAGCCGCGGGCGGAAAGCTAGTAATTTATAAAGGTGAAAGTTAGTGTGGATGTTTGTTACTCTTTCACGCAAAAACTACTGAACAGATTTGGTTGAAACTTTAAAGTATTATTATTTGTAACCCAGATTAACATATAGGCTATAAATTTATGTGAATCTGTGGCATTAAATTTCAGGCAGATGAAGCCGCGAGCAATAGTAATTAAATTTAGTTTAGTTAATTAAAATTTACACTTCATTTTCTGGGTACTAAGCTCTATTTAGTTTTTAAAGGAACTTGTAGCTTGTAGATCAGATAATAAAGCCAAAACAGAATGGATGTGACTTAGAGCATAGTATTCCAGTAATTAACTATTACACCAGAAAGCCTTGAATTTAAGTATTATTTAAACATTATGCAGTCTTTTTAAAAGTCGATAAATGACAGTATCAAAAGAAAAATATACCTGTACTAGTTGCTCCCAATGAACCAAAGCCAGAGGAAGTTGTGGAGGTTCCAAAACTGAATCCAGCGTTTGAGGTAGTGGCAGTATTAGTACTCCCAAATGAGAATGTTGCTATAACATACACAAACATAAGCCATAAGATCTAAACCTTTTAGAAAAATACATATAATTAATTGTCAAACTTTAAGAGTCAGTTGTAGTTAAAGGGATGTACTCAGACGCAAGCACAAGAACTAAATAAATAGTAACAAAAATACCTCAATAACTAGTGCGCAACGGGACCAACTTGATGCCATTAGCAACATTTAACATTATTGTGACTAAGTCAAAGTTTTGGGAAAATAACTATACATTATGCAAACTTACGTTTAGCTGCAGAGCCGAAAGGGGCACTCTGGGTGGTACCTGTAGAAGCACCAAAAGAAAAAGCCATATCGGCCTAACGATATCTCTTGTTTATAAACTATGTATCATAACCTCAAAACACTGCAATATTGAAATTCTTGCCGCAACTCTTTGCAGCGTAGAAAGGTGACCGAAACTGACCAATAAATTGAATTATGGAATACTTTTAATTACATGTGTATAGAATAAATAATTTCGATCAAAAATTCAGAATGTATCGTCGGTACCAGGCTGTCAGTCAGCACACAGATTAGAGAGTATGTCTAAGTCAGCACCATAGAGAAAAGTAATACATGGTCAGCACCTGTCAATCGTAGCTTTTTTAATTATTTTTATAAAATTTGACATTTATTTCACGGCTCTGGATACAATACCACTAGTAGATGATCGTATCGTATCGTACCCACATGAGTAAAAAGTTAATGGTCAGTCATATCGTATCGTATCCACATCATGAGTAAAAGTTAATGGTCAGTCATATGGTCAGTAAAGGAAAAGAATCCACAGCTATCCCATTTCGGTGATTTAATGATTTGCGTCGAATAGGTGTTTCTACTTTTTCTTTGTTTGTTCCAAAATTGCCCCATTGCATGACTGCCAATTTCTTACGAGCTCCGAGCCTAGACAAGTAGAACTTTTAGATTGCCCCGAAAATGGAATCAATTCACGGAGCGAAACTTTATTAACATACAAACGCGGAGCGCATTGTCGCGTTGTATTTATTTAGCCAAATTCGGACTTGCGCCAGTCACAGTCACTACTATCGCGAAAAAGGCTAGGGACGGGACGGAAGATACACTCCACTTGCAGAAAACTCAATTTCGCATTCGCATTATTAGGTGGGTACATAAAAGGGGAGGGTTTAACAAATCAAACTATTTCTCAAATCATAACTATTTTTATTGCATATCACATTTTAAATTGCTCAACATTATAATTATTTTTCGTGGTGGTAACACTAGATAATGCCCACACAACAGCATAGAAATATGTCGTAATCACAAACGGAACATTCCAGAGAAAATTAAATGAATATTCTTTTTTCAATGTGACCTATACATTGAGATTTTAACAGCAATTTAGAGGCAATTATTATGCAATAAATAATCGGAGTATAGTCTTCGCCTCCCAGGGAATCCGTTATTTCTTTCCTCCAGGAGGCTGTAGTGGTTGGCCTCTTTCTTTTCCGCGAAGTTTTATGCCAATTGCTCTTTCGATTTTGCCGAGTACAATGTTATTGGGTATTCCACGACCGGCTTCATAATCGTTTACAATTTGAGGTTTTTCACAAATTTTCGTAGCCAAATCCTTCTGGCTCATGCCTTTAGCCTGCCGTCCTTGCATTATAAGTTTTCCCAGATCCAACGGAATCTTATCGTGGCGCAGTTCTTCAGTTTCTCTGTCCAATTTAGCTGTATTTTTTGTGGTAACGTGTTGTTTATTAGTACCTGCACCATATTTTTGTTGAGTATCCACGGGCAAACCTTGACGACGTGCGGCATTAACGGCTTGTTCAGTCTTCAATGCAGACGCTTTAGGCGGTTTTTTGCGTAGAATGGTAACCGTATCCCAATCAGACATTTTGCTGCTGTAATATCACTGGGTAGACTTGACGAAATTACGAAAAATTTTTCGCCGTGACAAACCTCACTCGTGTTCTCCGAGGTGAAGTAATTTTGTTTTTGCTGACATTTTGCTGTCAAATGTGCACACTTTATTTGACCGATTTATCAAATTAATGTTACTTCGAGCTGACAGCTAAATGCAAGACAGACTGCATTTTGCCAAAAATGATTGGCCATGACCATTATACTCTAGCCCTAGATAGCGCCATCTATATTTCAATTCACAAACTCGGTGACGTTTTTTTTTTTTTTTTTTTCGTTTTACGTCAGTCAGTGCACGTCAGTGTCGTTTTTTTCTGTCACATCACAGGTCATCACAGGTGTAAACAATTTATTAAACATCTATTTACATTTTAAACTAATAATGAATAAATTATTATACTTTAACACCAAATAGTTTTCTCAAAAAGTTCTTAAAATATTATATTACCATAAAACAAGATTTTAGATTGCGACCACTACAAACCACACACAATACTATGACTGACGCTGATCATTCAGATGCAGAAGAAGAGATTCTGGTGTATGTAGAATTTGAAGACAGCGTAGATATAAAACAGTGTAGATCTATTAATGTGTTAGGCATAAATGAAAAGTCTCCTATTGTTCAGATGGATGACACCTTTTTTAAAGGTAACAACTTTAGTTTCTACCACAGAATTATTATGTACTAGTCTTGTTTGTACAACTCCTATCATCATCATCATATTATTATTACCTTGAACCTTAGATTAATAAAGCCTTGAACATATTAAATTTCAGGGTTACAGTTTTTCTAGGTTACTTATCTGTACAAAAAATTCTAAGGCTAAAATATTATGAACTTTAATAATTACAGGTGAGTATGAAGTCCCCCTTGGAACATACATGTTTTTTGAAGATGATCAAGCCCCGGAGAGTAAAGATCCTCTTTTTGACAAAGTTCCTGAAAAAAATCTGAAATATGTGTGCAAAACAAGGAAATATGTTAAAATGGAGCATGCTTATGTTACAGAAAAGGGAGGTTAGTAATTATTAATAATAATGATAATATGTAGGTACTTGAAACGTAACTCATTTGGCATGAGCCTGTGAGTTATTGTTAAAACCGGAGACCTCTAAGGACTCCGAGTAAAAAAAAGAAAACATGATAATAACACTGCACTGGTGGAATTATACATATGTCATAGTCAAAGGTCGATATGCAGTCTCTTCGCGGAATGACTGGTCTATCCTAGGTTTGACCAAGGCCTTCAGGCAAACCCCGAAGTAAATTCTTATTTCGGCCTTTGACTAAGTCAAACCTAGAAGTGCCTAAACGGTTCAGTCAAACGTCGAAACTAAAATAATCTGTTTCGGGCTTTGCCTAGTCAATCCTAGAAACGACTGACAGACTCGGTCAAAAGTAGACGGCAAATAGAAAACCAGCCATGTGTGAGTCGGATTCGCTCACGAAGGGTTCCGTGCGACTCTTTTGTTGTATGGGAGCCCCCTTAAATATTTATTTTATTTTAATTTTATGATTTATTTTTAAAATGCAACTAAAATTATGTGAATATTTCAAGGGTTCACCTGTTTACGTTTTAATTAATATCAAGTAAAAAACTGCAACAAGTCACGTTTGCTGTATGGGAGGCCCCCTTAAATATTTAAGTATTTTATTGAATTATTTATTTTTTAAGTGAATGATTCATGAGATACGAGGCTGGTGACAGACAACATTTAGCGAAGTCATAATAATAGGGTCTAAACTCTTTATCCTTTAAGGTAACAGAACCCTAAAAATTAGTAATTAATCAAGATCGATCTAGAAACACTGACAACCAACCTCAGTACTGTATAAGTTTAGTTACTCGTACCTTCACGTAAAGAGATAGCTGCGCGTGCGCGTGAAAACCGACCGTCGTAACGCCTATGCAATAAGTTCGAGATCAGAGTTTAGTTTAAAGTCTTAATAATCAGGTTTGTCTAGTCAAACCCCGATTTCATTAAATTGAGTTTCGACCTTTGCCTGACCAAATTAGTTACTCCTAGGTTTGACTAACATTATTTAGTCAAAGGCCGAAATGTTTGGGCTTTGACTAAGACTTCTAGTCAGACCTGAGGATTGACTAGTCAAACCTAGGAGTGCCGGAACTTCGAGGTTTGACTATAACACATACACTGAGCCAGTAGTTTTGAATTTCAAAGGGGTATTCAAAAAGTAACCTAACATTTTTTTTCCCTTGATAGGACCTAGTGCTAAAAACGAATTTGAACAATCGGCAATACCAGTACCAAAGGTGGAGTTTAAAAATCTTCATGAAGCAATTGATAGCTTTAAAACTATAAGGTGTCAAGAACCAAAAATTAATCCTGTAGATTCAGATCAAATCTCCAGTAAGCCGTCACTTCATTATTCTTCATGTAAGTTAATTTATATTTATTATCACTATAGTAGTACCTACTAAGAATTCTACTACTGATACTAAAAGTAGGTATGTTATATTACGTGATTGATGCAATGTGTTTCCGTGAAACTATAATCCAATCATCTGTCTGATTCCAATCCGATTCTTGAGGTGTTTGTTAAGAGACTAGTCCAGTGAATCATCTCTTATTCTTTCACTGTGTATTTTTTCGCTAGGTTTTGAATGCTATGTCTCTTTAGTGTATAAAAGTGAAAACTGGCAGTCCCACTTTTCTTTTCTAGATTGATGCAAATGATGCAATAAATAGTAAATATTTTTCTACTAGATACCAAAGCACACTGAATACTCCAATCTTTATCTATGTTTTTCTAGCGACCCACGCAATGCGGCGCACTAATAATAATACTATTACATTAAAAAAAAACAATAACTGCGACCCAGTTTGTGCCCTTTTTAAGATATTACTTTGAATTTCACCATAACTTGGAGCTAGAACAAACATTTAATGATGCTAAAACCTAAAAGCTAAAGATTTCACATTCCCTACCAATGACGTAGGAATGGCTGTTTACAATACCATGCCACAAACACAAACAAAGATCGAGACCCATTGACCCAACTTAGGGATTAATTGTACATTTTTTATGATACTTTTTCGCTTAATAATAAAGTTTCATTCTATCTACTTGATTCTTTTTACACTGCCCTGGAGGCCCACTGAGAGAGGTGTTACTGTTCTACACCGTACACTACACATTGGTACTTACGTTCGCGAACTACCTACTTACGACTTCGCAGGATTCCCCCTATTCAATAGCGTAATAATATTTATATCCCATACAGAGGGAATCCCCTTTACTCAGCTTTTGTGTAGGACTGTAAGTACATTGGTGTTGGATATCAATAGCCATTGCAGTGTCCACTGTACATTCGGGCTTCGTGCATTGTCTCAGTTTGCCTGTTTTTTTTAGTAGATATTCCCTACTTTTAAACCAGTTTGCAAAACCTGCACAGTACTACAAATACCTACTGGGTACGTATTTATTTATTTAAACACATGACGAATTACAATTTTAAAAAAATATATACATTTGTAATTAACATTTTTAAAAAGAATATTACCGTTAGGTAGGTAGGTACCTACATACCTTGAATCGGCAGTTCGGACATTCCTTATCTTCTTATTTAGAGATTACTTACATAGTTGTTCAACAAAAATACTTATTGTTACAGGAAAATGCCGCGGTCATCACGTGGAACTAAATTACAATCAACAGAAGATGTCTTTCAAGCACTTAATCGAAGATACATTAGATTAAATAAAAAGGAAACATGCAATAATAACAAAATCCTTTATTCTGTACTTGAAAGAATATTGAAATTAATGAAGGATTCTGATGAACTATTTAAAAGTATGAAACCAAGGCTTGAATATATGGGAAGCTATTTTGATGGTCTTCGTGTGGGTCATCCAACAGAATTTGACATCAATTTGGTATTGAGAATACCTGTTAATTACGACACAATCAAACTTAATTGTAACGACACGCAATATGACCACACATACATTATAATGCCATCAGAATTTCGGAGATTATACAAAAATCCTGTAACAGCTAATAAAGGCTTTTTAAAGACGGCAATGTGGTGCGATCCCTTACATCGCTTGTCAGTGGGCAAGTTTCGATCCTGGGTGCAAAGTGTTGTAGATGCCGCATTATACAAGCTACCCATTGAAAACGGAAAGAGAATCCTAACGATTGATAATATTTCTTATGGTTTAATATCAAAATTATCAGGTCCCGCAAACAACAACCATATATCTCCAAAATAATATGATAGATATTGATTTGGTGCCATCCCTAGCATTTGAGCTGCCTAAAAAGCCAGTCATGTGTAAAGTGGATTTTAGTAAGAAAGAGTTTATTAAAATTAAACAATACTTTGTTGTGCCTAAACCAACTGATAATGACTTGAATTGGAGACTCAGTTTTCCTTTTCAAGAAAGGCTTGTGCTACAAAACCAAAATAACTTAAAATGTGTCGTCAAGCTTTTAAAACAGTTGCGAGACGTGCAAGGCTTCACTTCATTGGCTAGTTATTACATAAAAACTTTATTTTTATGGGAGGTCTCCGTAACAGATGCATCATTTTGGAAAAGTAATTCCTTAAATTTTTTGGTTATTCATATGTTAGTGAAATTACGAGATGCATTAGCTCAGCATAGAATAAATAATTTTTGGTGCCCTGATCATAATCTTCTTTGTAAAATCAAACCTCAAACATGTGAAAACTGGTCTAACAGACTTTCACATATCATTAGTAATATTCAACAACAAACAAAAAATGGGAATCCAATTGTTATAATGAAGTACTTCAGAAAAAATAAAACTATATGAATAAGATGTTATTATTTATTATTCTGTATTGGTTTCAATGGTGCGAATTTGAAGCACATTAATTTCGCCAATGTCGAGTGTTTAAAAAAATGGACAGATTGATGTTATTAGGAGGTCCTAACTTTTAAATGAAAAATGTAAATAATATTTTCGTTTACTAAATTGTTTTCAAATACTTTCATATTACAGTGTAAAGAAAGGTATGAATATGTTAGCGATCTTAAGTGTATGTAAATAAATAAATAAGAAGTTACCCATGTGTGTGATTTTACCCATTTTTTTAAATATATTTAATTAAATTATTAATTATCAATTATTATGACGTAACAGGCAGCAGTTTGTACGAAATCGGGATAATATTTACTTGCCCCTTTGGGCATGTTGAACAATATTATAGTTTATTACACAATGACATGCATTTACACGTCACTTATTTCAATTAGGTTCACAACGTGCGTTCAAATTGAAAGTGAACCTTTAAATAGTGAAAAGGTCCACATCATCATCACGATCCACATCAAGGTCCACAGTACATCCTTTTGAGATATAATGTTGTAGGTATCGGGTTGTTTAGAAGAAAGAAATCTCTTCCTAGCGATAAGACCGCCGTTACTACTTTTGTTTCTTGAAAAATATCTCCTCGGGACATTCGAAATAGTTTTTCTACTCTGTAATAGATGGCGCTTTATACATTGCTGCACACATCGAGATCAGAGATCAAGACATCCGAAATAGTTTTTCTACTCTGTAATAGATGGCGCTTTAATGCACTGCTGCATATTGTACATCGAGATTCGAGAGATTTTTTAAGAGAATAGTAAAAAATATTATGAAAAGAACTCGTAAATATGCCTTGAATTCTTCGTATAAAATTTATTATCATTAGGTACGTTGGTACCTTTTTAATTTCGTATTTTTGTCGTTGGCAGCACTAGCTCCCAAACGGCCCGCCATTTTATTTCAATATCGCCATTTCGTTTCATCCATGAGATGGAGAATTGAAGTGTCGTAAAGTGAGACAGAAAATATGGAATAAATCTTTTGAAACTAGAATTTAAAAAGTTTCAACTAACGCAAAAATTAGAAAACCAAGGTGGGTGTAGTAGTGATATTCTATAGTGGTTTATTAACGTTAACTTGTGTGATCGTGACTCGGCGTCCCCATCATCTCTTGCTTGACTTGTGTGTCAGAATGCAATGGCGGCGTCCGTTTACTCGCGAAGCTCGTACAAATATAATCCGTCATCCTTTTCTTACCTATATCGACTATTCAGGAGACACCGCTTTCATAGCGAATGATCTTTTTACGAGCGGAGTAGACTGATAAGAAGTATTTCCCGTTACCTTCACACTTCGTGTTTTGTAGTTTCTCTTTCTCTAGAACCGCGCTTTTACAGAATTTATTAGAAATGTGTTGTGTTTCCAGAGTTCATTTAACTTATGGTGTTACAGATAAACAAATAAATAAAGTTCGTGTAATGAAGTAAATAAGATAGAAAAGTGAAAATGTTTACAACAAATACAGTGCAAACCGGCGCAGTGCCGACATTGCAGTATCAGGAGCATCCCACTCAAAAGACCCAAGGGAAAAACATCGAAAATGTTCAACAAAAAAATCCTCAACAAACTCAGCAACAACAGGTAACCCAATTAATCAAATTGGTTTAAGTTTACTATGAATAAATAGTTTATTTCAAATGGTTCATAGGGCTAGGGATTTCTTCAATGAACTGAGTTTTATGTTTTTTCAGGAGTTCCCAACATTTTGTTACACTACAAATGTAAATATGATTGGAAAAATTGGCACGGGGACTACTGGAGGCACTGGAGGGGTGACTGGTGGTGTAAACATAGCTCAACTAACAACCAGTGATGACAAAACATGCTATATAGCACAACCATTCTCTTATAACTATGCTCTTGTAAACCAGATGCAAATTGCCCCAAATGGCATCCAGAACACAATATCTAATATTAGTTTTAAATGTGACGTTTGTGGACTCATGTTTGGACACCTGACGCTTCTCAATGCTCACAAAAGAATACATGCTCAAGATACAGGTATTATTTTTAGTGTGTCTACTTTCACTTTAATTTTTATTGAAACAACATTGCATTTCTTTAGAAACTACCATCAGTGAGAGTCAAAACTAGCTGGCCCGGGGGACTATGTACTGCAAAAAAAAAAATGCAAATTTAATTACGGCTATTGTTACAGTATTATATTGACAAAATATTTTTTCCAATTGGTCTAGTAGTTTTGTAGCTTCAATCTTCAGACATACAATCAATCAAATCTTTCCTCTTTATATTATTTAATTGTACCTAGATGAAACTGGTTTTGTCATTTGTAAACATAATTATTAATTTTGTTTCAGATAATAATATAACTGTTGTTGCAACGGGTGTCAGTGCTAGCAACGATGTTACTATGCCGCCTCAGATCCAAATACTCTCGTCTGACCCAAATGAACAGCAAACTCATCATGTTCAAATACAAGAGAGTTAGTGTAATGTTTAATATTATTTTAATAGTAATCATACGTCTCGTAAAAAGTAACAAATGCCAAATTACTATCCTGTATCAAGTGCGTTTTATTTTTATTTTTTTAATTGTTCCTGTCTTTATTTTTTAAATGGATTTGTATTTGAAAAATAAAGACAGGAATGCTTTATATAGGTAACTATTCTGTGTGGATAGTAATTATTCTATTGTAGTAAAAACCCTGTTGTCACACTTCATGAGCTGGCTTAGGTATCTGCTATAGCTCAACACAAAGCAACTGTAAATGTAATGAAGAGTAATCCCGGCAAATCTATTAAAGATGTTATATTGTTTTTTAACAATCGAAATTAATTTTATTTCAGCTAAACCGCTTATTGACAAAGTTCAGAAATGCATTACATGTGGTGGACCAATTTCCAATAATCCCAAAAGAAAAGGACCTAAGTTAATCAGATGTGAAAATTGCATAGCACAAGATTCTGTTGACCAGAGAAATAATCAAAGTATGTAATTTATTTGTATTTATGAAAATAATTGGTAATTAATAGACTAGCGAGCTAGTCTATGAGTTATGTCATAGTACACCTGCATGCAACACTCATTTCCTGAAGTATAATATTTTTTAACTTTCATAAAAATTCTTGTGAAAGAGTAACAAACATCAAGCGATCCATTCCACAATACAACTAATGGACTTAAGTGGAAACTTTTTACTCACTTCACATAATCTTAGTGTGAATAAAATGAATCCTAGTGTTATTAATAATGAATTTTCACAGATTCAGTTTGATTGCAGTGTGTGCGTTATACACTGAATGATTAATTCAAGTGATTAAACTTCATCCCCATAGTGTGTGTGTACTTTTCAATGAACTTATGTAGAGATAATAGACGTGCAGTTTGTAATAGTTTCTTCAACTTTATTTAAACTTTTAATGTCTTCTTTTTATCTAGTGAATGCTGCGCAAATCTTCGTCGCATCTGAGGACAACGTTAAGTATGAGGTGGGCGGTGTTAGTGGGGTGCACCAGCCAACTGACCCGTTAGCACCAACGCCTACCAATCAACAACAGACACAACAGCAACAGAAACCATGTAAGACTGACTGTTCTGAATTATGTCAATTTTAATATCTTTATTTATTTGTCTAGAGTTAAGTATTACATACTTCTGTAACATGTAAATTGTAAACAAAGCTGTAGTTTCCAAATACAATAAATAAAATTAGAAACATTACAAGCAATTACTAGATGCTGATCTTGGATGTAATGGCTCACTTTCATTTTATTTATTTATTTTTGGGAAACATACCATTACAATTTTCAACTTAGGAAAATTAAGAAAACACATAATTCAATTAAGTTTCCACAGTTAAATATATTTTGTGAGATAAGTATTGTTATCTTCTCATACAAAAAAATCCCAGTGCTCTAAGATGAATCGCCTTTAACAGTGGAAGGTAAGATTGTGAGTGAGAGATGTGTAGCTAGATTCAGTGAATGAGAAAGCAGCTTTCAATTTTCAAGACCATTGAATGATTGGTGTATGTTTATTTAAATTCTTATTCTGTCAAAACTTGTTTCAGTACCCGGACACCATCCTGTAAAGAAAAGAAATTTGGCAGCTGTTACGAAATGTCAAAATTGTAATGGTTCAGGCATTATATTCGTGGGTGGAAGTAAAAGTAAACTTAATCAGTCAAACTCAGAAAAACCATTTCACTGTAATATTTGCGGTGGTTCATTCTCTAGGTATTCATCATTATGGTCTCATAAGAAGTTACATTCAGGGGAAAAGAATTTCAAGTGTGGAATCTGTGGAATCGCATTTGCGAAAGCAGTTTACCTAAAAAATCACTCAAGAATACACACAGGCGAAAAACCATATAGGTAAGAAACAATTTATCTATACTAATATTATAAAGAGGAAAACTTTGTTTGTTTGTTTGGTTGTAATGAATAGGCTCAAAAATTACTGGGCCGTTTTTAAAAATTCTTTCACCATTCGAAAGCTACATTATCCACGAGTAACATAGGCTAAATTTTATTTTGGAAAAAAATAGGGTTCAGGGGTCCACGCGCGCGAAGCCGCGGACGGAAAGCTAGTTAGTGATAAACTCATTCCGCTTTATAAATGTACCGAATGTACGGACGACAGCATATCAAGCTTGTAATAAGACCAATTTTGTAAAGAAAATGTATTAACTGATGTGCTTTCGACTGTACAACTGAGTAATGGCGCTGATAAAAGTATTAATAATTGGTAAATTATGTATTATTTACAGATGTAGTACCTGTGGTATGCAATTCTCACAATCACCACATTTGAAGAATCATGAAAGAACACATTCTGGAGAAAAACCTTATGTGTGTGAAGTAAGTATGCTTGCAAATAATGTACTCAATCAAACATACACAAATGTGAAATTTAGTTTGTCACAGATCATTGTAATAAATGGTAGTCTATATTATGTTATTCTGATGTTTAATCCATCAAACCCCAAGCGGTCGCATAAGACCGCGTAACGATTGATAAATAAATAATTTAATCTAATATTGTGTCTCGCGGCGCTTGAAGGAATATAAAAAAATAAACATAAATACTGTAATGTTTCATTAAAATCTGTTTAGTAGTTTTTGCGTGAAAGAGTATCCTCACAACTTGCAAATCTATTGTTTGAATATTGTCAATTTATTAACAAGATTTTTGTATTGCACAGGTTTGTGACAAAGGATTCGCTCGTCACGCTACCTTGTGGAATCATCGGCGTATACACACCGGCGAGAAACCATACAAGTAAGTGTGCAACAAGAATAACTAACCTTGAATGAATGCATTGCACTAATATGGCCACTTCACAATAACTGGAAAATGATTACATTTCCATACAAACAAAAATAAACTTTATTTTCAGATTGTGTTTCTTCTTACTATAATAATTACGTATTATAAAATATTATGTTACATGTAAAACATAAAAAACTTCTCATATTAACTACTAGTCTAGTCAGACTGTACGGTATTGAGATAATTCACTGTGATAAGGATACGGTCTAACTCCCTGCAATCGGTTAAATCAGAGCTATCAACACTCATAATCATTTAACTGTGACCGATGTTATCATTATTTAAATGCGCAGTTTGTTTATATGATTATTATGTAAACAAGTTAATTAAAGATAATTACTTTTAGTATAGACATCTAGTACCTGTGTAAATGTGTAGTAGTTGCAAATTTGCAATACATGCTATTTTGCAATAAAAAGTGTAATCTGCACTTTTAGGATTCCATACCCACCATTTTATGTCAAGTCTATATTTTACTTATAATAAGCCAATACAAACTAATTGGATTGCAGGTTGTTTATCCGATTAAAATGTTAATTAATAATGCTCTTATCTATAATGTTGATAATATAAAAATTGTATTTGTTATCAGATGCGAAACGTGCGGATCAGCGTTTAGTCAAGCAGCGCATCTTAAGAACCATGCGAAGGTACATTCTGGTGAGAAGCCCTTCAAATGTGACATATGCACTGCGGCCTTTGCGGATCGGTTCGCTCTCAAGCGGCACAGAGGGATTCACGACAAATATGGTACGAAAATACTTATAAACCATGTTAAATTATTGAAATCAAAATCTTCTGGGCCAATTTTCATTTATTATTTCATTTTCACTATAGGACAAACGACCCCACTACCATCTAGAATACAGCAAACCCAGCAAGATCAACAACAATCAACTCAGCAACAAAACTCCGATCAGAAGAATGTCCAGCCGGCTGTGGAAGTAGAGCATCATGCTGAGCAGACTCTATGAACCTAGGATTTATTTAAAATTATTTCATCCCACCCAAAAGTTTACAGAAAATGGAAAGCTAGCTTTATAATTTCATTCAACTATCAATGTAAATACACTATCACACTTTTAAGGCATCAAATTGACGAAACTTCCAATCCATTAATACATTCATTTCATTATACAATTAAACTAATGTGGGTATTATTATAAAATCATGGTGCATCTGCAATCATGCATTAACAGCGAACACTGCCATTTTGACGAGTAATTTAGATTTTAGTCATTGTTATAAAAAAGAGAGATTTGATTACTATTATTGTCAACTGTTTATGCATAATTTTTACGCTTGAGTCATTAGGGTTCATGATGTAATTAAAAGTTGCAAGGTCGCCTATTTTATTTCACCTATGAATGTGGGCGGAGGTTTCTGTTGTTGTTTTAGTTAAAAAATGTAAGCAGTGTAAATATAATAATAGGGCATTGGATTAGAAGTTAATTGACGAAATTAACATGTAATATTTCACACAACTGTATATACTTAGTTCAAAATAATTCTAGAAGCCTATGTGATCTAGTATTTTAGGGTTAGTCCCAACGTCCCCGGTGGATCTGCCCCGTCAACGGGGTGGATGGGAAAAAGTGTTTCAACGACCCCGGTAGTCATAGTCTTAGCGTTCAACGGGGTGGATGAAACACATCAAGTGTCAACCACCCCGGTATATCGTTTAGCGGGGCGGATGGATCAAATCAAGTTTCAACCACCCCGGTATTTCACTAAACGTGACGGATGACACATCTAAAAGGTTCCACCTCGGTATTGCATACCGAAAATAAAACCTGTTAATAAAATAAAAAGTAATAATATGTAAATAATAATCAGTTTTATTTAACAGTCACTGTTTAAAAAATCTTCAGCATAAAAGTAAGTTTAAATTGTCACAAAATATTATGGTCATAAACCTATAGATTACTTTTAGAATCACAGATGCGCAATTGCATTAATCAGTCAATATTAATAACACTAATAGTCAATTGTGATAAAAATTACATTAATCAGGTATTGATTAATAACAATAGTACTTAAAGTACTAATTAAATAAACATGGGCATATAAATGGTTTGGTGAAGTCAGAAATTTGATAGCACCTTTTTTTTTGTTTTATTTTTATACAAAATAAATTTTATAAAATGCGATTTGTATGAAAATTAAAATAATTAAAATGAAGATATCAATTTTCTGATTCCACCATACCATTTATATGCCCATGTTAGCATGGGCTAGTGTCGGCTCATATACCCATTTACCTAACACCATGTAGAAGTAATAATCATATTTTTTTACAATTATATTTTGTGTCAATTTTACAAATAATTCTTTTGTTGTTAATGATATATTTAATTAGATAATAGTTTAAGCGCTAGTGTTAATCAACAACTGATCAATGTAGGTAACTACGTCTCTGTGATTCTAAAGTAATAATTATTATATTTCTGTAATAATTTTAGATTTTTTGTTGTTGTTATTATTTGTTAGTAGTAGTTTAAGAGTTACTTTTAATAACATTAAGGTGTTTATTGACTGATTAATGTAATTGCGCATCTGTGACTCTAAAACTAATAATCATATTAATTTATTACCGTGATATTTTTATGTCAATTTTAGAATAATTTTTTTCGTTATTAATGATTTATTTAATTAGTAGTTTAAGTACTATTGTTAATCAATACCTGATTAATGTAATTTTTATCACAATAGACTATTAGTGTTATTAATATTGACTGATTAATGCAATTGCGCATCTGTGATTCTAAAAGTAATCTATAGGTTTATGACCATAATATTTTGTGACAATTTAAACTTACTTTTATGCTGAAGATTTTTTAAATTTAACTGTTAAATAAAACTGATTATTATTTACATATTGTTATTTTATATTTTATTAACAGGTTTTATTTTCGGTATGCAATACCGAGGTGGAACCTTTTAGATCTGTGTCATCCGTCACGTTTAGTGAAATACCGGGGTGGTTGAAACTTGATTTGATCCATCCGCCCCGTTAAACGATATACCGGGGTTGTTGACACTTGATGTGTTTCATCCACCCCGTTGAACGCTAAGACTATGACTACCGGGGTCGTTGAAACACTTTTTCCCATCCACCCCGTTGACGGGGCAGATCCACCGGGGACGTTGGGACTAACCCGTATTTTAGCATATCCAATGATGACTTTTATCATACTATAGTGATTTTTTATTTATAATGTATGAGGTGTACTTACGAAAAATGTTTGCATTAAAATACTTGAAAAATGTACTTTTGTTTTAATGTTAAATAAGTACATTCAACCGTTAGTAAGTACAGCTCATCCAAAAACTTTTGCATCAAGGTGATGCATTAAGTATTTTGTAAGTTAGACTTGAATTTATAGTAAAGAATCGGTAATATAGTAAATTTTGTCTAGACTGATTTACTTTGTTTTATTAAAAACTAGCTTTTGCCCGCGGCTTCACCCGCGTGAAATTTATTTTGTCACAGATCGTCATAAATTATAGCCTATATGTTATTCTGGGTTATAAACAATAATACTGTAGTTTCATCAAAATCCGTTTAGTAGTTTTTGCGTGAAAGAGTAACAGACATCCAAACTTCCGCATTTATAATATTAGTAGGATTAGTAGACTAATAGGTGGTAGGTACACATTTTGATTTGAAATTACATACACTTGGAGATTATAATGCTGCGGTAATCAGTGGCGGCGTCGCATGGGTTAGCACCCGGGGCGACCTCCCCCCCCCCCCACCTCATAAGTCTATAATAAACACCCAGAAATGGTCTGGTGCCCCCCAAGACTTTTGGTTCGAAGACGAAATATGTTAGTACTAAGTCATGAGGTATATGAATACCAATCGCACGTGACGTGACCCCCTCTGCGCGACTGTTATTATTTTGTCACCCCCTGATGCTTGGGCACCCAGGGCGGACCAGTCCCCACCAGTGGAGACATTGGGAATTTCATTAAGTAGGTAGGTACATATTAATTCCAATTATATTTTTTATTCGCTAGTATCGCCACTCCTCCGGCCCTGCAGTCAGTGGGGAATAGGAAATAAAAAAAATACCCATCATAGAATTAACCCCGAATGGGGCTGGGCGGGGGAAGACCGGGGTGGATGGTATCGCCCTCGACACTTTTTTTATTAATCTAAGCCTACTAACTATTTAAAATCGGAAATAGGGTAATAGACAAGAAATGCAACTTTTTATATAAAGTATTTTAATTTCACAGTTTAACTTAAAAATAATACCTACTCACACGATGTGGTTGTAGAGTAATTAAGATGGAATTCACGCATGTGTGGAATTTATAAATGCTGATATTTTATTCGTAGACCCATTTTTCGTCAGCTGGAGTCCATCCAACGAGTTCCTTTTCGGTAAACCAGAGAGCGATTTCTTTGTTAGCAGAGTCAACACTGTCGGAGCCGTGAATAATGTTGCGTCCAACTTCAATGCAGAGATCTCCACGAATAGTGCCGGGTTGAGAATCAGCTGGGTTAGTAGCTCCAAGCATTTGACGGCCAGTCTTCACCACGTTGAGACCTTCCCATACCATGGGAACCACTGGTCCAGAGCTCATGTATTTGACGAGACCAGGGAAGAAGGGACGCGACGCTAAGTCGCTGTAATGGTTTTTAAGAAGTTCCTCTGAAGGCCACATGAATTTGAGGGCTACTAACTTAAAACCTTTCTTTTCGAAGCGTTCTATGATGGTGCCAACGAGTCCTCGCTGCACACCGTCGGGCTTGATCATGAGGAAGGTTCTTTCACGTGGTTCCGCCATTATGTAGTCCGCAATGTAATAAACGGTACGTGTGAGATAGGTTATGAAGTAAACCAAAGTGGCGATCATACGAAAAAGACGTGGTTTGTCGATCACAGGCGCTACGTCACGGAAATGTTGCCATTACTATTTTTCAAAAATGTACTACACAAATGTTGCTAGAGCAAAGTAATAAAATTTATTTAAAAGTATTTTTTTCGGCCAGTTCGGCCACCTCCTAACCTAAAACACAATTTTTAAATTATTCTCAATTATCACGATTTTTTTTTGTTACAAAACAGTTTAATGTGTGATCATTTATTAAACCACAAGCTTGCATAAATGCATAGCAAATCGTGGGCCCAACAAATTTAAATCCCCTAGATTTTAATGCTGTAGAAAGTGCTATTGATTCGGCAGTTTTAGTTGGTATTTCTTTAATATCACTCCAGTTATTGATAATAGGTTTATTACTAACAAAATCCCAAATAAATTCTGAAAAATTCTCATCTTTTTTTTCCATTTCCAAATACGCTTTAGCATTCTGTATTATGGCTTCAATTTTTCCTTTATGTCTTATAATTCTTGCATCGATCAGAATCCGTTTGACATCTTCATCAGTAAAATTGGCTACTTTAGAGGGGGTAAATCCCTGGAAAATCTCTCTGTAACTATTTCGTTTTTTCAAAATAGTAAGCCAAGATAATCCAGCCTGCTGTCCTTCTAAACATAACATTTCAAATAATTTCTCTGTATCGAATTCTGGTTTACCCCATTCTTCGTCATGATATTGAATGTAGACTGGATCATTAGTAACCCAACCGCATCTAACTTGTTGCATGGTTGATACTGTAATCAGATCAAAAAACAGAGCACGTAATAGTACTGTAAGTAATAATATTTATCATATCAAATTAGGATATTATTTTAAATTTTCATGTCAGCAAAGTTATAATAGGTACCTACTTCTTATCTATACAAGCTGACTCTCACAAAACAAACAACAGAACACAACACAAACACGACAGCTTGACACAAATTTCATCTTAGATCTAATTAATAAAAATAAATTATCACCAAAACAAAAGTAAAAGGTGGTAAAAAGTATAAAACAGTACCTATTGTACATATAAAATATAAAAATGTGCTTCACCTCTGGAAAGTGGAAGAAAGTTAGTGTTGTGCTGTAAATATGCCAAAATGGAATAGTACCGGTATTAATAAATAAACCAGAGAACTAGTTCATAGTGAGACAATAAAATTGTCTTATAGATGACCCACGCTGAACTGTCCCACCAAACTCAATGACAGGGGGGCGCTACCATCGTTCAACTATATGGTTTCCAACATGGCAAAAATCGGAACCAGCGATTCGGTATTGACGGTGGCGCCCCGCTGTCAATGTCATCGATAGGACAGTTCCGTATTTTGGAACTATACCTTAGTCTGTTTGGATTTGGAAAGAATCAAACAAAAAAAATGTCAATCAATCTGTCAGATGCGTTTATATGTGTTTGTTTGTCCGTGTTTGTGATTTCTTTCTTTCTTTTGTTGATTGATTCTTCGTCGTGAATATTCTTCCACCCATCCAGTGATTTTCCAGTGTAATAATTTTATTTACCGTAGTAAATATTGTTAATAAAGAAGTGGATTGTATCAAGTCAGATTTCAATGAATAATCAAGACGAAGTTGAAGTGAGTTTGTCGATTTTCTTGGTCGTTAGAGCTTTAACTTAATGGCTTAGATTAATAAAATTTTATTAATCTAAGCTTAATGGTAATTACCTATTTAGATTTTTATTTACCTACTATCTTCTAACCTATTATGGTGTATAATTTTATCTTTTTCAGGCTGAGGTATCTCCATATATACCATCCGCTAGAAGAAGCATCCATCAGCACAACTATTGCATTTTCCCGAATTACAGTGATAACATGGGGCGTTATGGCCTAAAGGCAAACAATGATGATAGAACTGCATTATTATCCATTCGTGGCCATGAAACTGATGAAGTTGATAATGTCATGAGGTAGATAAGGATAATGAAATTACATTCTAATTCTTAGATTTAACTAATATAATAAAAATAACATATTAACAACATTTTAGCAAATTTACTCGTGAAACCAGTCCAGTTCCACTAAGACGAAAAAGGAATAAGAAGATTAGGAGAAACTCTCTAAGCATATCAAACCAAGAGTGTACAGATGATGATGAATCAGATAGGTATGTTCTGAAACTTTTAAATAATTAGACTTAATTTTTAATCATTGAAGAGTTATGATAATAATTTGATTATAGCAAATATTTTCCTTGTATCGCTATACATTTCACAACTATTTATTGAAGAATATATTTTTACAATTTTTTAATAGTAATAGTATAAGGACTTATCATATCTTATGGTGCAAGGTTACTAATATTTTTTAGAAATTTAGCTAATTAAGCCAACTAATTTAAATAATTATTTAGCAGCTGCCATTTTCACATTACCATCTCATGAAAGCATGTTATTTCTGATTTAACACAAGATCTACTTAAATCCTTCCTGCACATTCATTCTCTGAGCTTTACAGTGCTTATTACTCTTAAAAACAAAAGTAACTTATAGATAGTGCACATTTTCAACACATTTAGTGACTAAAATGAGCTGGTAATGTCTTTTATTGCAGCAATTTGCTTGCGAAATCTTTACCTGCAAATCTTCCATCATATTATTGCAGCGATGATGCACACCAATCACTGCCAAGTGACTTTTTTAAAGCAAACAACTCTACATCATTCTCTGAGACAAGAGCAAATCAAATGATAAGAAATGATGAATATAATTATCGCAACAATTTTGATTTACAAAATGAAGACTATGTCAATGAAAGCCAAATTAAGCAGAAGACTAACTCTTATAGTTTTATTACGCTACTACTTCTTGGTATTATTGGTGCAATAGCTGCATTTTATTACAATGATTTCAACAAAGTACTTACAGAAAAGAGCAGTATTAATAGTTATGATCAAGTTAAATTTCGTAAAGATATGGATTACTTAGGAGAGAAGTACAAAATTAATGACAATTCCATTTTAGAAGTACAAAGTGGTAAGTGCCTATTTTACTCCACATTTTATTTTTTTATATAAAAACTATGTAGTGAATCGAAATGTTTTTGTTGCAGGTATTTCAACAATACTAGAGAGAAATGATACTGGTTCATTCATCTTTGTTTATAATGGCAAATCAGTTAACTTTGATTTTATGCAGTTCAGTAATTTAGTTGAAGAGATTGCCACAACTGCTGCTCGATTTTTACGTAAGATCTTCTAAGTTTTTGTATTAATTTTCTGTCATTTCTTCTTAACATTTTATAATGTCTCTATGATTTATTATTAGCTTCACAATATGTGTAATTTACTCAACAGAAATTTGTTTCTTGCAGGAAATGACAGCACTTCAGTTCAGCCTACAGTTGTTCACAGTTCAGAACTTCATAATATGCAAAGTCACAGTGAACTTATGAATGAATTCCGCCATGATGTGGCTAAAACTGGGGTGATGCTTGTAAAAGATGTTGATAAAATTCCATCAAGTCTTGCCATGGCTTTCCACTACTTTTGCGATGAATACAATCCACTTGTGGCAAAGAGTGCAATCTTTTTCACATTAGATATGGAAAAATGTTCTAACTTGTCTGGTTAGTTAATAGCATGTTCTAATAATAATCACGATTTTAAACTGAATAGTTTTATGGCTTTAATACATGGAATATTGTTTTATTTCAGAGCAAAAATCAACTCACAGCGGTATCGAAAAGTGCCTAGCAAACAAATGGAACACACTACCAAAAGATAATGTTAAGCCTTTACTTGCTCGTGTTGTAAGTGTTGTTATTAATGTAACTGGTGTCTGATCATAATTTAATGTAATATTTTATCCATCACAGTTAACTAATAAAGTGTATTTATAAATTTTATAGAGGCTTCATTATTACTCCTATGTTATATCCTTTATGCAACAAACATTTAGTAGGCAGTGGAATTTAAGACAAAAATATTTTTTTTCGAATAAGTTTATTTCTAATATAGTGCGCTTTGGTCAGATGTATTCAACTCTGGAGCATCATTGAGATCATCGAGGCTGTCTGGTTCTAATTCATTGTTGTTCCTGGCTGGTGAATAAGATGTCCTTAATTCTTCATCTTCATCTTCGTCATGAGATTCTTCAGACTCATCTGATTCATCATTTCCTATAAATAAAAACATAATTTGTAATAAAATATATAATAAATAATGATAGTAAGTTTAAGTACTGTTTTATTAGTCAAAGATATGTTTAGTCAAATATTTATATAGCAAGGCCAAAAAATATGGAGTACCTTCTTCCTCATCACTATCAGCTTCTTCTTCCATAGGTTCTGGATCAGCTTTTCCGAGTGGAGTTCTTTTCATGTATTGTTGGCCAATGGAACTCAACTACAATAAAAAACAATATCTATATGAATTTATCAAGATATAACAAATTAGTTTACGGACTTTTTACAAATGGTCAACAGAAATAACCTGATTCTGCGATATAATTCCATGTTTAGTGAGTACCTGAGTACCCAAACATTAACACAAATAAGTATAGCCGTGTATACCTAATTAAAATAAAATCTACCTACCCAATGTTGGTTCGCTTGCTCTAGAGCTGTTAATTCAGCTTCCTCATCAACAGGGCTGTCAGCACTAAACCACTTAGAATCAACTAAACGAGGAGTTAACACTGGGAAAGGAATATTCATAGTTTATATTGTTGTATTTATTTATCAATAATCACAAGCAAGTGAAAAAGCAAAAACGGAAAACAAAATCCTTCGTTCGCCTTTCAGTGACAGCTGCCGCCGAACTGTCAGTGTCAAGTTGGTGTCAAGTCAACTAAAAAAAAAAGAATGCGTTCCGATTTAAGCACAAAAGCTATTATAAAAGGCTGAGTCTGCACTACGGTTTTTTTCCGCAAGCGGCAAAACCGCCACCGCGAAACCGCCCGAAACGTACACACTGCGACGTGCTCCGTGCACTGCGAATAAAAACCGCTAAACTGACCACGATTTTCAAATTTTTCGCGCGCTGTTCGCGGTTTTAAAATCGGTCGCGGGAAAAAACCGCAGCGCGGGCGCTTGCATTAGTTTTACATGGTTATAAAATCACGCGGTTAAAAAACGCGACGCTTGAGCCGTAGTGCGGACTCGGCGAAAGACAGAGGATACAGGATAGTCATCTACTGACTATACATTTTTATTACACGAATCTACTTGCGAAGTTGCGACTAGGTAGCAGCATCATAAACACAGTCCGTAGCAACAATGCGATAAGATTATGTGTAGGATTATCTATACCTATTGGGGCCCACTGAAAACCATTGTCATGCATGGCCTACCTGGGCCTACCCCACCGTGGGCCACGGCTTAAGCTGAGTGGAGTCCCATTGCGATGGGCATCGCTGTTGCGACAGGATAGCACTGCTCAGTTCAATTTTTATTTCCTTGTAATATTTATGTGCTAAGTATTTCTGTCTTTTTTTCTGATAAGTTCTCTGTCATGTATAAGTGATGTTCATCGTAATAAATGTTTCTTTCTTTCTTTCTTTATATTAAATGAAAGGCATATTACACTTATTAAACCATCTGCAAGTAATTTATTTAATACTATTAGTCAGAAGAGTCTATTACATGAAAATTATGAGTGAATTACTTAGTTTGAGAATTCTAAAATCCAGATAAGACTAGTTTTCCTAACATCTTCTTTTCTTCAATGATCCTATGAGCTTCCCGCAAATTAGCAGCATTGATCGGTGACATTGTCTTTGTGAGTGTGCAATTCAGATTTCCTTCGCCAAACATTTTTGATACCGTTTTTAAAATTTCTTGGTATCTGAACTGGTCTTCAGTATTATATTTCAACTTTGTAAGCATCATCTCACTGACTAATGTTATACTCTTATCTTTCAAAGGCCTTAGGTCAACCAGACCGCTACTGTCAACAATGAGAGCAATTTTACCTTGAGGCTTAACTACTTTCATCAAGGTGTTCCAATATGGAAATGGATCGTAGTTCACCAAAATAAAATCAACGCCTGCTCCATATCCTATTGACTTTAGTTGCTCTTCTAAGTCCTTGGTATGGTTTAGGACGATTTCTGCTCCATGTTTTCTCGTATACTCTTCGCTTTCTGGACGTGACGCAGTTCCAATCACTTTAAGGCCAATATTTTTGAGTAACTGAGTAGCTATAGATCCCACGCCGCCTGCACTATTTATAACCAGTATTGACTTGCCCTTATCTTTTTCCGATATTAACATTCTATCGTAGATGCATTCGAAAGCGGTCACGGTTGTGAGCGGCATGGCAGCAGCTTGCTCAAATGTGAAATTCTTTGGTTTCGGCCCTACCAGAATTTCATCTAAGGCAACGTATTGAGCGTTAGAACCATTCTTCCTCAAGTCTCCGATAAAAAACACTTCGTCGCCTATGTTGTGTATACTTGCGTTTTCTCCCTTAGCGACTACTACACCGGCTCCATCCCAGCCCAAAATTCGTGGCGTGGTTTCTATATTGGGCTTTGGGGCTCTTTGCTTTGTGTCTATCGGGTTTACACTTGTGGCTTTTACCTCTACCAGAACGTCCGTTTTTCCGAGACTCGGCAATTTCACTTCTATATCTACAAGACTGTTCACATCAGAAATCGGTAAGTATTTGTAAAGACCAACTGCCTTCATTAAGTTTGGTAATTTCACAGCCATTATTTTATTCGAATTTGCACTATTAACAAACGTATTTCTCTCTGCGGCGCTCGCAACAACTACTATCAGTAAAATACTCCAAATCATGTTAATACGTCAATGTAAACAGAACTTGCAATGGAGTATGTAACTGATAAAGTCTATGACTGATAAACAATCGCGAGAGAAGTGTATTTTTGTTAACAAAGTAGACTGGTTTACGCTGGTTTTGAGAACCCGGTGTAGAGATCATGGAGAGGCAATTATTCGAATATAGTTCTTTAAGTAATTAGGCAAAGGAAAAAAAGGAGTTTGAGTAAAAATAAGCTTCGAAGATTATTACCACCAATGCTTGCCACTGTTTGCGAATAAGTAAGTAGTTAGTAAAAGAGATTTGTCTGGCTAAATATAGCTGTAGATCCTGGCTACACAGGAGTTGCAGCACTTGCAGCGGCGTGGCAGCGGTGAGAACGAGAGATGAGAATCGTCCCGTGTGCCTGAGATAGGTTTCATTTAACGAGTGCCCCAGTTTTTCGTTTTGGTCTTTCGAGTTACCGAATGTACCAATTCAGTCTTATTTAAAACGGAAAGACGCACAAAGCCCATAATTATCAATGTTTTGGAATATTGGTTAAAACGACGAATAAAAAGACACCAAATTATTCTTCAACATAGAGCCTTATCGCGCATGCTAGCAAAAAATTTACGAGCAGTTGTTAATGGAAAAAGCAATAAGGATGCAAGCATCAATTTAGCTTATTGGGAATTTTAATTCAACCGTGAAATTAAACTGCTTCACTTGTGTTTTTTAGAAACAATTATTATGATATCGTGTCTGAACTATTTTCATACCATATATTTGGGCCTGCTATGGGTATGTTATGTATTTATTTAATCAAAATAATTAGGTAGGTACCTAAGGTAAGCGGCTACTAGTTCGTGATAGTACGTAAGTTCGTAAGTTTTTTTTCTAGCTCAAATAATAAGCAAATGGAATATTATTTATAAAAATTCTTCATTACTACAAAAACTCTATTATTTAAGCTATCTAAAAAACCAAGTACCAACATTGTGGCGCCAAAAATGAGAGCAATACGAAGCTTCAAACTCTCAGAGAGCCAAAAACAGCCGTGCGGCTTGCAAAGGTTGCTCTCACCGTAAGGTTAGCGCTCCAACTTCTTAAGCTTATAAAAAGGCGAAGGAACGTCCATTTAAATAAAACTTGTAATAGTGGTTTCATGTGTTCCTTGACAATTGATTTGGCTTAGAAAAAAGTTATATGAAAACGTAGAATTCCTTTAAAATTGCGATTAATTGACTCACGAAATAGCGTACATATTATTTTTCGGGTGTCGCCTATTTCGTGACACTACCGATTCAAGGATATTATGGATAACATTTTTTTCTAATGGTTATATAAATATTTTCACATATTGTTAGAATTAACAAATCAAAATATTATACTAGACTCACATTATTTCTTATGAATATTTCAGGTAAGTAATATCGTCAATTTCACATATTTATTTTATTCTAAATTTTTATTATCGTTTTTAAATTTATTAAACCCTTAATCATTATTAAAATATCCTAACTGTATGCATAAAACCTTATCCCGAAATAGGGGACATGAGTTCACGAACTTAGAAACAGAGCAAAATTTTGTCACGAAACAGGACCCAAACAAGAGGTCCGCAGAAAAATTAATATAAAAAAAAGTTCAAACTATATAACTATAAATTATGTATTAACTTACTGTCAAAAGACCAAAGTTTAGCATACAAAAGCTTTCATACTGATATCATGCTTGGTTATTTTTAAATAAAATGTTAAAGTCGTAAGAGCCTTAATATACCGAAGTAGGGGGCACTTACCTTACCTGTCTACATATTAATATACCTACCTTTACGAAACCTTTTACAGATCCAATCGATTTCTTGCATGTCGATGCTGAACAAGCATTCCTATTTTATGGACTCCAATAGCGATATTAACAATAATGATGTAGTAGATATGATAGCATCGAAGGGCTACTTACCTGATGAGAAATATTTACCAAAAACTTCTTTCGTCAAAAGTTCTGGTAAGTTAGTAATTTAAACTCATCATTAAAAGCAATTTAAACCATTAAGGTATAAAAGTTTTAAACGATATTATTATGTGACTAGTTAGTTACTTTAATGATCATTTTTTATCCTAGATAACGAAGTAACTTACTTGCTCTCTAAGTTATCAGACGACGAACTGATAAAGCTATTAAACGAACAGCCGAAGAAGAATGAGTATGACTTAAAAGATATCGTAAAATTGGCATTTGATTCTAAGTTCGTAAAGGATAACAAATTGAATGTAGACAATACACCTCGAGAAGTAAACAATGATTTCGATACCCAAAACAGTGTCAAGAAAAGATTCCGAACTGTACCAGAAAAGAATAAATCACAAATAGCGTTTTTTAAATTGGATAATAAACAAGTGTATCCTTACAGTTTTAAAGCAGATGCCGATCCTAACTATGTTGCTATTCAAAAGTTAAGCAATATACTGTATAGCCGCCCTATCGAAACGGATAAGGATGAAAAGACTACAGAAGACGAAGAAAAGAAAGAATTGCTTTTTGATGTTTTGGTGTCGCAATTAAAAACACTGTGCTGCAAAAAGACGAGACATATTAATAAGGTGACCAAGTATCAACCCGTAAATGATTTTGTGCCTGCTAACGCAGGACATAATGTTAACGCACTAGACAGTAAAACAGAAAGAAATGAGCATATGTTTTTAATTATCAATGATGAAATAAAAAGTAATGGAAGCGATGAACTTATATCTGTAGATCCAGATAGTCTTGAGAGGAATAGTAGCGTGTTATTACTGGGGCCTATTAACACTCCGTTGACTAATAGTCAATTAAAATTAGTTGTGAGTAATTAAATAATAGCTCATAGTGTTATAATTTAAATTGTTTACGATTATTGAATTTATTGATACATTTCAGATGTACCGGATATCAAACGAATTATCGAAACCTGAATATATTCCTCTGCTGCAGCAACTTTCTGAAGGAAATTTAACTGGGAACAATATTAAACTTATGAAAAGTTTAGTGACTGGCCCAGAAACAAGAAGATACATCAAACCACATAGATGTAACCATCAATCTAAGTTGGCCAGAATCTACGGCGGTCCAAAATGGCTTATTTGCACTGGATATTTAAATTTAAATACTCCTAGTTATTACGACTGAATAAATCAAATTATTTGTATTTTAAGTGATCTACTTTTAAAAACCTTTCTGTTTCTCGGCGCTTGCGCTTGTGCTTCATCATACAAGTAGGTATGCATGAGTGCCAAAATAGCTATTGCAAAGGAGCATTACCTGATCATCATCATCATTTCAGTCAAAGGACGTTCACTGATGAATACACGGTGATACTAATTACCGTGACATTAGGCCTTCCCCAATCATTTGAGTGCATTACCGCAGTAATTTTTTTTAAAATGTTGTACTTTAGAGAATCGAGAGTATAGCAGATAATTAGTCCATCGTGAGCAGTAATTTGTCCACTAATAGCAAAATTCGTTCAAATGATAGTTTTAAAGTTATTAGAAAAAAACAGATTTTGCTGCGGTAACGTTTCAAACATTACTTACTCTGGCAATTTTTTTTTTAAAGTCGTCACCACCTTCGACGATTATCACACTGCACCGCGCTCCGCCGCGGTCCGCGTGATTAGGTATACCTTGATTTTTTAGAATCCAGCAGAGATGTAAACAAACGCTTTCATACACAATTACACCATAATCACTTACGTGTTCATAATATCATACACATTATTTAACAAGCCCATAAAACCAACTTTATTTTCACGTTTATACAAGTTTGAAATCAATCTTTGAAACAAATATTTTAGCAAAATACAAATTTGTGAGACTTGTCAAATTGACTTGACGTTTAAAATCATGTGTTATCTCCATATTGTCTATGACTTGTCTCTGACACATCAGTGCCGTAACCTGTGAGTCATAGACAATAATCTGTAAATTTAATCGATATTCAAATGTCATTTGTACGACCCTTTTGCAGGAGGCGTCATCCAAATTTTTGACCGGAAGTCGTTATTTCCACTTTCGACATTTTTGGACCAAATCTCCGAAAGCATGGCAACACTGGAGAAATTTCTTCACCCAAGCGACACCTCTTGACAAGACACACAAACGCCTCATACAACTCGTCTTTCCCAAATGTTGCCAACTACTCGAAAAATGTCACCTTTCAGTTTTAATTTCACTTTACAAAATTCGACAACCGTCATTCAGGACTGATTTTTCGCAGGCAACCCTATACCACCGTGTTCATAATGAAATAATCTTTATTTTCATTTATATTTGATTAAATTATCAGACCGATGCAAAATGCTCTATCAATTTACCTGTTTATACCTGGCAACCCGAGAGTTATGACTGGAAAAGAATAGGCAACCTAACGTTTGCATATTCTATGGGCTTCATACTTTCGATTGGTATGGAGTTTGTTTAATAATCAAACCGATGAAATATTTAAAAATAAAACTTTTTTTAATGATTAATTAATCATATCCTGGACTGAAATTTATTAGGCAACCCTTAAGCAATATAATTATTGACATGTTAAATTGAATATAAAATACGTTTCATCAAATAAGCATCTCGGTGAAGGTCGTTGTATAGCGGGATCTTATACTATTAGCTATTTAAACCGATGTCAATATAATTTTAATGAAAATTGTGTTTTCTGGCCACTGTGATACAAGCATGTAGTGCAGAGACTGGTACACTAAAATAAAATTGTACATTTGTGATTTTGAAGAAATAAACACTTATTTACTTTTTTGTTTGTTTTCATGATGCCATTTCTGAGAAAATGAACCTTGATAGTCAGATTAGCATACAATGTTAATGTAAAAGTGAGGCATAACTAAAATTAAGTTCCTTTAATTATATTTAGGACTGGAACCTTAAAAACCATTTAAATAAGTACTGTATTGTAATTCAACTGACTGTTTTTTATCCAGCACCTCTTTGACCGTTGCGTTGCTTTCCGCCCACCCATCCTCTTCTAACAAGCCTAGGCACGTCCCACACACTGCGAGCTTGCGTCTCTTCGCTTGAGGAGACCCCGTACCATTATTTACGTCTTCTCCATTGCCATTAGCAGCTTCAGTGACCATCTCAACGTCATTTTTATTCGATTCATCCTCAGCGTCCATCTCCACATCATTCTGATTTAATGCTTCGTTTTTTGTGACACTTTGTGTAGATTTGTCGTCAGTATGACTTGTGACGGTGGCATCTGAAGATGAAGATTTTTGCTCGGTATCTGGTTGCTTGTTTTGGTCGTTTGTGGGTTTATCGTGAAACTGGAAGCAGATTTCATATTCAATTTAATAAAAATTTCATGCATTTAAGGGGTTATAACTAGTATTGTTACCTAAATCGGTTTGAAATTCATGAAAATCTGTATTTTAGGTTATGTATTTGTTTATGTAAATATTTAAATTAATACACAAGTTTTCCAAAAATATTTAGGTAAAACGACTTCAACTACTCATTTAACAACTTGCTAAGCTGAGAATTGTTTAAAATTATATATTTAGGGTACAAAAATCCATTAAAACAAGGATACTTACTTTGGCACAGAAAGTTTTTACATTTTCATAGGAGTTATAATTTTTAATACCTATAAACCGTAAACAGCAAGAATCGCAACAGCCTTGCTCTTTACAGAGCTTGAATATATCTTTTTGATTCATTTTCACTGCAAAAACACAAAAATGCGTTCAGCAGCAGCTAGCTTCCAAACCAAAAAAGTTTTGACAACAATTGTATCAAATTAAATAAACGGTCGTAACACCTAAGCAGCAGAGTTCAAAATTTAATAAAATTAGGCAGAATGATGACAACCAATGTCGCTGCAATACGTTCCGTTACCAGGCTTTTGTTCCGATGATTCCGATGATGATGAGGTAAGTTTTAAAATTTCTTATAATCGACTTTTATTAAGAAATAAATACTAATCTGTATCAGAAAAAGCGTCACAATTTTATTTGAAGCATATAAATTCGACTTTCTCATTGCAGTTTTATTGTAATCAGCTATATAAACTTTATCCCAAACATATTATGTGTAGAACTAAAATACATGACTTTACATTATTGCCATTAACAAAAACATAATCAGCTGATTGATTACTTCCTTCTTTTGGATATTAATTTAGCTGATAGCGGTCGCTATGCAGTAGTTTTTTGTTAAGAAATGTTTTAATTTAATAAATCTTGATTTTTAGTTAAAATTCAGTTCTACATAGTCAAAAAAAAGTTTTGAAAAATCATAATAGTTGAAACGTTGTTGCCATGTTTGTTCAGTATTGTCGAGTGCTGTCAGATTTTGTATTTTTATGTAATTCAAAATAAAAAATTCAAAATTACAAATAAATAGGTTTGTGCTTGAGGAATAGTCTGCAAAAACTAGGATTTAATAATAAAACATGGGAACCGTTCATGCAAAGGTAAAGTTTGGTTTATACTTTTGTTTGTATTGGTTAATTTCATAGGTTATTTCTTCATAGTTATCTTTGAGAACTTAATTATTTTGCTACCAAATACTTATTGAAAAGTATTTTCTGAAAGTGTGCATGTTTTTAGTTACAATTTTTTTTAGTATTTCATGCCAATGAGTTTAATAATGAGTAAATCAAATACATTTCAGTGCATCAGCTGGTTGATTTTTTATAGTTACCGATCAACTATCTAGTAAAGTGGTAGCACTATCATACTCATTAAAAACAGCTTTTGTAAATGTGTATTCTGTTGACATAATTATAATATTGTAATTTTTTATCACAAAATCTTATTCAGCCTGATATGCCATCATTTGCACTTATATTCAAGTTAGTATTTCCTTGGGGGAGGCCTTTGTCCAGCAGCAGACATAATTTGGCTGAAACAAATGAACGAACTATTGCAGAAGTACATGTGTTTTACATTCACAGGCAGCCGACAATTCAGGGGAGGTGGGGGGCGGGCTGTTCGAGTTTGACGAGCCGATCGATTTGGATGAGGAGCCCATACCCAAGCCCACCATCAAGCTGGACGGAGTTAGGGTAAGTTTTATATGATGACAAAAATAAGTATGTAAAAGGTGTAAACTTTATTCACCACTTTTCTTAAGTTGTCTAAACAATCTAAAAACATGGTCATGGTTGCTATGTGGTGTCATGGTACTTAGAAAGATAACACAAAAGAAAACTAAAGGCAAAATTATTTAATATGTTCAATAAATTCTTGATTGAATAACAATAAACTTGTTAAAATATAAGGACAAAAAATATAGAAAGATATAGAAAAAGTTATAATGTTTAGTGCAGACCAGCTATGTAGGTATATCAATAAAAAATTTGGCCATAGTTTTTATCTCTAGATAGATAGAGTATGCATAAACACCTGAACCATAGCTCAAGTGCAATTAACTGTTAATTAAATATTTTATTTTTATCCGCAGGCCCGAGTTGACAGAGTCCACGTGGACGGACTGAACCGGACCAAGGATGACATCATCAAGAGCACCGTCGACGAGCTGTTCCACGCCACAGACTTCGAGGACGTCATCATGAGGGCACATAAGGTAGACCTTGTATACTTATAGTGATTTGAGCTTTACTTTCATGTCATTAAAGGTTGAAACATAAATTGCTTTACTAGTAGGAATGTTTTTAGGGGACAATTTGAACTTTAAGGGGATACTTTGAATTCTGAGGGTTTATGAATGTTTTTTGCTTTTTGTACTGTCAAGGGTCAGCTTACTGCTAAAAGATCAGTATACCCTTTGGGCATTATTCTAGATGACGTTGTTGCGTTGTTGGTCATATTTGGTGACCTCGTCGTTATAAAAGTCCTAAGCGTCAAGTGGTACGCATTATACTTCCTTACATATCTATTTGTATTTTGCCCTTAAGTGTATAAGGGCCCTTTCCCACGACAATCTAAAGCTTGGTCCGTGAGCACGTAGAATTTTGTCCAATGACCCCAAGCTACCCATCCTTATCGCTCGCGCGTAATTATATTGCTATCGCGACTCTGCGACGGGCGCCCGCAGTGAGTGTGCGAGCGCGACAGCAATATAATAATACACGCGAGCTATAAGGATGGATAGCTTGGGGTCATTAGACAAATTCTACGTGCACACGGACCAGGCTTTAGTTTTGCGTGATCCTTACTGGTGGAACTGCGCACCTCGCTGCAATACGACTTTCCCTCGCACTCACACACACCTCAACGAAGTCGAACCTTAATTTCGAACTCCTATGTTCTTCTGATTAATTTCGTTGCGGGTTCAATGACAGTTTAACTTTCCCCCGGGAAAAACTTGACCTTCACTGGCTGGGTTATTGGCGATCAAGCTGTAGATCCTGGCTACACAGGAGTTGCAGCGGTGGGAATAGTCCCGTACACACCTCCCCGCGTTCGTCCCGTCCATATCAGAGCGTCAATGTGACGTCACGGCTGCCAGGTGCGCAGTTAACAGCCCAATGTGATAGCTCAATTAATCTGGGGGCACGGCAGTGCCCCCACCAAGTCGAGCACGGCCGTACCATCCTTTTCTCGAAGCAATTCAGGCCATTTTCGACCGCCTGTAACTTCGTTGTGGATAAAACTAGAAGGCTGAATTTTCATTAGCTATGCAGGCATTGTAAAGACACGGTATATTTAAAATTTCATTCAATTTGAACCAGTAGTTTAAGAATTATAACGGGTCAAAGTTACTTAATTTTGTCACTCACTGACTTTAAAAATGTTTGCATATATTAAGGTATAATTGAGAAAAAAAATAAAAACAAAAATCACTAAAATCATTTTTCCTAATTAACTGAATGCGTTTACGAAGCACTTAATACGCTTATTACGTGTAGTTTTAAGAGCTCTATGAAGTATTATAACAATTATGAATTAAATGTTATTAGTTAATGAGTGAGAATATTTTTGCATAATTTTGAAGTAAAAAAATAGGTAACTTTGAATTTTTATACCGCGAAAACTACTTGGAATTTTCAAACGGGAGTTTTACTATCATGTTTGTATAACTGAGCTCTATACGGTTCATCAAATAAATGAGAATGTCCGATTATACAGTCTCATAACATACTGTGCGGTAGTGCAATCGCCAAGTCGAGTAAAATTTTTCAATTTCGGTCCAGTTTTCTAGATACATAACTGCTGTCTACAAAATACAAAAAGAAATGAGATCCCATCAAAAACAATACTTGTCAAAAAAACCAAGTCTCGCAACATAGTTGTTCTACGGTAAAAAGTTGTGAGATCCATGTAATGCCAAGTCCAGGCCAGGAAATCTTTAACGTTTTACATAAATATATTGACTTGGCCATCGCATGAAAACACGTGTAAATTAAATTATTTAGTGCGATGGCCAAGTCCATATATTTGGGTCATTCCATAAAAATCTGTATATTTTCGACGTCATTTTGTCCGTAACTTTTTTAAGATGCTTTTGAATACTTTATTAGTGTAAATTATTGTTTATTAATTAATTATGTTATGTCTAAAAGGGCCAGTCACTTTATGCTTTATTTTAGGAGAAATTACAATTTTCAACTTTTTCATACTACATTACTCCTATATGACTTCTAATAAAGTATAAAACTTATAACCTTAACATTTATAGATAAGTTAATACACATAATGTAGTTGTTTTGTTATTATCACTATATAAAAAACATCATTCCCTAACTAGTAATTTAGTCCCAAGTGCCATTTAAAGCTAGGGCCTGACGCTCTAGGGACTGACGATTTAGAGTAAAACTTAACACAAATGCAGATTAACTTTATATTATAAGATGCTTAATACGATGTGCCGAAAATAGCCAAAAAACCACACGTAAATACTATTAAATTATATACAATTTCCTATTATAATCAATAAAGCTACTCAACTAGGGACTGACGAAGTGACTGGATTAACACATGTTTCCGCAACAACTGGCACGTTTGCACTTATTCAAAAAACGGCTACCGCAAAGCCAGTATGGTCTGAGGATAACTTCGTATCGTACTTTAAACTCAACTAAATGTCATTCACTCTAAATACATATTAAAGCGCAAAATTATAAAATCAGTGCGTGGCGAGGGAATGACGCTAAAAACTGTAGACTCTTTTTCAACTAAAGAAAATCAAATTATTGTTTATTGAAACCGCAAAATATTAATAGAATTTGGTGTAATATACATTTAAGTAGATTATTCGTTAATTAAAACAAAGGATAAAGTTGATGTTTTTATAAATGTGGGTCCCAAAACACAAACTTTTGGAGTACGGACATGCCTAGGGAATGACGTTTTGGGTCATTCAAAAGGAATTTAAGATGTTTTAAAAATAGTTTCAAAAAATATAAATGGGTGATGAATAAAGCACATTGCGAGCTGTTATTTAACAATTTTGGAATAAAATATTAACAAATATTTCATGTGAAATGTGGCGCGGACTAAGAGTTGACATATTTTTGTGGAATGACCCATTTATGTAAAACGTTAAAGATTTCCTGGCCTGGACTTGGTATTACATGGATCTCACAACTTTTTACCGTAGAACAACTGAGTTGCGAGACTTGGTTTTTTTGACAAGTATTGTTTTTGATGGGATATTATTTGTTCCCTGCAGGTGCGTCGCGCTCTAGACGCGATGGGGTGCTTCCGAGACATCGGGGTCTTCATCGACGTGTCCTCGGGGCCCGGCGCCACGCCCGAGGGGCTCGAGGTATTATTTTATTTATTTATTGCTGTGCTTGTTGATTTTTATACATTTCTACTTGCTTGCTTTCCGCCCGCGGCTTCGCTCGCGTGGAATTTTGTCTGTCACAGATAAACTCTATCGTGCGCGTCCCTGTTTCGAAAACCGGGATAAAAACTATCCTATGTCCATTCCCGGGACTCAAACTGTCTCTATGCCAAATTTCACCAAAATCGGTTCATTAGTTTGGCGTGAAAGCGTGACAGACAGACAAGAGTTACTTTCGCATTTATAATATTAGTATAGATTTGTATTACTGTCCCGTTAACCCCTCGTACTAAGCTAAATATGCTTGTGATACAAGTGAGCTCACCACAATAGTCGAGCGGCGGCGGGATTCGAACCCTCGTTTCTCGGATTTCGAGCCGGCTAGTCCCATCCCTTCATTATCATCATCATCATTTCAGCCATAGGACGTCCTGTGGTTGAAATGATGATGATGATCTAGGGCTATTTTTAGGGGAGCTCTGGTCCCTCATATGCCATGTCCGTATCCTGACCCCCCAAATCGTTATCAAATTGAGAACCATGGAAACCTTGAACGATTTTGAAGGGAATTTGGCATATTAATTTTTTTCAGGTAACATTTCAAGTGAAGGAGCTGTCCCGCATCGTGGGAGGCGTCAACACCACCGTCAGCGAAAACGAGGGCAACTTGGTGTTGGGTGAGGAATTATAATTATTGTTGAAGCAATGGGACTATGGGTCTCCACATTATACTGGAAATCATTTCTTTGTGAATGGACTTGGCTCTTTGTGAAGCTGAGGATTGATTTCTGGTACTTTTTAGCATTTATCAGGTGCATCTCTCTTCATACTTTTTGTGTACACACAAATTCAATTGTTTTCCAATTTTTGATTTCCACACTTTAACATTAAACTTCGTCCTTTTTCTTAAACATTCGCTATTATGTGTCCAAAGTTCAATAAATCAATGTTTTTTGTTGTTGTTGGGGGGGACATCCAAGTATTCAGAACTACCCCCTTCATATGGCTCGTACTTACTTAAAGTACGGCCAACGAGAAGCGATACCAAATGTGAACAAACCCAATGTCATGGGTGAACCCGTCTGACTTTGACATATTTTGGCGGGAGAACGAGACATTACGACAAATACACAAGATGGGAAGAGACAGAATATATTGTCAACTCGACAGTCGTATCGACCTTTTGTTTTGCTGCTAGTTGGCCGTACTTAACTTACTTTTTAGCACCCTGTATATTTTTGTAAAAAAAAAAATCATTTTATCTTTTTATCGTTTCCGAGGGTAGGCGTGAAGGTGCCCAACTATCGGCCGACTATAAGTTTGTAGTCTACGGGGAGTCTAAAACATATTTTTCTTTTTGTTTCCGCGGGTAGGCGTGAAAATGCCGAACGTAGCGGGTCGCGGCGAACGCCTCGCGGCCGAGTACAGCATGGGCTACCGATCCTCTTCCAACTTCAGCCTGCAGGCCACTAAGCCCTACCCGCATAAACCTTTAGTGCCCGTGTGAGTATGCCTCAAACACTTCCTCATCTTAGTTCAACAGCAGATCTATGTACTAAGTATAAAAAACCTGCGACCGCTGAGGGAATGCATTCCAGACTGCTCGATACGACCAATAAATAATCTTGACTGGAGGAGGGGGGCGCGGAATTTTTTGTATGGTGGAAAGGGGGCGCGTCTCAAATAAGTTAACCAACTTCGAACAACTCGAAATGAGCATGCTTATTAATAATAAAATAGATTGACTCATAATAGTTTAAGTTTCTGTTTATTTGTTTTATCTTTACGCCTTGCGTATACTGTGCAAAGTTGTTCACCTCACCCGAATGTTTTTAATTCTACCGTTAGCAATATTTAACGCCAGCGTTAAACTCAAACGCACGCATTGCAAAATGTACCTTATGCCTAGGACGATTTTATCATTACCTTGCCGTAACACAGTCTTGTACTAGTACGGAAGGTAAAGGATTGTGTTTCTGTACCTACCTACATTTTTCTAATAAAATTGTATTGCTTTAAAATTGGTTTTAAGTTAAATAAGAGATACAGTTAGTTATTTAACTATTTTTCGGTTTGTACAAATTGTAACATTATGCACAATAAACTTATTTGTATTTGTATTTGTAATAGCAATCTGTCGACATGTACTGAGTAGAGCAATTGCTCAATACTGGTATGCTTTTGACATGATAACACATAAGCATGCCACTGTTGAGTATGTGTAACTGTACTTTACGATCAGTCTCGGCTATCGCTCCTCTTCCAACTTCAGCCTGCAGGCCACCAAGCCCTACCCGCACAAACCTTTGGTGCCCGTGTGAGTATACAACACTCTTCATCATCATCACCAGTTCATTCGTTTAGGACAAGGGTGCACCAAGGGCCTGCCAGCGACCTAATAAAATAGCAAAATTATAACACTGAAACTTTATTCAGTTGTTTTTATTTTCTGCGACTCTCTTTTAGCTCATAATCTGCCCGAGTGGCCCCAGGTCCCAGTAGGTCTATGCATGCTTAATTTAGGGCCAGTAAAATCCATATTAAAAAATTTGAATTTGAATTTATTAAGCTGCTGGGTCTGTAGTTTCAGTGGTGTAAATTGGAAGGAACAATATCTCTTAAAAGTGAGAATGAATAGTCAATTACAGGGCAGATATGTATGTACTATTCTAGACTGCATCTCACTTCACATCAGGTGCGATTGCGGTCAAATACCTGCCATGTTCTGCAAAAAAAAAAGTCTAACTAAAAATACGTGTATATGGTCTGTTTCACTTTGATCACCTGGATCAAAGTGGACTCCAAGTGACCCTTTGGTGTCCTTTGAACACCCATGAATAAGTATTAACTACAGCTTATGGTTGATCCCCGCAGGGTATCAGCGACGGTGTACCAGCAGAACCACGAGTACCCCTGGTCTGGCTACCGACTGCTGGACCGTGGCCTATTGTTGGACCTGGCCTTCAAAAGCGCGCAGGCGGTGAGTCGAAGTCATACCATAAAGCCGAACGTCCACCGCCGGCTAAACTAAGTTAGTTTAACTTAGCTCGCATAGTTGAGCCAGTTCTTCATACATATGCGTCCACCGCAAACTATAAATATAAATATATAAATATCCTTGGACATTTTACACTACGCCGCTAGCCCCAAACTAAGCAAAGCTTGTACTATGAGTACTGGACAACGGATATAAACATACTTAGATACTTTTTTTTTTTGGTAAATACATACATATTATACATAGAAAACACCCAGTCCAATACAAACAAATATGTTCATGCACACAAATGTTTGTACTGTGCGGGAATCGAACCCGCAACCTCCGGAATAGTAGTCCGATTCGAACCACTACACCAAACGGCCGACAAATCTATCTATTCTATGCCAGCTAAGCTGTGTAAAATGCCCCAGCTAAGTGGAACTAACTTAGCTCGGCTAACTCGACGTTCTAGCACAAACTGACCATCACTAACTTAGTTTTAGCTTATTTATTGGTGGACGGACAACGTAGTTCTAGTTTAGCTTAGCTTAGTTCACTGAGTTTAGTTTTCATTTACTTTAGCCGGCGGTGTTCAAATGTTATAGNCGTTTCCCGCGCTTTTCCAAAAATGCGTTCAGCAGCAGCTAGCTTCCAAACTAAAGTTTTGACAACAATTGTATCAAATTAAATAAACGGTCGTAACACCTAAGCAGCAGAGTTCAAAATGTAATAAAATTAGGCAGAATGATGACAACCAATGACGTTCCGTTACCATGCTTTTGTTCCGATGATTTGTTTTAAAATTTCTTATTATCGACTTTTATTAAGAAATAAATACTAATCTGTATCAGAAAAAGCGTCACAATTTTATTTGAAGCATACAAATTCAACTTTCTCATTGCAGTTTTATTGCAATCAGCTATATAAACTTTATCCCAAACATATTATGTGTAGAACTAAAATACATGACTTTACATTATTGCCATTAACAAAAACATAATCAGCTGATTGATTACTTTCTTCTTTTGGATATTAATTTAGCTGATCGCGGTCGCTATGCAGTAGTTTTTTGTTAAGAAATGTTTTAATTTAATAAATCTTGATTTTTAGTTAAAATTCAGTTCTACATAGTCAAGAAAAAGTTTTGAAAAATCATAATAGTTGAAACGTTGTTGCCATGTTTGTTCAGTCTTGTCGAGTGCTGTCAAATTTTGTATTTTTATGTAATTCAAAATAAAAAATTCAAAATTACAAATAAATAGGTTTGTGCTTGGGGAATAGTCTGCAAAAACTAGGATTTAATAATAAAACATGGGAACTGTTCATGCAAAGGTAAAGTTTGGTTTATATTTTTGTTTGTATTGGTTAATTTCATAGGTTATTTTTTCATAGTTATCTTTATAAACTTATTTAATTTGCTATCAAATACTTATTGAAAAGTATTTTCAGAAAGTGTGCAAGTTACAATTTTCTTTAGTATTTCATGCCAATGAGTTTAATAATGAGTAAAACAAATACATTTCAGTGCATCAGCTGGTTGATTTTGTATAGTTACCGATCAAGTAAAGTGGAAGTGGTAGCACTATCATACTCATTAAAAACAGCTTTTGTAAATGTGTGTTCTGTTGACAGCATAATTATAATACTGTACTTTTTTATCACAAAATCTTATTCAGCCTGATATGCTATCATTTGTACTTATATTCAAGTTAGTATAATGAGAGATTTCAAGTTAGTATAAGACATAACGCACCTTCGGTAGAACAAGGGCACAATTGCACTTTTTGCAATTTTACAGGAGAGCTATTAATTATTAGCTACACATTTTTAAAGTATTTCTGCATACTTAACTCATTTTTGCATTTTTTGACAATTGTGCCCTTGTTCTACCGAAGGTGCGATAATTTGGCTGAAACAAATGAACGAACTATTGCAGAATTACATGTGTTTCACGTTCACAGGCAGCCGACAATTCAGGGGAGGTGGGAGGCGGGCTGTTCGAGTTTGACGAGCCGATCGAGTTGGATGAGGAGCCCATACCCAAGCCCACCATCAAGCTGGACGGAGTTAGGGTAAGTTTTATATGATGACAAAAATAGATATGAAATGATGGGATGAAATATCTAAACTTTACTTACCACTTATCTTATAAGTTGTCTAAACAATCTAAAAACATGGTCAAGGTTACTTATTGGTAACTACGTAATGTGGTGTCATGGTACCTAGAAAGACAGGATAACACAAAAGAAAACCAAAGGCAAAATTATTTAATATGTTCAACAAATTTTTGATTGAATAACAATCAAATTGTTAAATATAAGCAAGCATGCAAAAGGATTAGAATAGAAAGTATGTAAAATTAGCCCATACCATAGCTTAAATTCAGTCTGTTAATAAAATATTTTATTTTGTCCGCAGGCCCGTGTTGACAGAGTCCACGTGGACGGACTGAACCGGACCAAGGATGACATCATCAAGAGCACCGTCGACGAGCTGTTCCACGCCACTGACTTCGAGGACGTCATCATGAGGGCACATAAGGTAGACCTTGTATACTTATAGTGATTTGAGCTTTAGTTTCATGTCATTAAAGGTTGAAACATAAATTGCTTTACTAGTAGGAATGTTTTTAGGGGACAATTTGAACTTTAAGGGGATACTTTGAATTCTGAGGGTTTATGAATGTTTTTTGCTTTTTGTACTGTCAAGGGCCAGCTTACTGCTAAAAGATCAGTATACCCTTTGGGCATTATTCTAGATGACGTTGTTGCGTTGTTGGTCATATTTGGTGACGTCGTCGTTATAAAAGTCCTAAGCGTCAAGTGGTACGCATTATACTTCCTTACATATCTATTTGTATTTTGCCCTTAAGTGTATAAGGGCCCTTTCCCACGACAATCTAAAGCTTGGTCCGTGAGCACGTAGAATTTTGTCCAATGACCCCAAGCTACCCATCCTTATCGCTCGCGCGTAATTATATTGCTATCGCGACTGTGCGACGGGCGCCCGCAGTGAGTGTGCGAGCGCGACAGCAATATAATAATACACGCGAGCTATAAGGATGGATAGCTTGGGGTCATTAGACAAAATTCTACGTGCTCACGGACCAGGCTTTAGTTTTGCGTGATCCTAACTGGTGGAACTGCGCACCGCGCCGCAATACAACTTTCCCTCGCACTCACACACACCTCCACGAAGTCGAACCTTAATTTCGAACTCCTATGTTCTTCTGATTAATTTCGCTGCGGGTCCAATGACAGTTTAACTTTCCCCGGGACAAACTAGACCTTCACTGGCTGGGTTATTGGCGGTCAAGCTGTAGATCCTGGCTACACAGGAGTTGCAGCGGTGGGAATAGTCCCGTACGAACCTCCCCGCGTTCGTCCCGTCCATATAAAAGTATCAATGTGACGACATGGCTGTCAGGTGCGCAGTTAACTGCCCAATGTAAGATTTTAAACTTTCGCGTTCCATTTCAATTAAAATTGTAAGACACGGGTCTGCAGCATCGCAGCCGAAACGTCCAAGCTGTGAGTACATAAGGGGTCATCCATAAAGTACGTCACACGTAAAGAGGGGGGGAGGGGGTCGACAAAGTGTGACATGGTGTGACAAGGGGTGGGAGGGGTCCTAAGTTTCGTGACATCACATTTCAAAATCTAATATATCTAGAGGTACTAATCGCGTAATTTGAAATATAAATTAAACTAAAAAATACCCCCACCACCTAAGCACAACTCCGTCGAAGTCGAAAACCTAGGAGAGTTTTAATGGGCAACCAATGAAGCCATTAAATCAATAAAATCTTTTGTAGGAATTATTTCAGATTTAAAATCTAATTCTACTGGCCTATAATGCTGCCAAACGCACCGTACCTCGCGCGTGATTTTATTGTTTCTATTTGTTGCTATTTTTTGTTAATTTAATAATTTTTCGATGTGAAATTGCAAAACATGTGACGTCACACTAGGGAGGGGGGGGTCTTAGAAATGTGACCACCTGTGACAAGTACGGGGGAGGGGTCAAAAAATCATGAAATTCGTGTGACGTACTTTATGGATGGCCTCTAATGTAACTCATTAATAAACGTCGCGTTAAGACCCGTGTCTTACTATTTTAACTGCCCAATGTGATAGCTCAATATTATTTGTTCCCTGCAGGTGCGTCGCGCTCTAGACGCGATGGGGTGCTTCCGAGACATCGGGGTCTTCATCGACGTGTCTTCAGGGCCCGGCGCCACGCCCGAGGGGCTCGAGGTATTATTTTATTTATTTATTGCTGTGCTTGTTGATTTTTATATATTTCTACTTGCTTGCTTTCCGCCCGCGGCTTCGCCCGCGTGGAATTTTGTCTGTCACAGAAAAACTATCGTGCGCGTCCCTGTTTCTAAAACCGGGATAAAAACTATCCTATGTCCATTCCCGGGACTCAAACTGTCTCTATGCCAAATTTCACCAAAATCGGTTCATTAGTTTGGCGTGAAAGCGTGACAGACAGACAAGAGTTACTTTCGCATTTATAATATTAGTATAGATTTGTATTACTGTCCCGTTAACCCCTCGTACTAAGCTAAATATGCTTGTGATACAAGTGAGCTCACCACAATAGTCGAGCGGCGGCGGGATTCGAACCCTCGTTTCTCGGATTTCGAGCCGGCTAGTCCCATCCCTTCATTATCATCATCATCATTTCAGCCATAGGACGTCCTGTGGTTGTAATGATGATGATGATCTAGGGCTATTTTTAGGGGAGCTCTGGTCCCTCATATGCCATGTCCGTATCCTGACCCCCCAAATCGTTATCAAATTGAGAACCATGGAAACCTTGAACGATTTTGAAGTGAATTTGGCAAATGAATTTTTTGCAGGTAACATTTCAAGTGAAAGAGCTGTCCCGCATCGTGGGAGGCGTCAACACCACCGTCAGCGAAAACGAGGGCAACTTGGTGTTAGGTGAGGAATGATTAATATATTTACAAATTATTTTGAAGCTTACGAACGTTGTGACGTTGTGAATCGTACATATTAATTATGGTTCTTTCTTTGTGAAGTTAAGAATTTACTTCTAGTGCTTTTGCCCATTATTTATGTACTACAGTCACAGAATAATAATAAGTACTACGTACAGAAGGTTTAATTCGCGAAGGTATTTTAAAAAATTTATGCTCAATGTCATTAACAATATGGTGTAATTTAGCTTGTCTCAAGAGTCAAGCACCATGTTGTAAAAGTCTGTGATCTACAGGGAGTCTAAAACATATTTTTCTTTTTATCGTTTCTGAGGGTAGGCGTGAAAATGCCGAACGTGGCGGGTCGCGGCGAACGCCTCGCGGCCGAGTACAGCATGGGCTACCGATCCTCTTCCAACTTCAGCCTGCAGGCCACCAAGCCCTACCCGCACAAGCCCTTAGTACCCGTGTGAGTATGCAACAGTTCATCATCTTATATGTAGGTCTAGCGCTTAATTTCAGTCAGTGCCTGAGGTATGGGATATGGGAAGGGTGAGATGGGCAAACGACGTGACAGGGATATTAGACAGGGTTATAGGATGAAACATAAGGTATGAAGAGGACTACCTATAAGCTTTATGAATGACAGCTATTTTACCTTTATTTCTCTACATTTCGCGAGGCGTAAGCTGAGCTTTGAGTGATCACCAAAAGTAGAGTCGGACAAAAAACTTTTAAATAACCCTCCTCTGGCGCAGCCGCTGCTACTAGTACAAGAGGTGAAGTGTAATAACAGACGTGACTTGCGCCTCAAACCGATTGCCAAAAAGCGGTAGCTTAAACTGTCACACTAATTCCAGTTTTCACCATTATCCCTAATTTTTAAGTGACCTGTATGAAAACAAAATTCCTGTTATGTGTTACCATAGGGGTCACTTAAAAATTAGGTATTAATGGTGAAAACGGGCATTACACTACCTATGTGCCCTCACACAAATGCTTACGCCTCGCGAACTGTACCTGTATGATTCGAACTCGAGAGCTCTCGTGACTAAAACGATCTAACCCTAACTAAAGACACGTGTTTCGTCGTCGTATTCACTACAGCTTATGGTTGATCCCCGCAGGGTGTCAGCGACGGTGTACCAGCAGAACCACGAGTACCCCTGGTCTGGCTACCGACTGCTGGACCGCGGTCTATTGTTGGACCTGGCCTTCAAAAGCGCGCAGGCGGTGAGTCGAAGTCATACCATAAAGCCGAACGTCCACCGCCGGCTAAACTAAGTTAGTTTAGCTTAGCTCGCATAGTTGAGCCAGTTCTTCATACATGTGCGTCCACCGCCAACTATGCCAGCTAAGCTACGTGAAATGCCCCAGCTAAGGCCCGGTTTTTTGATTCGTAGTTAAAATAACCAATAGTCAAATTTGACAGATGTCAAATGACAAGTAGTTGAATATCAGAAAAAAATGTTTTTCGAACAATGGTTAGCTTGACTTTTAGTACATTTTTTAACTATTAGTTAACATTTTGTGAATATTTAACCATTAGTGGCAAAATTTAACAATTAGTTATTTTAACTATGAATCAAAAAACTGGGCCTAGTGGAACTAATTTAGCTCGGCTAACTCGACGTTCTAGTGCAAACTGACCATCACTAACGTTGTTTTAGCTTATTTATTGGTGGACGGACAACGTAGTTCTAGTTTAGCTTAGCTAAGTTCACTGAGTTTAGTTTTCATTTACTTTAGCCGGCGGTGGACGTTCGGCTTTTAGATTGGCTATGTCCGCGACTTCGTAGCGTTAAAATAGTTTGAATAATATTTCCCGTTTTTGCAACATTTATCTTTACTGCTCCGCCCCTGTTGGCTGTAGGATGATGTTAAATAGCCTAAAACCTTCCTTGATAAATGGGCTATTCAACACAAAAATATTTTTTCAAATCGGAGCAGTCGTTCCTGAGGTTAGCGCGTTCAACCAAACAAACTAACTCTTAGGCCCAGAACACACGGTGAAACGCAACTGCAACGAAACTGCAACTTCTAGTTACTTTTGAGTTGTATGAAACTTAGATACCGTTGAGAGTGTCCGTTGAGAGACCACACATGACGCGACCATGCAGTTTGAAACCGATTTGAACTGGTCAAACTGGTCGCGTCATGTGTGGTCTCTCAACGGAATCTATGGCAGAAACTTAGATGCAACTCAAAAGTAACTAGAAGTCGCAGTTTCGTTTCACCGTGTGTTCTGGGCCTTATAGTAGCGCCCCTAGCTCAAGCACTAAAATCTTCAAATATTTTTTTGACGCACTCGCTAGCGATAATGTAAACTTTTCCAGTTGCTTTGATTAGAAATTACTACACGTTTTAACCAACCATTTTCATTAGTGTGACCTTCACCAGATCGTCAGTTCACCGAGTGGAAATTGAAAATATTCATGTGATTTGTCCGTTGCTTGCAGACGAAACACAACATCCAGTGGGAAGGACTGGTGCGTGATACTTCTGTCCTGAGCAAGACCACGAGCTTCCGAGTACGCGAGAGTAGCGGTGAGTTATCAGTTCATTCAGTAGGGTAGATGACACCTTAAGTCTAGGAGCAGACCACCGACTTTTAGTCGGCTGATAGCCAACTAAAAGTTAATTTGTCTGAAGAATCGGCCGATTTAGTATTGTCTTTACAGAAAAATCTTTATCAACCGACTTCAAATAATTAACTTTTTAAAAAAATAAAACCGACTTCAAATGCGTGAACACAAAAAAAAACTAAAAATTGAAAATATTGCGTATAAAAAAGTTCATCCCCAATTTTCCACCCTTGGGGGTGAAATATTTTCTTCAAATTCGCATGAAACCACCCTTTTGATAATACCTATTCAACAAAAACCTTTTTTGAAGTCGGTTGAAAAGGAAGAGGTTCTCAATTCGACCCGTATGTTTTTGTTTTTTTTCTATGTTTGTTACGCGATAACTCCGTCAATTATGAACCGATTTGAACAAATCTTTTTTCGGCGTATAGGTAATACTTCAAGGGTGGTCCCATTTAAATTTAATAATAGAAAAAACAACCCCCAAGGGGGGAAAATTGGGGATGAACTTTTTTATACGCAATATCTCCGCCGATTATAAATCAATTTGAACGATTATTTTTTTGTTGAATAGGTATTATCAAAAGGGTGGTTTCATGCGAATTTGAAGAAAATATTTCACCCCCAAGGGTGGAAAATTGGGGATGAACTTTTTTATACGCAATATTTTTAATTTTTAGTTTTTTTTTGTGTTCACGCATTTGAAGTCGGTTTCATTTTTTTTAAAAGTTATTTTACATTGACAATTGCGGTCGGCGGCCTATTAACCATTAGAGGTTTCGTACTTGCAGTCTCAGATGTTTACGTTTCGTAAATTCGTAATGTAGTATAATGTAGCATCGCTCGTGCGCAAACCCGTTATCCGTCCGCGCCACACTGCGCTGTTACACTCGATAAAAATCGTCTGTTTTGTGTTAAACCCCAATTGACTTGATAATGATTAAAGTATGTAAAGGACAATGACCAAAAATGTATGGAGTGTGGTCCAAATGTCCACCACTAACGAGACCTATGTAGTAAAATAGTCTACTAAATACTGATTCATTATAACCAAACCGCAATCAAAAATATGCTGTCAGTAAAAAGTTATGACTGAATGAAAAGTCATGTTTTTCACCTTTTCATCCGAAAAATGTTCTTGATATCATTCTATCCATCGCACATTTTGGATTAATCTATGCATGTTATGTCATGTCGCTTAGTGTGCCGTGTTAGATTCTCGCTAAAAGAAAAACAAAATAAGCTCAGAAGAAAGACAACAATATTGGAATTATGGTCGGGTGGTCGCTGCTCCGCCTCTGTTGGTTGTAGGGTGATGTTATATAACCTAAAACCATCCTTGATATATGGGCTATCCATAAGAAACATATTTTTTCAAATCAGAGCAGTAGTTCCTGAGATTAGCGTGTAAACTACTACAATTTTTCATACGGTCATAACTTTTTACTGACAGCTTATTTTTTTTTGGTCCCATACTGAAAGTTAATCTCTATTTAATGGAATATAAGCCAATATAGGTCTCATTAGTGGTGGACATTTGGACCACTTTTGGTCATTGTCCTTTCTTGTATCTACCAGGTCCTCAAATGAAGTCGGTCATCCGCCACATAGTCTCCGTCGACCACCGCGACGAAGGCGTGTTTCCAACCCGCGGGTCGTGGGTTCAGTTCGCGAGCGAGCTGGCGGGGCTGGGCGGCGGCGTGGCGCACCTCAAGACGGAGTTACACGCGCAGGCGAATGTACCTGTTGCTGATACGCTGGTGAGTGCCTTGTCTCTTGGTAAGACCACCTTGTCTCTTGGTAAGACCACCTTGTATCGTGGTATGACCACATTGTCTCTTGGGAAGACCACCTTGTCTCTTGGGAAGACTACCTTGTCTCTTGGTAAGGCCACCTTGTCTCATGGTAAGACCACCTTGTCTCGTGGTAAGACCACCTGGTATCTTGTTATGACCTTGTCTCGTAATAGAACACCTGGTCTGTTGGTAAGACCACCTGGTCTATTGGGAAGACCACCTTGTCTCATGGGAAGACCACCTTGTCTCGTGGTAAGACCGCCTTGTCTCTTGATAAGACCACCTTGTCTCTTGGTAAGACCATCAGGTCTCCTTAGAATCACTGTTGGTCTCTAGGACCATCTGTAGTCCAAGCCACCAGGCCGTCTGTAGTCGGTCGTCCGCCACATAGTCTCCGTAGACCATCGCGACGAAGGCGTGTTTCCAACCCGCGGGTCGTGGGTTCAGTTCGCGAGCGAGCTGGCGGGGCTGGGCGGCGGCGTGGCGCACCTCAAGACGGAACTACATGCGCAGGCCAACGTGCCTGTTGCTGATACGCTGGTGAGTACCTTGTCTCTTGGTAAGACCACCTGGTGTGTTGGTAATACCACCTGGACTGTTGGTAAGATCACCTGGTCTCTTGGTAAGACCACCTGGTCTCTTGGTAAGACCACCTGGTGTGTTGGTAATACCACCTGGACTGTTGGTAAGATCACCTGGTCTCTTGGTAAGACCACCTGGTCTCTTGGTAAGACCACCTGGTCACTTGGTAAGACCACCTAGTCTATTGGTAAGACTATCTTCTCTTGATAAGACCACATGGCCTGTTGGTAAGATCAGTCTCTTGGGAAGACCACCTGGTCTCATGGTAAGACCACCTTGTCTCGTGGTAAGGCCACCTTGTCTCGTGGTAAGACCACCTTGTCTCTTGGTTAGACCACCTGGTATCTTGTTATGACCTTGTCTCGTAATAGAACACCTGGTCTGTTGGTAAGACCACCTGGTCTATTGGTGAGACCACCTTGTCTCTTGGTAAGACTACCTTGTCTCTTAGTAAGACTACCTTGTCTCGGACCACCTGTAGTCCCAGGCCACCAGGCCCCCTGTAGTCGGTCATCCGCCACATAGTCTCCGTAGACCACCGCGACGAAGGCGTGTTTCCAACCCGCGGGTCGTGGGTTCAGTTCGCGAGCGAGCTGGCGGGGCTGGGCGGCGGCGTGGCGCACCTCAAGACGGAATTACATGCGCAGGCGAATGTGCCTGTTGCTGACACGCTGGTGAGTACCTGGTCTCTTGGGAAGACCACCTGGTCTATCGGGAAGACCACCTTGTCTATTGGTAAGACCACCTTGTCTCATGGTAAGGCAAGACAACCTGGCCTGTTGGTAAGATTAACCACCTTCTCTCTTGGTAAGACCACCTTGTATCTTGGTAAGACCACCTTGTCTCGTGGTAAGGCCACCTTGTCTCGTGGTAAGACCACCTGGTATCTTGTTATGACCTTGTCTCGTAATATAACACCTAGTCTGTTGGTAAGACCACCTGGTCTATTGGGAACACCACCTTGTCTCATGGGAAGACCACCTTGTCTCGTGGTAAGACCGCCTGGTCTGTTGGCAAGATCACCTTGTCTCTTGGTAACACCACCTTGTCTATTGGTGAGACCACCTTGTCTCTTGGTATGACCATCTTGTCTCGCGGTAAGACCACCTTGTCTCTTGGTAAGGCCACCATGTCTCTTGGTAAGGCCACCATGTCTCTTGGTAAGGCCACCATGTCTCTTNATTTTTTTAAAAAGTTATTTTACATTGACAATTGCGATCGGCGGCCTATTAACCATTAGAGGTTTCGTACTTGCAGTCTCAGATGTTTACGTTTCGTAAATTCGTAATGTAGTATAATGTAGCATCGCTCGTGCGCAAACCCGTTATCCGTCCGCGCCACACTGCGCTGTTACACTCGATAAAAATCGTCTGTTTTGTGTTAAACCCCAATTGACTTGATAATGATTAAACTATGTAAATTTCTTGTATCTACCAGGCCCTCAAATGAAATCGGTCATCCGCCACATAGTGTCGGTAGACCACCGCGACGAAGGCGTGTTTCCAACCCGCGGGTCGTGGGTTCAGTTCGCGAGCGAGCTGGCGGGGCTGGGCGGCGGCGTGGCGCACCTCAAGACGGAGTTACATGCGCAGGCGAATGTGCCTGTTGCTGACACGCTGGTCAGTACCTGGTCTCTTGGGAAGAGCACCTTGTCTCTTGGTGAGACTACCTTGTCTGTTGGTTAGACTACCTGTCGCTTGCTCAAACAGAGCGAGCCACAGTCTGGGGCGGAGCCGCGAAAGAATGTCTAGGCCATCTAGCTCGGACAATAACTCGCAGCACCGTCCCAAAGACTTCGGGAGGACACCGTCAGGTTTTAGTGAGTAGGCCCTGCCCATCTGGCAGGGAGAGCCTTACATAACCCACTGGTTCCCCCGGGCCAGTGGGTATGCAATTTCATGCATTTCCTGACGAAAAAAAAAAAAAAAAAATGGTTAGACTACCTGTTCACTCGGTAAGATCATCTGGTCTCCTTAGGATGACCTGTGGTCTCTAGGACCTCCTGTGGTGTCTTAAAAACCAGCTGCGGTCTCTTAAAACCACCTGTGGTCTCTTGAAGACCAGCTGCGGTCTCCTAAAGACCAGCTGCGGTCTCTTAAAACCACCTGTGGTCTCTTAAAGACCAGCTGCGGTCTCTTAAAACCACCTGTGGTCTCTTGAAGACCAGTTGTGGTCTTCTTAGGATGACCTGTGGTATCTTAAAACCAGCTGCGATCTCCCGAAGATCAGCCGCGGTCTCTAGGACCACCCGTGGTCTCTAGGACTACCCGTGGTCTCGATGACCTCTTGTGGTTTCTATTTCTAAGACCACCCGTGGTCTCTAGGACCTCCTGTGGTCTCTAGGACCTCTCGTGGTCTAGGGACCATCTGTAGTCCCAAGCCACCAGGCCGTCTGTAGTCGGTCGTCCGCCACACAGTATCTTAGGTGTCCTTAAGACCGCCTTAGGTGTCTTTAAGACGGCCTGCGGTTTCCTAAAGGCCGCCTAAGCTGTCCTTAAGACAGCCTGTGGTCTCCTTAAGCCGCCAGTCTCGCTCGGCGGTAGTCCAGGCCCCCTGTAGTCGGTCGTCCGCCGCACAGTGTCCGTAGACCACCGCGACGAAGGCGTGTTTCCAACCCGCGGGTCGTGGGTTCAGTTCGCGAGCGAGCTGGCGGGGCTGGGCGGCGGCGTGGCGCACCTCAAGACGGAGTTACATGCGCAGGCGAATGTGCCTGTTGCTGATACGCTGGTGAGTTACCACCTTGTCACTTGGGAAGACCACCTTGTCTATTGGGAAGACTTGGGAAGACCACCTGGTCTCTTGGTAAGGCTACCTGGTCTCTTGGTAACACCACCTTGTCTCATGGTAAGAGTACCTTGTCTCTTTGTACGACTACCTTGTCTCTTGGTAAGACTACCTTGTCTCTTGGTAAGACCACCTTGTCTATTGGTGAGACCACCTTGTCTCTTGGTAAGACCACCTGAACTATTGGTAAGGCCGCCTGGTCTCTTGGGAAGACCACCTTGTCTTTTGGTAAGATCACCTTGTCTCTTGGTAAGGCCACCTTGTCTCTTGGTAAGACTATCTTGTCTATTGGTGAGACTACCTTGTCTCTTGGTAAGACTACCTGGTCTATTGGGAAGAGCACCTTGTCTCGTGGTAAGACCATCTTGTCTCTTGATAAGACCACCTTGTCTCGTGGTAAGACCACCTGGTCTCTTGCTAAGAACACCTTGTCTCGTGGTAAGACCACCTGGTCTCTTGGTGAGACCACCTTGTCTATTGGTGAGACCACCTTGTCTATTGGTGAGACCACCTTGTCTCATGGTAAGACCACCTTGTCTCATGGTAAGACCACCTTGTCTCTTGGTAAGACCACTGTCTATTGGTAAGGCCACCTTGTCTATTGGTATGACCACCTAGTTTATTGGTAAGACCACCTGGTCTCTTGGGAAGACCACCTTGTCTCGTGGTAAGACCACCTTGTCCATTGGTAAGGCCGCCTTGTCTCTTGGTAATATCACACTAATAAACACACAGGTAAACAAAACACTAATTTATATTTTGTTATTCCAGGTGGTTCAACTATCAGGCGCGGCGGGCGTCCTGCACGACGTGTTCGGCACGGAGCTGGCCGACCACTTCTTCCTGGGCGGGCCCACCTCGCTGCGGGGCTTCAGACAGCGCGGCGTCGGACCGCACTGCGACGGGCAGGCCACTGGCGGGCGAGTGAGTGGTCTTTATTCCTTGCTCTATAAGTGTCATATTGCATTGATCTTACTGCGAGACTGATGCCAAGGTAAGCATATTTCTCGCTTTCTAGGATTCCCTTTAGGAAGCAAGCAAGCAGTCTTTAGAAGCCACGCCTTTGTCAACATGGGCTGTCTGGCGAACTCCTGCGCTGTTATGATAGCCTGGTACTTGGCTCCACCCTAATGCCAACTGAGACAGCGCTAACATTGGGTCTTCCACGCTTATTGAGCCACTGTCTAGATGCTATGCTGCCCTGGTACCTCTTACTGGTATTCACAAACGATGCTTGCATAAGTGAAGCAGCAAATCGAACGCACAGCGTTGAATAGTGCTCTGTGATTGGTTCGTGTGTCACCCTGTGCGTCCACGCGCACTGTGAGACCTCATAGTAATGTTTGTGACCACTTCTTCCTGGGCGGGCCCACCTCGCTGCGGGGCTTCAGACAGCGGGGCGTCGGACCGCACTGCGACGGGCAGGCCACTGGCGGACGAGTGAGTGGACATATTTCCTCCTTTCTAGGTTTCTGTTGAGGCGCAGTCATGCTGTCCTGGTACCTCCTGAAACTTACTTCATGGTCATCTTCAGCTCATCTCCCTTAGAAGGTTCCAGCAGCCAGGAGTTTCGGGCCACACTGCAACTTTTTAGGGCGTCTTTCTTCATGCAGTGACAGTGAGGCGTTTTGCTAGGATTCCGTTCAGGCAGCAAGCAAGTAAGCACGTTTTAGAAGCCACGGCATTCTCAACATGGGCTGCCTGGCGCACTCCTGCGCTGTTATGATAGCCTGGTACTTGGCTCCAAACTAATGTATCTTAGGTCTTCAAATCTCCACACTTATGCCACTGTCTGAGACGNCTTGAATATGCTTGTAATTTGTTCCTTTTTGACTCACAAAACCACGAGCCATCATCATCATGTTAGCCATAGGAAGTCCACTGCTGAACACAGGCTCTGATGCTGTTTTCACAATGTCCGGTTGGTGGAGGCCTGCATCCAGCGCCTTCCTGCTACCTTTATGAGGTCGTCGGTCCACCTTGTGGTTATGAGTCCTACGCTCCACTTTCCGGTACGTGGCCTCCACTTCAGAATCTTGCTGCCTCATCGTCAGTCTGTTTTGCGTTCTAAGGCAGAACCATTGCAAGATATTATCACAATGCTCGAAGAGTAAAGTATGTATAATATGGAAAAAACGAAGCTTTAGTCGAATGTCCATGTTGCCCCTTACCCAGTTTCGGTTAGGAGGTCAATTCTCGAGATTGTTGACAAGTAAGTATGTCTATCTCGGACAAACGCCTAGCTAGGTAGTTAGATGCAATTTCGAGAAAGAGGTAAATCGTCGAATACGAAGATGAAAGTCTTCCATTAGTGTGTGTTACCAGTGATGATATATGGCTCGAAAACGTGGCCTTTGAATTTATGGCACAGCGTGCTATGGAGAGGGATAAGCTTGGTGTTTCTTTACGAGATCTAATCAGCTCCGTAAACTAACTAAAGTCGCTGATATAGCCCGACGAATTAGTAAGCAGAAGTGGCAATGGGCAAGGCACATAGTACGCAGAACTCCATAGTCCAGTAAAATTAATGTTTGAAAAGGAGTTGAGATGTCTTTCTTTGTTGACCAAGTACCTATGACAAATGCTAAAATTTATTTAGAACAAGTTAAATTAACCATAAATAGTGATGGTGAAAGACATGAGAAAATCATTGGTCTTTGCCAATCATGTACTTTTTGGGCTTTGTGGCAGGTTGTGGAGAGTTTAAACGCTTTGTTTAAAATCTCAATTAAAACTTTTATCTGATTCCGATATTACGATATTAGATCGCTCAATATCGGAATTGAAATATCGGATCTAGCAGTCCGAGATTCCGATATTACGAGATTCCGAGATTCCGATATTCATGCCCTAGTGACAGGGTAAGAACACATCACATTTCTTCGCAGCGTGGTGTTAAAGCAAGCAGTCTTTAGATGCCACGCCTGGCGCACTCCTGCACTGTTATGATAGCCTGGTACTTGGCTCCACACTAATGTTAACTTGGACAGATCCAACATTGGGTCTTCTCCTTCTAAGCCTCTGTCTGAGACGTTATGCTGCCCTGGTACCTCTTACACGTATTCACAAATGATGCTTGCATAAGTGAAGCAGCAAATCGAACGCACAGCGTTGAATAGAGCTCTGTCATTGGTTCGTGTGTCACCCTATGCGTCCACGCGCACTATGACACCTCATAGTAATGTTTGTGACCACTTCTTCCTGGGCGGGCCCACCTCGCTGCGGGGCTTCAGACAGCGCGGCGTCGGACCGCACTGCGACGGGCAGGCCACTGGCGGACGAGTGAGTGGACATATTTCCTCCTTTCTAGGTTTCTGTTTAGGCGCAGTTATGCTGTCCTGGTACCTCCTAAAACTTACTTCATGGTCATCTTCAGCTCATCTTCCTTAGAAGGTTCCAGCAGCCAGGAGTTTCGGGCCACTCTGCAACTTTTTAGGGCGTCTTCCTTCATGCAGTGACATTGAGGCGTTTTGTTAGGATTCCGTTCAGGCAGCAAGCAAGTAAGCACTCTTTAGAAGCCACGGCATATCTCAACATGGGCTGCCTGGCGCACTCCTGCGCTGTTATGATAGCCTGGTACCTGGCTCCACACTAATGCCAACTGAGACAGCGCTAACATTGGGTCTTCCACGCTTATTGAGCCACTGTCTTAGATGCTATGCTGCCCTGGTACCTCTTACACATATTCACAAATGATGCTTGCATAAGTGAAGCAGCAAATCGAAAGCACAGCGTTGAATAATGCTCTGTGATTGGTTTGTGTGTCACCTTATGCATCCACGCGTACTATGAGACCTCATAGTAATGTTTGTGACCACTTCTTCCTGGGCGGGCCCACCTCGCTGCGGGGCTTCAGACAGCGCGGCGTCGGACCGCACTGCGACGGGCAGGCCACTGGCGGACGAGTGAGTGATTTAAGTAGGTTTTAAGGGCGTCTTAAGGCAGCGAGGTGTTCTGCGACGGGTGACAGGATAAGAACACGTCATTCTTCCTTTCTAGGTTTCCGTTTAGGCAGCGTGGCATTGGGCGAAAGCCACGCCTGGCGCACTCCTGCGTTGTTATGATAGCCTGGTACTTGGCTCCACCCTAATGCCAACTGAGTCAGCGCTAACATTGGGTCTTCCACACATGAAGCCACTTTCTTAGATGCTGTGCTGCCCTGGTACCTCTTACACGTATTCACAAACGATGCTTGCATAAGTGAAGCAGCAAATCGAACGCACAGCGTTGAATAGTGCTCTGTCATTGGTTCGTGTGTCACCCTGTGCGTCCACGCGCACTATGAGACCTCATAGTAATGTTTGTGACCACTTCTTCCTGGGCGGGCCCACCTCGCTGCGGGGCTTCAGACAGCGGGGCGTCGGACCGCACTGCGACGGGCAGGCCACTGGCGGACGAGTGAGTGGTCTTTATTCCTTGCTTTTAAGGGTCATATTGCACTGTCATCGCTGCGAGATTGATGCCAAGGTAAGCATATTTCTCGCTTTCTAGGATTCCCTTTAGGAAGCAAGCAAGCAGTCTTTAGAAGTCACGCCTTTGTCAACATGGGCTGTCTGGCGCACTCCTGCGCTGTTATGATAGCCTGGTACTTGGCTCCACACTAATGCCAACTGAGACAGCGCTAACATTGGGTCTTCCACGCTTATTGAGCCACTGTCTTAGATGCTATGCTGCCCTGGTACCTCTTACACGTATTCACAAACGATGCTTGCATAAGTGAAGCAGCAAATCGAACGCACAGCGTTGAATAGTGCTATGTGATTGGTTCGTGTGTCACCCTGTGCGTCCACGTGCACTATGAGACCTCATAGTAATGTTTGTGACTACTTCTTCCTGGGCGGGCCCACCTCACTGCGGGGCTTCAGACAGCGCGGCGTCGGACCGCACTGCGACGGGCAGGCCACTGGCGGACGAGTGAGTGATTTAAGTAGGCTTTTAGGGCGTCTTAAGGCAGCGAGGTGTTCTGCGACGGGTGACGGGTAAGAATAAATCATTCTTTTTTTCTAGGATGCCCTTTAGGGAGCGTGGCATTGGGCCTAAGCACGCACTCTTCAGAAGTCGCCTAGCACACTCCTTCGCAGTTATGATAGCCTGGTACCTGGCTCCGAAGTGGCTCCTCACTGATGCCAACTGAGACAGCGCTAACATTGAGACTTTTTCCTTCCACACTCATTAAGCCACTGTCTGAGACGCTATGCTGTCCTGGTACCTCCTGGAATTAGTCCATCTGTGACCACCATCATCAGGTGGCATCCTGGCTTCCAAAATACTGACTGAAAGCAGGGCGGTGATTACTTCATTCTTCTTAGGTGCTCTTGCTTCATCATCATCATCAGCTCATCTTCCCGGTAAGTCCTCATGCAGCGAGAGGGTGGGTCTTCTTGCTACAGGTGTCAGGGTAAGCGTATACCAAAGGTCTTCCAAGCTGGCCGACCACGTCTTCCTGGGCGGGCCCACCTCGCTGCGGGGCTTCAGACAGCGCGGCGTAGGACCGCACTGCGACGGGCAGGCCACTGGCGGACCTGTGAGTGGTCTTTATTCCTTGCTCTTAAGGGTCATATTGCATTGATCTTACTGCGAGACTGATGCCAAGGTAAGCATATTTAATTTTCTCGCTTTCTAGGATTCCCTTTAGGAAGCAATCAAGCAGTCTTTAGAAGTCACGCCTTTGTCAACATGGGCTGTCTGGCGCACTCCTGCGCTGTTATGATAGCCTGGTACCTGGCTCCACACTAATGCCAACTGAGACAGCGCTGACATTAGGTCTTCCACACAAATGAAGCCACTTTCTTAGATGCTATGCTGCCCTGGTACCTCTTACACATATTCACAAATGATGCTTGCATAAGTGAAGCAGCAAATCGAACGCACAGGGTTGAATAGTGCTCTGTGATTGGTTCGTGTGTCACCCTGTGCGTCCACGCGCACTGTGAGACCTCATAGTAATGTTTGTGAATACGGGCATTAGAATGTTGTGGCCATCAGTGATCACCACCATCAGGTGTCTTCGGGTCCTAGAAGCTACTTAAGGTAGGAGGTTACAGCTGCATTCTTCTTAGGGGCTCTCACTTCATCATCATCATCAGCTCATCTTCCTGCGAGCCTGGGTCTCATGATGATGAAAAGGCTACGGCAGGCAGGTTCAGTAGACACATCTACATTCTGTGGATCTTAGGGGTCCATAGTTTGTCGTCATCAGCTCATCTTCTTGCAAGAAATGCATACGTCATATTTAGGAGTCCTTACATGATGTCCCGCCCTGTTTGACCAAACAACTACACGCAGGAAGATTTAATGACTTTGTGTAGGTGTGTTGTCGACACGACAAGAAGAAGACCCTATCGTCATCATCTGAAGTCTCGCTGGACGTTTGACGTCACAAAAACACTCCCGTGACTTACCTCAGGCACTGTCTATATTCGTGTATCTTTGCTTCCAGACGTACTGGGCGGCCGGTCTGCACGTGTTCGGGCCGCTACCGTTCGCGAGCGCCCGCAACGGCATCGCGGCGCTGTTCAGAAGCCACGCCTTCCTCAACATGGGCTGCCTGGCGCACCCTGGTAAGTGTTCCACAGTTATGATAGCCTGGTACTTTCTGGGTGTTTAGGTCTTCTCTTGCCACTGTTATGCCGATATCTGAGACGCTAACGCTATGCTGTCCTGGTACTTCCTGAAATATTCTGTTCTGTCCATCATCTATGTACAAATCATCATCATTTCGTCATATAGTCTCCATTGCAGAAATGGGTCTATAACTTTCTGGTACTTTGGGTTTATTACTACTTCCACTCTTATTCCAACGTCTTAGTTCTATNCACCTCATAGTAATGTTTGTGACCACTTCTTCCTGGGCGGGCCTACCTCGCTGCGGGGCTTCAGACAGCGCGGCGTAGGACCGCACTGCGACGGGCAGGCCACTGGCGGACGAGTGAGTGGTCTTTATTCCTTGCTCTTAAGGGTCATATTGCATTGATCTTACTGCGAGACTGATGCCAAGGTAAGCATATTTCTCGCTTTCTAGGATTCCCTTTAGGAAGCAAGCAAGCAGTCTTTAGAAGCCACACCTTTGTCAACATGGGCTGTCTGGCGCACTCCTGCGCTGTTATGATAGCCTGGTACTTGGCTCCACCCTAATGCCAACTGAGTCAGCGCTAACATTACGTCTTCCACACTTAAGCCACTTTCTTAGATGCTATGCTGCCCTGGTACCTCTTACACATATTCACAAATGATGCTTGCATAAGTGAAGCAGCAAATCGAAAGCACAGCGTTGAATAGTGCTCTGTGATTGGTTCGTGTGTCACCCTGTGCGTCCACGCGCACTGTGAGACCTCATAGTAATGTTTGTGAATACGGGCATTAGAATGTTGTGGCCATCAGTGATCACCACCATCAGGTGCCTTCGCGTCCTAGAAGCTACTTAAGGTAGGAGGTTACAGCTGCATTCTTCTTAGGGCCCCCTCTTCATCGTCATCTGCTTTATCTGCGAGCCTGGTCCTCGTGATGATGAAATGGCGGATGGTGGGATCAGTAGACACGTCTACATTCTTTGGGTCCTAGGGGTCCATAGTTTATGGTCATCAGTTCATCTTCCTGAAAGAAGTGTGGTGCACTGCAGTGTAAGCATACGTCATATTTAGGAGTCCTTACCCTATCGTCATCATCTGAAGTCTAGCTGACGTTTGACTTAGACTTGACCCCTAGATAGGGCAAAGGGCATCCACAACAGTATTCCATCGCGTTCCGTCTTGAGCTTCGCGTTTGATCTCGCTCCAGGTCTTGCCGATTTTTTCGCCTCGTCTGCTACAGTGCGCCGCCAAGTTTGCTTGGGGCGACCATTTTTGCGTTTTCCTTGGAGGTTCCAATCCAGAGCCTGCTTGGGGATGTGATCGGGATCGCTGACTTTTGACCTCAGAAAAAAATTCTTCCGCGCTTTACCTCAGACGCTGACTCAGTTATGCGCTAAATCTAGCTGTCTAATTGAATCTGCCTGTCTACATTCGTGTATTCTTTGTTTCCAGACGTACTGGGCAGCCGGTCTGCACGTGTTCGGGCCGCTACCATTCGCGAGCGCTCGCAACGGCATCGCGGCGCTGTTCAGAAGCCACGCCTTCCTCAACATGGGCTGCCTGGCGCACCCCGGTAAGTGTTCCTGCACAGTTATGATAGCCTGGTACTTCCTGGGTGCTTAGGTCTTCTCTTGCCACTGTTATGCCGATATCTGAGACGCTATGCTGTCCTGGTACTTCCTCAAATATTCTGTCCATCATCTATGTACAAATCATCAACTTTCTGGTACCTTGGGTCTTCTACTTCCACTCTTTTGCCAACTTCTTAGTGCTATGCTGTCCTGGTACCTCTTAGAATAATCATCAGGTCATTTAGTTTTTATTGAGCTGAATAATAATATGTAAATCGCGTGACAACTCAATATTATGATGTTGGAGCTGGATGGTAGCCATAGGATCTCTGCAATAAAACGACATTACCCCATCGAGTTTGGGCTCGTTTGATTCATCTTGATGACGATATACTTTGGTATAATGACGGAACCCGCAGGTGGCACTATAGGAAAACCTACTTTAAAACAAAAATCTACCTATTACAGCTCTCTAGTGCCAATGGTTTCCAAGCAAAACCTTGGATAGACAGACGGATATAACCAAACTATATGGGTTCCTTGTCAGGACTACGGAACCCTAAAAAAGTTTTTTATCAATATTATTTTTCCACAGAAGAGAGCACGATGTCTACCCTAGAAGCTTTATCTGCCGTGCGCATATCTTGCGGCGCCGGCGTCGCATTACGCGTGGGTCGCGCGGCGAGACTGGAGCTCAACTACTGCGTGCCTCTGAAGGCTTCCGCCGCCGATGTCTCCGCGCCTGGCCTGCAGTTTGGCGTCGGAGCTACCTTCTTATAGGTGAGGATGTGAACCTTATGTCTATTGGAGTAAAGGTTATAGGGTCTGCTACTTCACATGATGAGACCTTTGACGCTACGCAACGGCCAACTCCTAACAATGTATGGGCGCCTGGTACTCCAAGGTGACTTACATAAAAATATCAGTTCATATTTCTAGCAAAGAGGTGACATCTCCTAAGTAACTATGACAGCCTGGTACTTTAGAATCCATTTCGTCAAGATAGAAGGCGATTTCGGCTACTTGGCGGTCACCCATCCTGATAACCTTCGTCATGAAGAACTCCACATGCTGATATGAAGATGACAGTTGAAGAAACGGTCACCCATCCTACTCTTGACATGTGAAGCAACTCCTGGAGCTCAACTACTGCGTGTCTCTCAAGGCTTCCGCTGCCGATGTCTCCGCGCCTGGCCTGCAGTTCGGCGTGGGAGCTACCTTCTTATAGGTGAGGATGTGAACCTTATGTCTATAGCATTAAGGTCTGCTATTCCAGATGATGACGCTCCGCAAGAGTCAGAGCGGGAAACTCCTCACAATGTATGGGCGCCTGGTACTTCGAGGTGACTTACTTGAAAGTATGATTGCCAAATGTGGTGACATCTCCTTAGTAACTATGACAACCTGGTAGTTTTAGACCTATTTGGTCAAGATCGAACGGTTGTTTAGGCTAGTTGGCGGTCACCCATCCTGATAACCTTCGTCATGAAGAACTCCACATGCTGATGAAGATGACAGTTGAAGAAACAGTCACCCATCATGATACTGACGGTTAGTTAGGTACTGACAATCGATAGTGTTGCAAAAATCGACAGAAAAAAACTATCGATACTATAATTTGGTTAATGCTATTAAAATCACAAAACTATCGATAGTATGTTGTGCCGTTATCAATAGTGATGTACACATATCGATAGACTATTAGTTTTGTCTTTACTATAAGTAGTGTCGATAAGTGAGTAAGCAACACTACACCATATTAAATCCCTTTGTTTGTTGCAGACATGGAGCCAAGTCAGCCAAGTCAAGCATCATGACATCGGAAACAAACAGCCAAGTATTTATGTGCCCGTAAAATCTAAATTCTAGTGAAGTCACCGGTTGTAAAAATAGTATAGTGTTGTTATTAAATTAATATACAGATTTTAAGTTTTTATATTCCTTTTATTTGTAAACAAACCAACATTTTTAATTAACAATTTATTTAAATAAAATAACCTATGCTACTATTTACAATTTCAACTCCAGAATTAAACTATTGTTTAAATTATCACATCACAATTATAATTTGTATATTTAATAGTTAGTCAAAACTACAATTTGTCTGAAGATGATATAAAATACAGTTTTTTTTTATGTTCAACAGTATTGGTGTGCGCTCGCGGCGGTCGTTGAAAGCAGGCACGTTACTACTTGCTCTGCACTTCTCATCAAATTTCATAGTGAAAAAATTTAAGTTTTAAGTGACACTATATACAGTTGTGTAGACAATTAAGCAAGCTATACAGTGGTGCAAAAAGTGTATCAAAATGTGATACGGTTCTCAATCTACAAGCAAAAACATTTCAAAAACTTAAATTCTCAACGGAACGGTCTATTTACATTACTCATCGCGCTCGCCCCGGTGTAACGGCGGCCGGCAGCAGCGTGAGTCACGCATGCGCACAGTCACTGAGCGCGCGCACGGACCTTTGAACTTTGACGCGTGAGTNGACCACAGAGGCGGTTAAATTACCTGGTGTAGGTAGTTTCCAAAGCACTGTCTCCTCAGGCGGTCCGTGAGGCCGGTGCCGGCGCGGTTGAAGAGCCAGGCCTGCAGGAAGGTGACTCCACCCTCCTGTAGCCTAGTTATTCTAGCCTAGTTTATTACCTGGTGCAGGTAGTTGCCAAAGCACTGTCTCCTCAGGCGGTCCGTGAGGCCGGCGCCGGCGCGGATGAACAGCCAGGCCTGCAGGAAGGTTTGTCCTGCTGGTGCAGACAGTTTCCAAAGATACTGTGGCCTGCATATGTGGCGTGATGCAGCCTGTGTCTTACCTGGTGCAGGTAGTTGCCAAAGCAGCGTCGTCTCAGGCCTATAGAAACCCTACTGCGCTTTTATCTGATACTGTGGCCTGTATATGTTACTGTGGCCTGTGTATTACCTGGTGCAGGTAGTTGCCAAAGCACTGTCGTCTCAATCGGTCCGTGAGGCCGGCGCCGGCGCGGTTGAACAGCCAGGCCTGCAGGAAGGTGACTACTCCCTACTGCGCCTGTATATGTTACTGTGGCCTACGTGTTACCTGGTGCAGGTAGTTTCCAAAGCACTGTCGTCTCAATCGGTCCGTGAGGCCGGCGCCGGCGCGGTTGAACAGCCAGGCCTGCAGGAAGGTGACTACTCCCTACTGCGCCTGTATATGTTACTGTGGCCTACGTGTTAGTTCCATCCATTTCAGGTACCTTGGGTCTTCTACTTCCACTCTTTTGCCAACTTCTTAGTGCTATGCTGTCCTGGTACCTCTTAGAATCATCATCAGGTCATTTAGTTTTTATTGAGCTGAATATGTAAATCGCGTGACAACTCAATATTATGATGGCGTGGAGCTGACCTAATGATCATGATGTTGGAGCTGGAAAGTAGCCATAGGAATCCTTAATGATCTCCAAGTATGTATATGTAACACCTAAATGTACAGTCGCGGAATGAAAAGGTTCGTCAGTTTTCAAATTGATTCCTTCAACGAATCGTGAGCACATATTACCTTTTGAAACTATGTTACAGAATAATCTCGAGTTAGAAAAAATAATCTTTAACTGTTCGTCAGTAAAGTTCAAAATTATTCAGATTAAAGTTGTTTGACGATTTGTCTTGTCAAGAAGATTATGATTGATAAACTAAAACCTTCTTCTTGGTTCAACCTGCCATTATTATTTCTATTAAATAAAAAAAAACTATTGTCAATCGGTCAATGTCATCATTGCAAAATTGTTTTCATAATTTATCATAAATAACTATTTTATAATGCCAAGACCTTTAAATGTTGAAGAAAGAGCAGCAATTATTACCGAACATGAAGCTGGCTATAACATCTCCGAGATATCACGTCATCTAAATGTGACCAGAGATAGTATGAGATTCTGGATAAGAAGACATGGCGAAGAAGGCGCACTAGTCGACCATCGTCACAATAATTCTGGTCGCCGTCCTATTCTCAACGCCGCACAAAAATCAGACATGAGAAGACAATATGAAGAAAACGGCTTTGTGTCTACGAATCATTTCGCCCAAATATATGATGTTTGTCCAAGAGTGATAAGAAACGCATTACACTCAATGGGATTACATTACAGACGACACGTGAAAAAAGTTGCATTGACAACGGCTCATAAGGAAGCACGCTTAAGATTTGCACAGACTTATTTAGACTTCGATTGGAGTACCACTATATTTACAGACGAAAAATGTTTTCAGTCGAACCAACATGGGAGGCTTAATTTGTGGAGATATAATAATACGAGATATACGGAAGACCATGTAGTGCCCAATTTCAGTTCTGGGCGAATCTCGGCCAATATATGGGGATGGATGTCAGCGGATGGAGTAGGCGAGCTCGTTCTTCTTCCGTCAAGGGCAAACGCAACACACTATCTGTCTGTATTAGAAGACAGTATGCTACCAAGTGTCCGTACCGTGTATCCACCTGATGAGGTTCCGGAAGTCAGATATGTCCAGGACAATGCTCGCACGCACACTGCTCGTATTGTGAATGAATGGTTCAACAGGCATAGCGATATAGTGGTGATACCCTGGCCGGCAAGATCTGCAGATTTAAACCCGATTGAAAACTTATGGGGTTTAATGGTACAGCGATGGGACAATAGAAATGAAAGGACCAAAGAGGCTTTAGAAAACCACTGCCGAATTATTTGGGAAGACACTAGAGGCACGGATCTATGCTCTCGTCTAGTGGGTTCCATGAGAAATAGGTTACAATGTGTGATTGAAGCTAATGGTGGTTATACCCGTTATTAAAAATAAATGCTAAGAAACTTATTCGTAGTTTTCATTAACTTTTGCTTGTTATTTTATATTTAACTGCCTTGTTAGCCTAGCGGTCCTAAGCGCAACTGCTGTGCTAGAGGCAGGACCTCTAGCGATCGATTCACGGGTCGAGCAAAGTGTTGATGCGTTTTTCTGTGAAATTTCCCAACAGCAGCTCGGAGTTTCGATTTGTGCCTTACATGGGACCTAAACATACCGGCGAACTGTGGGTGTACCGTCGTACACCTCTGCCTAGCCTTTCGGGGAACACAGGTGCCTAGGTGTGATGGTATGATTATGTCATTTTGTTGTTGTTTTAATACATTTTGTAACATTGCACTGATGGGATAGAAAAATAAACAAGCAAAACCTTTTTCGTTAGCAAACGTCATATTTATTTACATGTTAGCAGCACTGTTTCTTGCACTGTTATGTTGGCAGGTTTGATTCTTACAGTACCTAGTGCAAGCGAAAACCGACACTAAGGTGACGAACCTTTTCATTCTGCGACTGTACTTAAGGAAGCGATAAACATATTGAGTATTGAGGATCTCTGCAATAAAACGACATTACCCCATCGAGTTTGGGCTCGTTTGATTCATCTTGATGAGTACTTTGGTATAATGACGGAACCCGCAGGTGGCACTATAGGAAAACCTACTTTAAAACAAAAAAACCTATTACAGCTCTCTAGTGTCAATATTTTCCAAGCAAAACCTTGGACAGACAGACAGACATAACGAAACTATAAGGGTTCCTTGTCAGGACTACGGAACCCTAAAAAAGTTTTTTATCAATATTATTTTTTCGCAGAGGAGAGCACCTTGTCCACCCTAGAAGCGTTATCTGCCGTGCGTATATCTTGCGGCGCCGGCGTCGCATTACGCGTGGGTCGCGCGGCGAGACTGGAGCTCAACTACTGCGTGCCTCTCAAGGCTTCCGCTGCCGATGTCTCCGCGCCTGGCCTGCAGTTCGGAGTGGGAGCTACCTTCTTATAGGTGAGGATGTGAACCTTATGTCTATAGCATTAAGGTCTGCTATTCCAGGTGATGACGCTCCGCAAGAGTCAGAGCGGGAAACTCCTCACAATGTATGGGCGCCTGGTACTTCGAGGTGACTTACTTGAAAGTATGATTGCCAAATGTGATGACATCTCCTTAGTAACTATGACAGCCTGGTACTTTCAGACCCATTTGGTCAAGATCGAAAGGTTGTTTAAGCTAGTTGGCGGTCACCCATCCTGATAACCTTCGTCATGAAGAACTCCACATGCTGATATGAAGATGACAGTTAAAGAAACGGTCACCCATCCTACTCTTGACATGTGAAGCAACTCCTGGAGCTCAATTACTGCGTGCCTCTCAAGGCTTCCGCTGCCGATGTCTCCGCGCCTGGCCTGCAGTTCGGAGTGGGAGCTACCTTCTTATAGGTGAGGATGTGAACCTTATGTCTATAGCATTAAGGTCTGCTATTCCAGATGAAGACGCTACGCAACGACCAACTCCTAACAATGTATGGGCGCCTGGTACTTCAAGGTGAATTACTTGAGAATATCATTCCATATTTCTAGCAGTGTGGTGACATCTCCTTAGTAACTATGACAGCCTGGTACTTTTAGACCTATTTGGTCAAGATCGAACGGTTGTTTCGGCTAGTTGGCGGTCACCCATCCTGATAGTGACCTTCGTCATGAAGGGACTCTACATGATGATGATATGAAGATGACAGTTGAAGAAACGGTCACCCATCCTACTCTTGATATGTAAAGCAACTCCTGGAGCTCAACTACTGCGTGCCTCTCAAGGCTTCCGCTGCCGATGTCTCCGCGCCTGGCCTGCAGTTCGGAGTCGGAGCTACCTTCTTATAGGTGAGGATAATCAACCTTAGGACCTAGATTTTACAGGCGACTGTGCTACTTCAGATGACGACGATTTCTGACGGTACGCAACGGCCAACTCCTAACAATGTATAGGCGCCTGGTACTTCAAGGTGAATTACTTGAGAATATCATTCCATATTTCTAGCAGTGTGGTGACATCTCCTTAGTAACTATGACAGCCAGGTACTTTCAGACCCATTTGGTCAAGATCGAAAGGTTGTTTAGGCTAGTTGGCGGTCACCCATCCTGATAGTGTCCTTCGTCATGAAGGGACTACCTACATGCTGATAATATGAAGAGGACAGTTGAAGAAACGGTCACCCATCATTATACTGACGGTTAGTTCGGTACTGACAATCATGTGCATGTGGATTGAGTGATCCTTGCTTCAATCTTAACAAAAATCGAGGAAGTTTTACTTAAAATATGTTAAAACATTGCGATGAAGTTTAAAAATTTGTTAAACCTAAGATAAAAATGTTATGGCCAATAAATAGGAGCACTCATACCGCACGCTTTAAGAAAACGTCAACATGTTTATTTCAGAAAATAAAGCCTTTCCACTTCTTTTTATAGTATTGAAAAATTGTTAAAAATATGTTAAAACTATTAACAAATTCAGAAATTCCTTGCACGTCCCGTTCCAAAGTTATGACGATTATTTAGGATCACTCACACCGCACAAATTCTAAATAAAAATATGTGCGCCGTAGCAATTTTTATGGATTTGTCCAAAGCTTATGACAGGGTCCTTCACAGTGTACTCTTACAAAAGTTACAATCCGTCGGAATTCGTGGGGTAGCAAAAGAATGGCTCGCCTCATATTTAAGCCAAAGAAAGCAACTTGTTGAAGTGCAACATTATCACGAAACAACGCGCGTTATTAGTCAGGTTCGCTCTCCTGCAGAGCTAGTATCAGGGTCTATACCACAAGGAAGCGTGCTCGGATGTTTACTTTTCTTAATTTACATCAATAACCTTCCCTCTGCGGTACGCCACAAAGTGGTCCTATTTGCAGACGATGCAACACTCTTGGTCTCTTGCAGTTACGATAATTTGAGCAGTCTGAATAACACATTAACAGAAGCACTTCATGAAATTAAATCACATTTAAAAGATATAGGCTTAACACTAAATATTGAGAAAACCAAATTGATGCAGTTCCGGCCATATCAAAGATCGGGAATATCCTTTAATTTAACTCACGATGGACAAAACATCGAGGAAGTCAAAGACTTTAAGCTGCTGGGTATCTCTATAGACGCGACTCTAAGTTGGAAGAATCATGTTGATACTTTAGTGGGTAAACTGAGTCGATTCTCATATGCGCTGCGCGAACTCAGAAAGGGTACAAACGTAGAGTGTGCACTTACCGCGTATCATAGTCATGCCGCAGCCTGGATAAGGTACGGAGTGGTACTGTGGGGCAACGCTACTAACGTACAAACCGTACTAATCCTGCAGAAACGCTGCCTTAGGATCATAACACACACAGCTCCGAGACAATCATGCAGGCAGATATTTGTGCACTTAAAGGTTCTCACTGTGACGTGTATGTATATCTTTGAGTTAGGGCGACTAGTGAAAAAATATCCCCAATATTTTAAAAAAATTGGTGACCTACCTGGAAAACAAAACTCTCGACGAGAAAATAATTTAGTACTGCCTCCATCCCGTTTGACACTGTACAACAATGGTCCACTATTTATGGCAATTAAAATCTATAACCACTTGCCCAACTCAATCAAAACCCTCCAAGGTAAAAACTTCGAACAAAGATTAAAAGAATTGTTATTAAGTAAGGCATATTATTGCTTAAAGGAGTATTATGACGACAAATTGTAACCATTGAGTAATACTATTTTTATTAATATTATTATTTTGAACATATTATTAATTTTAACATGATTATTAGTATTGACATTAAATAATGAACTGGAATTTAAATGTTATGAATTGGATTATGAAATTTTTAAGCATGCATAATTTATTTTTAGTATTTCTTCTTAAATTTTAGTGATATAATTTTATTAATAACTAAATATTGTAATACCCTGTCAGGGTTCATTTGAGGATGTATACTTACGTATGTATTAGCTTAAGACCTTCTCACCAAATGAAGCAATAAAGAATTATGAATTATGAATTATTCAGTAATTGACGAAAACCAAAATCAATAATTTAATATTCAGCTATATGATGAACACTAGCTGTGTCTATTGACCATATAAAAATTTACGCACTTTTGACAACTAAACGATATCCACTTGACAAATAAGCTATCTGATAGATAAGTCTCTGATAATTTTATCAGCGAGTGATGAAAGACCCGTAGTGAAGTGCCTGAAAACCTGTAGTTTATTTCTAAGATAAGTTCCTGATAGGCTATCATGGACTTCAATAGCAACTAACGAAGTGCCCTTATGGAAATGCTATGCAAGTGGACATGAACGGCAGTAGTTTATCTGTCAGATAAGTTCCTGATAGGCTATCAGGGAGTCGGAAATAAGCTTTCAATGTAAATGGGCCTAAAACTTAACGCTGTAGATTGTCTGTCAGATAAGTTCCTGATAGGCTATCATGGACTTCATTAGCGACTGACGAAGAGCCCTTACGGAAATTCTATGCAGGTGTTTATCTGTCAGATATGTTCCTGATAGGCTATCAGGGAGTCGGAAACAAGCTTTCAGTGCAAATGGGCCTAAAACTTAACGCTGTAGATTGTCTGTCAGATAAGTTCCTGATAGGCTATCATGGACTTCATTAGCGACTGACGAAGAGCCCTTATGGAAATTCTATGCAGGTGTTTATCTGTCAGATAAGTTCCTGATAGGCTATCATGGTGAAGTCCATAGTGACTAACGACGTGCCCTTATGGAAATGCTATGCAAGTGGTCATGAACATTGAACAGTTGTAGTTTATCTGTCAGATATGTTCCTGATAGGCTATCAGGAGGTAACAAGCCTTCAGCGTAGTCTACTAGAGTTCCTTCTCGTATACGTTGGCGTAGTGCATCGACGTGCGCAGTTGATCGTCTTCGTTCATTTGCACGCTAGTTGGTGGGATGAGTGCGGCTGCCACGCATCTGGAACAAAATGGCGGTTTGAATAAATAAATAAATAATATAACAAAATCCCAACCAATCGTCACGTTCATAGCCCTCATTAACTCAATAGTCCATCAACTCAAGGGGATCAACAAAACATAGCTTGTAAGCTACGTATTGTTGGATCTCTCTCTCTTTTCACGTTTGGTAGCAGACTGTATCCATTAGCAGACTGCAACTAAACGCCCTTGGAGCTCAGAACTTTCGAAGTTCAATAAAAACTGTGTGCACATTATTAGGTACTTTAACCAAATCGAAAAAGTGCCGGAGACAAAAAAAAAATATCCTTAGACATTTAACACTGCGCTTCTAGTCCCAAACTAAGCAAAGCTTGTACTATGGGTACTAGACAACGGATATAAACATACTTAAATACTTTTTTTTTGTAAATACATACTTATTATACATAGAAAACACCCAGTCCAATACAAACAAATATGTTCATGCACACAAATGTTTGTACTGTGCGGGAATCGAACCCGCTACCTCCGGAATAGTAGTCCGTTTCGAACCACTACACCAAACGGCCGACTATACCTCGACTATACCTGAATATACCTCGTAAAGGTAACAACCCTGGCCTGGACGCAGGCCGCTACAAATCGATCAACGTGGAAAGCATTGGGGGAGGCCTATGTTCAGCAGTGGACGTCCTGTGACTGAAATGATGATGATGATGATGAATATACCTCACCTCATCATATCAATGCCCCATGCCCAATATCTATGTTTTTGTTGATAATATACGAAGTCAGGGTCAGTTACACAAGGATTTGCCTTCCTGCTAGCTTTATGAGGTCGTCAGCCCACCTTGTGGGTGGACATCTTACGCTGCGCTTTCTGGTACTTGGTGTACGATTTCATTCGAGAGGCCTATGTTCAGCAGTGGACGTCCTATGACTAAAATGATGATGCGTTCTGTGGCCTGCGGTCAAGTCAAAGTGAACGCAGCTCGTATCATGTATACAACATTGTCATCGGTTGTGACAAGGCAAATTGAAACACAAATCAAACATGAACATGACCCATGAAACCCTGTTCAGATTCTGCCTTGATTCTGATTCTTCATTTATGGGGAAATGTATTAAACTTTTCAATAAATTACCACAAACTGTTGTAGAATTGCCCATTCATAAATTTAAAGCACATATCAAAAGCACCTTAATGAAAAAGGGCTACTATAAAGTTGATGATTATATCTATATATATATAAAAATGAAACCCGTTTCGCGTTGTCACGGCATCACGTGTGAACGGCTGAACCGATTTCGATAATTCTTTTTTTTAAATGTTTGTGGAAGTCCAAGGATGGTTCTTACGGAAAAAAATATTAAGAAAATCTCTACGCTAAGGCGGTACGAAGTTCGCCGGGTCAGCTAGTAAAAGATAAAAATGTTTGGAATGTTTAACTACCTAGCTCGCATCAATACTTATGACTATAATTTGTATATTTTAAAGACTGTAAAACCTTGAAAAGGAGGCTGACAATAGTGTCTGAGTTTCTTGCGCTGCTTCTTCTCAGCACTGGCCCATTTATTGTCCCGAAGCAGTGGTAGGGTTAATATTGGGACGTGTAAAAGCGCTTTTTTAAAGCCTATTTGCAAAAATAAATAAATGAATTTTATGAATTTATGCCATTCAGAAGAATCGGCCATGCATGTTCTTTGCTCATGTTTCCCGCTTATGAGCAAAAGAAGTATCCATCTCGAGCGACACATCATGCACCCGGATGAGATAGCAGATATCACGCTCCAAAGAATCTGGAAATTTATAGACTCAACGGGACTAAGCAGTGAACTCTAAACACAAGGGCTGCCACAATAGATCAAACTTGGTCGAGCTGGCGCAAATGAAGGCCCAAAAACCAATAATAATAATAAGGCGAATTGTCAGGCTTACCGTCCCTCAGCATTCAGGAAGTTGAAAGTGGAACAGGCGTGTTCCGTGGGCAAGATCTCAACGTTAAGCTTGTTGGCTTTCGCGGCGCGGAACACCGGGCCCATGATGCTGCGGTCGTTTGCTTCGATGCCCATTATCTGGATAGAGAAAACATTTCATATTGAGGGCTATCGTTGTAATACTTAACTGAGGGCCTAGTGTGAGTTTTCATCAAACGCGCTCACTAGTGAACGCGTCAAAAAATGAATGTATGACGGATTGTACAGCGCCCCTAGCGGGAAACGTTCAAAAACTGATTTTTTTATACAGTGAGCGCGTTTGATGTAAACTCACACTCAGCCCACTGTTGGCACTGGCGATTAGTGGCGCCATTCTTGTGAGTGCGATTGTGATTGTCCTTGAAACACAATAGCCCTAGAGGAGAAGAAATGATAGTTGGTATCCCTTTTTTCGCCACTAGCAAGTGACAGTAACCTAAATCTACAGTTTCGCTAACTGGTGAGCGCTAAAATGATAGCACTCATTCTGTATTCTGGACAAAAACAGCGGGAAAAGTTTTCTTAATTAATACATTGAGGGTCTCCACTAAAATAGGCTAGTTTTCTAAACAAAAATGTTTAGTCCATCAATTTTAATATAAAAAAATATTGGACACGTATATTTTTAATTATCAATCAAACAATAACAAAGTTATAGTGCGTTGAAGTTCCGCGCGACGTCATAAAGTGCTGCACTTTTACGCACTCACTGACGTCAGGGGCCTTTTCTTTAGCACGCTTTCTCTTTACATTTTCATTAGTTTTAAAAAGTGAAAAATACGTGTCGAGTAGTTTTTGATAAGCTAACTGACGGACTAATTAAAACTCTTGCTTTTTTTACCCAGGAAACATCCCTATTCGCACCCAGTAGGTGCGATAGGCGGGCACCCGAGTGCGCTACTCATACTCATTTTCGAACCATTTAATTTAGCAGATAACTTCCGTATTTGCGTAAGTACGATCTTACTTGACAGTGGTGCCAAACTGGTGGTTATTCATAGTGCTTAACTATTGCATAATGCTTTATTCATAGCGCTGAACTCTCCAGGTGGCGCTACTGTCTAGCCTTGAGCAAGTGACAGGACCTTACTCACCAGTGGTGTTAACTGGCTTTCAAAAACATGTATGATCCTCACCACAAGGTCTATTTTAGGCTCCAGCAGTTTGAACAGTCGCAGCGACTCCTCCGTGATTTCCTCGGAGCTGCCCACTTGCCATGAAAGCACTGTCCTGTAAAAATTAAGATTTAGTTGGTTCATTAGATGGTTAAGAGATTACGACCTCAAAATTTTACCTCTATAATATTAGAAGTAGATATTTACCTGGGGAATATAGCCATGGGCCCCAGGACTGTGATTCCGTTGTTCAATCTGAAGCCATACTGAAAAGAATTGCAGTAAAATCATTACCTACATAGCGTACATAACAAGACATAAATAGTTTTTCTTACACTTTACACCAGGGTATTTATTTCACCAGTGGCCCGATTTGGAATCACTAGGGTTGAAGAAACTATATTAAGCCATGGGGTCTAGTTTTGGTGGTGTAAAGTAGCAGTAACGATATCTCTTCAAGACGAGAGTGAATACAGGGTGGAAACGTTAAGTGATCTCACTCGATTATTTCTTAACTATACAAGATATTAAAAAACTGGTTACTGATCCTGAAAGTGCTTAATGAGCTCTTTCAAACGGTACCAATAATAAGGTACAGAATAAACTGGATCTATCTGAAAATTCAATGTTTCCAGCTTCCATACTAAATGTATGCCAGACACACAATATTAGAAGTGTAATTTTTTTAATTTAATAATAAATACTTAAAATAAACTCGTAAATTGTATTCTTATTTTAAATTATTAATGAAAAACATTGGTTTTAGGCTTTACTTGCTATAATATTGTCAAGAGATGAGTGTCATGACTGTGGTAGTACTAAATGTATGGAAGAAGGAAACATTGAATTTTTGGTTAGATCCAGTTTATTCTGTAACCTATTATTGATACCATTGGATAGAGCTTGTGAAGCACTTTTAGAATCAGTAATCAGTTTTACGATATCATATGTAGTTTTTAAAATAATGTGCCTTTACCAAATGTATGGAAGCTGGAAACATTGAAGTTTCGGATAGATCCAGTTTATTCTGTAACCTATTATTAATACCGTTTGATAGAGCTCATGAAGCACTTTCAGGATCAATAACTAGTTTATTGATATCTTGTATAGTTTAGAAATAATCGAGAGAGATCACTTATCGTTTCCACCCTGTATATAGGCATTTACTGGGCATGTATGTAACACACTTACCATCAGGGGTGGTTGCAGTCAAAAACCAACCTTTTGATGCATAAAACAAGATCTAAAATCGAACTTACCGTAGCGTATGAGTCGATCATAAGCCCTAGATCTTGTTCCTGGTTTATAACGCGGACTGTGGTCTTGCCATCGCCTTCATAGGCCGCTTTGTGGCGCACAGAACTGCAATTCATAGAAACTTCTGTTAGTGCATGAAATGAAACAATGTGAAGCTAGTAAACTAATAATAGGCATTGAGAATCATACAAACTTGAATGAAAGTAAAGAAACTGGAAACAAATTCAAAATTTCGTAGTNTTTTATTTTGTAATTTTATAAATTCATTTGTCTTTTTGTTGTATTTTGTAAGGCTGGCTGGACGCCCTCTCTATAAACGGTGCTCGCAGAATATCAGCGTCGAGGTACTTCGTGCCTTGGCAATTGGCATAATAATAATATGCTGAACGAGGACCTGTTTTTATTTATTTATTTATTTAAAAGGATGTGTCAAGTGTCGTTACATCGGCCCAATTGGTAGCTAGTGTTTTATGGAGTTCCGTTTAATAAAACATTAATTTTATTTGTATGTGTTTTACTAACTGTACTTTTGGCGATCACTCACACAAATGCAATTCTCAGCTTAAGTTGATAGGACTGTACCTCGTAAAGGTAACAACCCTGGCCTGGACGCAGGCCGCTACAAATCGATCAACATGGAAAGCATTGGGGGAGGCCTATGTTCAGCAGTGGACGTCCTGTGACTGAAATGATGATGATGATGATGAATATACCTCACCTCATCATATCAATGCCCCATGCCCAATATCTATGTTAGGCGATACGAAGTCAGGGTCAGTTACACAAGGATTTGCCTTCCTGCTAGCTTTATGAGGTCGTCAGCCCACCTTGTGGGTGGACATCTTACGCTGCGCTTTCTGGTACTTGGTGTACGATTTCATTCGAGAGGCCTATGTTCAGCAATGGACGTCCTGTGACTGAAATGATGATGCGTTCTGTAGTCTGCGGTCAAGTCAAAGTGAACGCAGCTCGTATCATGTATACAACATTGTCAGTGGTTGTGACAAGGTGAATTGAAACACAAAAACATGAACATGACCCATGAAACCCTGTTCAGATTCTGCCATACAGAAGAAGAAACGGCCATGCATGTTCTCTGCCCATGCGGCCCGCTTATGAGCAAAAGAAGTATCCATCTGGGGCGACACATCATGCACCCGGATGAGATAGCAGATATCACGCTCCAAAGAATCTGGAAATTTATAGACTCAACGGGACTAAGCAGTGAACTCTAAAGACAAGGGCTGCCACAATAGATCAAACTTGGTCGAGCTGGCGCAAACGAAGGCCCAAAAACCAATAATAATAATAAGGCGAATTGTCAGGCTTACCGTCCCTCAGCATTCAGGAAGTTGAACGTAGAGCAGGCGTGTTCCGTGGGCAGGATCTCAACGTTTAGCTTGTTGGCTTTCGCGGCGCGGAACACCGGGCCCATGATACTTCGGTCGTTCGCTTCGATGCCCATTATCTGGATAGAGAAAAAATTCCATAATGAGGGCTATCGTAATACATAACTGTTGGCACCACTGGTGATTGACATGACTACTCTACAATAGCGCCAACTGGTGAGCGCTAAAACGATAGTCTACTATATAAAAATAAGTCGGGTTTTCCTCCCTGACGCTATAACTCCAGAACGCACGAACCGATTTGCACGGTTTTGCATTCGTTGGAAAGGTCTCGGGCTCCGTGAGGTTTATAACAAAGAAAATTCGGGAAAAGGGGGTAAAACGGGATCCACGCGTACGAAGTAGCGGGCGGCCGCTAGTACGATATAGTAGTAGTATTCTGGACGAAATCATTTCAGGCATTGGACGTCCACTGCTAAACATAGGCCTCCCCCAATGCTTTCCATGTTGCCCGGTTGGTAGCAGCCTGCGTCCAGCGCTTTCCTGCTACCTTTATCAGGTCGTCGGTCCACTTTGTGGGTGGATGTGGGTTAATACATTGCTTGCGCTAAAAACTCGCGCGGGTGACGACGGCAGTTTGGGCAGAGGCCGTGATGGTTTCCGTATTTACGCTTACCTACCAGTTAGCGAGTGATAGGACCTTACTAGACAGTGGCGCATAGTGGTGAGTACTAAAGCACTAAGAAGACTCTCATATTTGGAAAATTAGCTTACTAAACAAGAGTCATTGTAAATTTATTTTCTTGTTTTTGAAAGAAGTGTTTTATCTTTCTAACAAGCTTTTGCTCATGGCTTCACCCGCATGACATTTGTCACAGATCGTCATAAATTATAGCCTATATGTTATTCTGGGTTATAAACAATAATACTGTAAAGTTTCATCAAAATCCGTTCAGTAGTTTAGCGTGAAAGAGTAACAAACATCCAGTCATCCAAAATTTCGCATTTATAATATTAGTAAGATGTTCTCACCACAAGGTCTATTTTAGGCTCCAGCAGTTTGAACAGTCGCAGTGACTCCTCCGTGATTTCCTCGGAGCTGCCCACTTGCCATGAAAGCACTGTCCTGTAAAAATTGTTTAGTTGGTTCATAAGATGGTTGAGAGATTACAACCTCATAAATTTAACCTCTATAATATTAGAAGTAGATATTTACCTGGGGAATATAGCCATGGGCCCCAGGACTGTGATGCCATTGTTCAATCTGAAGCCATACTGAAAAGAATTGCAGTAAAATCATTACCTACATAGCATACATAACAAGACATAAATAGTTTTTCTTACACTTTACACCAAGGTATTTATTTCACCAGTGGCCTGATTTGGAATAAACTACTGGGTCTGTAGTTTCGGTGGTGTAAAGTAGCAGTAACGATGTCTCTTCAAGGGGAGAATGAATGCCATTTACTTAACACATTAGACTGCATCTCATTTAACATCAGGTGTGGTTGCAGTCAAATACCAACCTTTTGATGCATAAAACAAGATCTAAAATCGAACTTACCGTAGCGTATGAGTCGATCATAAGTCCTAGATCTTGCTCCTGGTTTATAACGCGGACTGTGGTCTTGCCATCGCCTTCGTAGGCTGCTTTGTGGCGCACAGAACTGAAAGTTATAGAAACTTCTGTTAGTGCATGAAACGAAACAATGTGAAGCTAGCAAACTAATAATAGGCATTGAGAATCATACAAACTTCAATGAAAGTAAAGAAACTGGAAACAAATTCAAAATTTCGTAGTAAATGAAACCAAAATAAACATTCTAACCTCAAAAGTGGAGTACTCTTTTTGGCGATGGCACCGGCTTGTCGCACTATGAGAGACAGCATTTTATAAATTCGAAGGCAACTGGCGAAGATTCAAAATACAACTGTGTTATTGATAACACATTACACAGTAAAAACTGTATTTTTTGTTTTCGGATTTTTTTACAAAATTAAATGACAAATGAATGTGACAGATGGGACAGCTGACTTTGGCATATGGATGGACGTTCCAATCTGCAATCCAATTGTTGTCGATTTATAAACTTTTTCTCATGTTACTTTTTATTTATTTACTTATTACTTTGTATGTAATGAACATTATATTATTGAAATCATAATCATAATTTTATGGTTTTTCACTATTTAATAAAGAAATTAAAACAAGAACAGATTTTTGAGTTTAAAATATTCAGAAAGAATGGAACGTTGCAATTGTCATTGACGTCACGTTACGGCATTGCAGATGCGCGGCATTTTAAATTTTTCAACACAAAATTAATTGATTTCTTAAAAGTTTTATTTTAAAATGTAAAACAGGTGCAATTCCCTGCAATTCTGTGTCTTCCTTCACTTCATCTGCACATACTGTTAGTTAAAATAGTTGAATAAATTGGTGTAAAAGTGTTATAGAGTTTCAGCTACTTAATTCAGTGATTTAACCAGAAATGGACTGTGTTACCGTGACTACGCAGCTGGTGACTTGCGAGAAGAGATATTTTAACAATAACAAAAACGATTACAAGCTAGATTTGTGGGAGGAGTTGAAAAAACGATGGATGATACTTGGTGTCCTTACGTCAATGCTGCTGGCAGTACTCTCACCAAGATTCGGCGCTCCCGGAGGCAAAAAACTGCATGTTCACGATTAGATCATTCTAGAACGCATTGCACACATTTGGCCATGTAATTGAATATTTTCTTCAACTTTATCTTAAGCTTTTTACAAACTTAAACTACAAAATCTTTTACACAACTTTACCAATGAAATTTAACCGCATCATACAAGTTTCGGCACTGAGCAGTCAATTAAAGGCTAGGTTTTAGTTTAAAAAAGTATTCTGTTCCATCACTGTGACTAAAAGTAACTCTATGCACTCAAAACACTGATTAAAACACCATATGTTGCTTGGGCAAGCTCGCTGCTATCTGATCATAATATCTGCACCTCTTAGGTGAGCCACGAGCAAGTCCATTCAATTATAAACAACATATTCAATTTTCCCAACAACATTGCATGAAAAGCAAGTTTTATAAGAATTAATCATTTTTAAATATTTTAATACGATTGCAAGAGTCAACTTAAATTTAGACACAGCTTTTCATCAATTTTCAAATAATCTTACCTAAATAGATGATGCAACTAGACCATTTTAGTGCATAGTATTTTAGAAATTCTTTATCACGTTATGCCTTTTTGAAATAGCTTCATAGAATCAAATAACAAATGTATAAACCATACAAAATCAAGTGTTACATTTCAATAGCACTGAAAAATACATTTCAAACTTTGAACGTTCAATTTTGATAAGTTCCGTAGTAAAATGAAGCTAAAATACCGATTTTTACTATCATTCTTAATTTATCTTGTAGATTTTGTAGAACTAAAGTGTTTTAATAGTCTAGGCTAGGCTTAGATTAATAAAGCAGGCTAGGCAAAAATAGGCTTTTTATGTAGTTTTAGGTGGGAGGTTTAATAATACAACAGGGTTTGTTTAGTTTTGTTTCAACTTTCAAGGAAAATGAAAGGCTTTTATATTAATTTAAATTCAAACTTATAATCAAATAGATAATCTAAAATGCAACAAAAATAGACAAGAAATACTTAGTATCTGGCTCCAATCTAGGATGAATTAATGCTTGATGTAGTTAAACAAACTATTTAATTTAAATGAGCTTCAGAAGCTAGTCTCATATTCCTTTTGTGCGTAAAAGGCCGATAAAGACATGAGTACCTACTCAAAATATTGAAAAAAATCTTATTTATTCAAAGACGTTCAAGCACGCACGTGCGTGTTCGTTTTCAAGACTGCTACCGCACGATCGTGCATAAGTTTTCTACATATTCCTATTTCTCATACAGGTCCGCTAAAGACAGAGTACCTCTCCTACCTGCCATTATGCTGCGTGTATTTCTGCGCGGGGCGCCGCGCGACGGCGCCTCGTCAGGCCGCGCGTTGGGGCGCCATCAGCGCGGCCCATGCGCATATAGTGGCGCCGGCGCTTGCTGCGGTTACAGCAGGAGTCTTAGCTGATGCTGGAGTGGATAGCAGGCTGATTATGGGGTCAGTTGCTACTTTTATTCCACTTACAGTCACTGAAGACAGAGCACTTAGGTACCTCTCATATCTACAGCTGCGTTGTAGTTCTAAGGGCGACGTCAGCGCGGCCCATGCGCATATAGTGGCGCCGGCGCTTGCTGCGGTTACAGCAGGGGTCTTAGCTGATGCTGGAGTAGATTCCAGGCTGGTTATGGGGTCAGTGACTTCTCTTATTCCTCTTACAGAGCCACTAAAGATAGAGTACCTCTCATACTTATTGCTATGCTGCGTGTATTGCCTGTTGAGGCGCCGTGAGCGTGGCCCATGAGCATATAGTGGCGCCGGCGCTTGCTGCGGTTACAGCAGGGGTCTTAGCTGATGCTGGGGTGGATTCCAGGCTGATTATGGGGTCAGTGACTTCTCTTATTTCACGTATAAAGTCGCTAAATATGGAATACCTCTCATACTTATTGCTATGCTGCGTGTATCGCCCGCTGGGGCGCCATCAGCGCTGCCCATGCGCATATAGTGGCGCCGGCGCTCGCTACGGTTACCGCAGGGGTCTTAGCTGATGCTGGAGTGGATTCCAGGCTGATTATGGGGTCAGTGGCTACTTTTATACCTCGTATAGAGCCACTAAAGATGTAGTAGCTCGCATATTTACTGCTATGCTGCGTGTATCGCCCGCTGGGGCGCCATCAGCGCGGCCCATGCGCATATAGTGGCGCCGGCGCTTGCTGCGGTTACAGCAGGGGTCTTAGCTGATGCTGGAGTGGATTCCAGGCTGATTATGGGGTCAGTGGCTACTTTTATTCCACGTATAGAGTCGCTAAAGATGGAGTACCTCTCATACTTATTGCTATGCTACGTGTATCGCCCGCTGGGGCTCCATCAGCGCTGCCCATGCGCATATAGTGGCGCCGGCGCTCGCTTCGGTTACAGCTGGGGTCTTAGCTGATGCTGGAGTGGATTCCAGGCTGATTATGGGGTCAGTGACTTCTCTTATTCCACTTACAGTCACTGAAGACAGAGCACTTAGGTACCTCTCATATCTACAGCTGCGTTGTAGTTCTAAGGGCGACGTCAGCGCGGCCCATGCGCATATAGTGGCGCCGGCGCTTGCTGCGGTTACAGCAGGGGTCTTAGCTGATGCTGGAGTAGATTCCAGGCTGGTTATGGGGTCAGTGACTTCTCTTATTCCTCTTACAGAGCCACTAAAGATAGAGTACCTCTCATACTTATTGCTATGCTGCGTGTATTGCCTGTTGAGGCGCCGTGAGCGTGGCCCATGAGCATATAGTGGCGCCGGCGCTTGCTGCGGTCACAGCAGGGGTCTTTAGCTGATGCTGGAGTGGATTCGAGACTAATTATGGGGTCAGTGGCTACTTTTATACCTCGTATAGAGCCACTAAAGATGTAGTAGCTCGCATATTTACTGCTATGCTGCGTGTATTGCCTGTTGGGGCGCCATCAGCGCGGCCCACGCGCATATAGTGGCGCCGGCGCTTGCTGCGGTTACAGCAGGGGTCTTAGCTGATGCTGGGGTGGATTCCAGGCTGATTATGGGGTTAGTGACTTCTCTTATTTCACTTAAAGAGTCACTGAAGACAGAGCACTTAGGTACCTCTCATATCTGCAGCCGCGTTGTAGTTCTAAGAGCGCCATCAGCGCGGCCCACGCGCATATAGTGGCGCCGGCCCTCGCTGCGGTTACAGCAGGGGTCTTAGCTGATGCTGGAGTGGATTCCAGGCTGATTATGGGGTCAGTGACTTCTCTTATTTCACGTATAAAGTCGCTAAATATGGAGTACCTCTCATACTTATTGCAATGCTGCGTTTATCGCCCGCTGGGGCGCCATCAGCGCGGCCCATGCGCATATAGTGGCGCCGGCGCTCGCTGCGGTTACAGCAGGGGTTTTAGCTGATGCTGGAGTGGATAGCAGGCTAATTATGGGGTATGTCATCATCATCATCATCATTTCACCTATAGGACGTCCACTGCTGAGCATAGGCCTCCAAAATGATTTACACAAAGGCCGGTTGGTAGCGGCCTGCATCCAGGCTGATTATGGGGTCAGTCGCATCTCTTATTCTACGCACTGTCTTTAGATTACCTCTCATGTACCAGCTAGAACTGCGTTTAGTTCTTGCTGAGGCGCCGTGAGCGCGATAAATTGGTCGCGGGGGTCTTAGCTGATGCGGGTGTGGATACCAGGCTGATTAAAGTCCAGTCTGTCGCGCGTTTGTCGCACTGCTAAATCGCCTAAATGTGAAAGCGCTCATATCTTTTCCTTTTCGACCCATTGGTACTTTTTCCGCAGAGCGCTGGTGTCGTGCGTAGGCGCACCTTGTGCATGGCTGTCTTTAAGCGCGTGTAGCGACGCGGGCGCGGCGCTGGCGGCGCTGGCGGGTAGTTACGTCGCGTCGCTTGTTGCTGCACCCGCTGCTATGTTCGTTATTGTGAGTTTCCTCGGACGTTGCAATTAAATTGTTTTAAGACTGCTTTTTGTGCCATTTTCTTTCATACCTCATTCAGAGTGGAGGCGCGGGCCCTTGGGTTTTGGAGTTTACGTGTTTCGGGCTTTGAATCATCACCGGTCACCTAACAGACGCTAATATTATAACAAACTTTACGGCACAATGAAACGCCCACGCCTCAACTCTGAATAAAGCCAAATTGTTGTGTTAAGACTGCTTGTGACATTTTGTGAAGCTGAACCGTCGCATCATAAATTAAAATGTCAGTGTTGTAGATGGATGAACCGTAAATGTTCACCTTTAGACTAGGTACTTGTGCTACTTTATGTGTTGTAGTTTGTACTCTTGTATTTGCATGCAAAATTATCGGATGTCTTTGTAGCAGTACCCACCAAACCAACTCAATGTTAAAATAATTGTGCCATTGTTGATGCCTTGTCAATGTGTGCGGGTAGTCGTGTATTTTGTAAACTGTCCCCAGTGCGGGCGCGCCCCCATCCCGGCGCTAGGCCCGTCCCTGTGGTCCGCCCTGTGCACGCTGCCCCCTCTCACAGCGGGCGCCATACATTCCCGCTTCCGACGCTCGCATGATAGCGTTAAAGATGTCGCAACAGCTTCCCAGAGCGGGGATGAGAGAGATGCGAAAGCGCGCGAGTTACAGTGCCCGAGGACGATAGAGCGGGTGTCGGCGTTAGCGCTGCTTTATGTGGACTGTTGCGAGAGATTGAGGGAGGCGGAGGGTAGCTTGTACGTGGGAGACGTGCTGACTACCCTCGTTATAGGTAAGTTTCGAGAGTGAAGGTGTATGCGTAAACGGTGTGTTTGCATAAATAAAATATTTGTATTTGTAAAGAGTGTATAGCCTGACCAGGAACATAAAAACCCTGGCATAGAGGCGCGTCAATTGCATTTGATAGTGCAACACTGGGTACAGTCGTACCTTTATTAAATTAATAGGCTAACTTTATGTATCAGGATTCAGGATTATGGGCTAATTTAATATTTTCATAAATTAACAAAAAATATTATAAAACAGGTAAACTGGTTTAAATAAATTTAATGAAACCATCAATCGAGCAAGTAGGATTTTATTATTATTCATCAATAATCAAATTCTAAACTTGAATATTCAACTACAATGTCTGCTCATGAACGCTTCAAACTCGGTACTTATTTCCCAATTCCATAAAATTCAACACTTACAAAGTTACAAAAAAACTTTAAAATAGGTAGTTGAAACAAACCACAGCTAATTTTCATAGTTGACTGTACTATACGATAAACATGTCAGTCAATTTGACAACCTTTGTCGGAAACATTATTCAATGAAAATATTGTCCGAACCCTTAGCCTACCTATTTCTCTCCGACAAATACTTTAACACATTGTGAACCACTTTTCTTTCACGACTATAAAAATATTTTAGCAATTTAATTCACAAAATCAATTGCGCACATTTAAGTTTGTTTACACTTTGACAACAATAGACTGACATGTAAGGTGACATGAAAATGAAGTTTTCAGTTACTGTTGCCATTAAAAGAAATTAGTACCATTAATTTTCCGCAACATGGCGAGGGTTTTTATGTTCCTGGTCAGGCTATAGAATGTAAAACCAATTAATTGCATGTGATCTTTTCGGTGATTATAAAGCTAGACTACCGGGCGATGTGGAAATCATTGGGGGAGGAGGCCTATGTTCAGCAGTAGACAACCTGTGGCTAAAATGATGATGATGATGAATACTGGACTATCAGATCCTAGTGTGATGATGATTGTGTCGAATTCAAAGCATTGGCTGACTTATTTAAAAGGGTTTCTTCCATTATTTTGTGCAACGTTTGATGAAATGTGACCTATTGAGATAATAAAAACTAACTTTTCTTTATTTCAATAAAACCGTGTGATCGTGTGTAAAAGCGCAAAAACAAATGTTTTTCTTACGTTTTTTCAGCGGTGTGGAGCGTAGGCGCTCGAGCGCTTTGCTGCCGAGTGCTGGCGCCGCGTGGCGCGCGAACACTTGCCCTATGCGCTGTGCCTAAGGCGCTGCATATGGGTGAGTTTGTAATTTTCATTTTTACGCTGATTCTTTTTACCTGACTGCGCCAGAAGGAGTGTTATGTTTTTGTGGCTGGGAGACGGCTTGGTGTGACGAAGTTTTAAGCGTCTCTAATTTGTCTAGCCGGCGTATAAAATTTCCCTTTTTACCCGACTGCGCGACGCAAAGGAGTGGTAATATGTTTATACTGTTGGTAAATTAGAGAGGGTCTGGTGTAGGAGACTATGTACTCGCCACTAGAAACTAACAATGTTGTAAGTAAATGTAGAAACTATTTCTCAGTATCCTTAACTTTCGTAACTTGTTTACTTATATCACTAGACAATACAATATTGACATCTGGGAATCAATGCTATTAGTCTTTATTTACAGAAATTGCCTGTATCTATTAACACGAACTACAAGATTCTTCTACTACAACTACAAGTAGCAGGAAGGCGCTGGACGCAGGCCGCTACCAACCGGGAAACATGGAAAGCATTGGGGGAGGGAGGCCTATGTTCAGCAGTGGACGTCCTGTGGCTGAGATGATGATGATGACAAGATTCTTTTTTTTCCTAAGAAGTTTTTTGTACAACAGTATAAATAAGTATCTCTGTATACAGGGTGGAAACGATAAGTGATCTCACTCGATTATTTCTAAACTATACAAGATATCAATAAACTAGTTACTGATCTTGAAAGTGCTTCATGAGCTCTTTTTTTTTTTGATGATTCTGCTTCATGGCAATCTGTTTTTTCAACAATAAGCCACTTCTTTGGTTGATTCCTCAGATTATGTTTTCTTCGAGAGCCATACTTGTATGAAAATTCATTTCACACGACTCTCTTGATGTCAGGTGGTAAATCTTTTATGTAGGCTCGGTATGTCATTTCTCTTTAGCCGGGTGTGTTGAAGAGCGCCTTCCCCACTCAGAGCGTGCGCTAATTTGTTAACATGGGCGGTCAGCTTCTCCTGGTATTTCAGGCTGTTTTGGGCTATTTCCTGCCGAACTGTTTTTAGGCCGAGGTCGAGGAAATGTTGCAATTTCTTACAAAACTTGCGCGCAAAAAGCAAATCTAGTATGTAAATCATCAAACTTCTAATGCTCGTAACTCAGTTCAGACTGAGTTAAAAGGTATACATGCCATAGTAAGTTTGGTTTATTACACTATTTTGTTTCCAAAAAACATGGTTTGGTTGATGGCCGCGCGAAAAAAAAAGACGCCAATTTCCGGCATTGTCTTTTATCTTATCTTGTCTTTTACCTCCCAGGCTGGGAGTCATCCACCGAGTGCGCGCCGGCGGGGCTGGCGCGGCTGCCCGCGGTGTTCGCGGCGCCGGCCCAGGCCCTGCTCGCCGCCGCGCTCGCCGACTACCCGCATAATAGTCGCGACGAGGACCATGACGCCTTGCCGCAGTGATGGCCGACTACCCTCATAGTGACGAAGATTATGACGCCTTGCCGCAGTGATGGCCGACTACCCGCTTAGTGACGATGATTATGACGCCTTGCCGCAGTGATGTGGTGCGTTTGACTTATGATTTTACTACTTAGGGCTCGCACGATTGACATTTGTTGCGCGGGCGCCGACTACCCGCATAGTAGCGACGAGGATTGTGACGCCTTGCCGCAATGATAGCTGACTACCCGCATAATAATGGCGACGAGGATCATGACGCCTTGCCGCAGTGATGGCCGACTATAGTTCCAAAATACTGAACTGTCCTATGCATGAGTTGCATGACATTGACAGCGGGGCGCCACCGTCTTTACCGGATCGCTGGTTCCGATTTTTGCCATGTTGGAAACCATACAGTTGAAGGATGGTAGCGCCCCCCTGTCATTGAGTTTGGTGGGACAGTTCAGCGTGGGTCATCTATACCCGCTTAGTGACGAAGATTATGACGCCTTGCCGCAGTGATGGCTGACTACCCGCATAATAATGGCGACGAGGATCATGACGCATTGCCGCAGTGATGGCCGACTACCCACATAATAATGGCGACGAGGATTGTGACGCCTTGCCGCAGTGATAGCGTATGTATGACTTATGATTTTACTACTTAGGGCTCGCACGATTGACATTTGTTGCGCGGGCGCCGACTACCCGCATAATAATGGCGACGAGGACTATGACGCATTGCCGCAGTGATGGCCGACTATAGTTCCAAAATACTGAACTGTCCTATGCATGACATTGACAGCGGGGCGCCACCGTCTTTACCGGATCGCTGGTTCCGATTTTTGCCATGTTGGAAACCATACAGTTGAAGGATGGTAGCGCCCCCCTGTCATTGAGTTTGGTGGGACAGTTCAGCGTGGGTCATCTATACCCGCTTAGTGACGAAGATTATGACGCCTTGCCGCAGTGATGGCTGACTACCCGCATAATAATGGCGACGAGGATCATGACGCATTGCCGCAGTGATGGTCGACTACCCGCTTAGTGACGAAGATTATGACGCCTTGCCGCAGTGATGGCCGACTACCCACATAATAATGGCGACGAGGATTGTGACGCCTTGCCGCAGTGATAGCGTATGTTTGACTTATGATTTTACTACATAAGGCTCGCACGATTGACATTTGTTGCGCGGGCGCCGACTACCCGCATAATAGTCGCGACGAGGACTATGACGCCTTGCCGCAGTGATGGCGCATGGTTTGACTTATGATTTTACTACTTAGGAATCGCGCGCATGCGTCACTTTTGTTTTTTGACAGTGACAGTGAGGGCGACAAAAGTCACCCGTGCGCGCGAACCCTTATATATTTTAGAACAATTTTTAAACTACCCTCGCCGCGATGGCCTTTGGTCTTTCCCGTAGTTATGGGTTGCTCGATTATGATGAGGTAGTTGACCCGTTATCCTCATTGTATTTTATTCTCGTGATAAAGGTATAGCCCGACCAGGAACATAAAAACCCTCGCCATGTTGCGGAAAACTAATGGTACTAATTTCTTTTAATGGCAACAGTAACTGAAAACTTCATTGTCATGTCACCTTGCATGTCAGTCTATTGCTGTCAAAGTGTAAACAAACTTTATTTTAAATGTGCGCAATTGATTTTGTTTATTTATTTATTTATTTATTTATTTTATTGGTCTGCCAACAATTGTACAATAATACTTGTATTATATTACTAAATTCTAACTTAATTTCTAATTGTACAATATATGAAATGGGCAAACACAGCATGCATAATAAAAGTAATAGTAGGTATGTTACTGGAGACATTGATCTACTTATCTAATAAGTGTGCTTGACGCCTAAATTTATTAATCGACATGCCAAATAAGTCTAGTTCAGTGCTGTACTCATTATACAATTTACAGAGTCTAGATATTGGGGAGTAGGATCCAGATACCGTTTTTCTGAAGGGCGGACACAGGATTTTGATTGGATATCTAGGATATTTGTAGGGAACTTTAATATTGAGTTTAGATAGAAGATGTGGACAGTCAACAATTCCATTTATTAATTTAAATAAAAATATAAGATCGAGTGCAGTTCTACGGTTTTCTAAAGGTTTCATTTTAAACTGATCTAGTCGTTTTGAGTAGCTCGGTTGTGAATTAAATTGCTAAAATCTTTTTATAGTCGTGAAAGAAAAATGGTTTACAATGTGTTAAAGTATTTGTCGAAGAGAAATACTAAGGGTTCGGACAATATTTTCATTGAATAATGTTTCCGACAAAGGTTGTCAAATTCACTGACATGTTTATCACATAGTACAGTCCACTATGAAAATTAGTTGTGGTTTGTTTCAACTACCTATTTTAAAATTTTTGTCACTTTCTAAGTGTTGAATTTTATGGAATTGGGAAAGAAGTACCGAGTTTGAAGCGTTCATGAGCAAACATTGCAGTTGAATATTCAAGTTCTGAATTTGATTATTGATGAATAATAAAATAAATCCTACTAGCTCGATTGATGTTTTCATTTAATTTATTTACACCAGGTTACCTATAATAATATTTTTTCGTTAATTCATGAAAATATCAAATTAGCCCGTAATCCTGAATCCTCGTACATAAAGTTAGCCTATTAATTTAACACAGGTACGACTGTACTCAGTGTTGCACTATCAAATGCAATTGACGCGCCTCTATGCCAGGGTTTTTATGTTCCTGGTCAGGCTATACTTTAATTATTATGATTGTAGAACCATTATTTGTGGTTGATTCTGAAAGTTTAATTCGAATTATAAACAAACAGCGTTTGGTTGTGATAACCTTCCCTAAATCTAAAAAATTTTTAGAACATCGTCCAGTCGTCGGTACATCAGAAAAGTATAAATATTGCAACTGAATGAATTGTAAACTCAATGTGCCGTCGTCTGTGCATCGAATTGAGTGGCCTTAGGTTTAGCCTTAGATATTCGTCGAGAAATTTATGAACACACGCACTCAATATGTGTGATAAAAGAAATAGGAATTATGAAACGATGGAAATATTAGTCACCTTGGAGTGTAATTTTATTTTCATTTTTTTTATTAATTTTTGTTCTTATTTTAGAATAGTGTGCGTGTAATTCTCGACGGATCGTAGTTAATTCAATTTAAAGCTCATTGTAAATGGAAAAAGGTCCAAGTTTGTTGAGTAGGTATTTAAATTTTAAAACTAAGTAGATAGTCAATTTCTAAGTAGTGTAGGTAGACTTTTGAAATAATTCATGTAGTAACAAACGAATCCCAATATCAAAATCGGTTTAGAATTTTAATAATATTAGTTAGAAAAACTGAGACTTTAATGCACAATAGTGTGGACATTTGACAGTACATCAAACTACTTTTTGCTGCAAAACAGCGGCTATTGCCACTGTATAAGATTCTATACATCTAGGGTTTAACCCAGTCAGTGCCTGAGTTATAGAAACGGCGCGAGAGGATGTTTTTGTGACGCTAAAACGTCAGCGAGACTTCAAATTTGTATGCTGTTATGTCATCTAAATAATCTATAATTAATCTATCTATCTATCTTCTATCTAATCTAAATATAGTATAAAAGGAGAAACTGACTGACTTAGTGACAGATCAACGCACAGCCTAAACGGCTAAACGTAGGCACTTGAAATTTGGAAGGGACGTAGCTTAGGTACCGTAGAGGTGCACTAAGAAAGGAATTCCCGAAATTCCCACGGGAACGGGAATTATCGGCAAAATCCTTTTGTATGAAAAATCTAAACCACTTAAGTTAGACGCTTGAATTTTGGCATGCAGGTACCTTAGTAAACCAAAAGCTTAGTTACAACAGGATATTGCGAAATTCCCACGGGAACGGGAGTTAGCAGGAAAAAACATTTGTATGAAAAAATCTAAACCGCGTAAGATAGATGAGGGGGGTAAAACGGGATCCACGCGTGCGAAGTCGCGGGCGGCCGCTAGTAATATCTAAATGTCCCCCTCCCGCGCCGCTCCCATGCTGGCACTGGCTGAGTTAAGCGCTTTAAAGTTTGATATGCTGTCGTCCGTACTCGATTTCTTCAACACTAAACACGAATTTTCTTCCAATTGAAATGTATTATTAGATAGTTGATTTGTTGATTTAAATAAAACATTGAATCCGTTTCAATTTATTTTATTTCGCTATCACTTTTCAATTGTTTCCTAAAAATAATAAATTAAACTAGTAATTGACAACAATTTGCTTTTAAACCAAAATTGTAACGTCTAGAATACAAACATTATAAGACATGCACGACATTGAAAATATTACATTCTCACTTGTGATACAAGATTTGTATCGTATCTGATACCAACACATTATGGCTCTTATTCTAAAACAACTCTGAAATTGGCCTGGTTATAGTCCGGTAGCCGAGCACGTAGAATTTCGTCCAATGACCCCAAGCTACCCATCCTTATCGTTCGCGCGTGTACTTACCACGTGCCGGCGACCGGGCTTTAGAATCTAGACTTTATTAAGGTTTTTTGAATCGACTTATAAGTTTTGTTTTAGAATAATGGCCTATAATGTGGTCTAATAATAGGTCTTGAAAACATGTTTTTTCTAGTTACGTACTTTTTATATTTTCAACATTCTCACAGCAAATTAATACTTAATATTAAATTTAAATATTATTCGAAAGTTTGCATTTATCTACTAAATAGCTTAAAAATAATCACAGTCATAATTAAATAGCTTATTTATATTACAAGCACAGATTTAATACTTAAACTCTATTTGGTTTTGAGTTACATGTAGAAGTAATAATTTTTGCATTATAGTAGGTCAGCGTCAAATAATTCGTGACACCCAGTGACCAAAAAAGTTTCACAACCTTATTCAAATTATAACAAAGGATTATTATTTCACTGTGTTCTGGGCGAAGAAAGTGTCCTCATTTCACCTCAAGATCATTTCACCTAGCTTCATTTTCCAGGTGTAGCAATTCACCTGGGTGATATCACCACTTTCTTCATCCAGATGATATCACCCAGGTGAACAAAGTGGAATAATCTGTAACAAAGACGTGTTGCGACTTGCGAACATTTTGGCTACTTCAAGTGTCACGCACTATTCGACGCTGACTGCACAACTAAGTACGTAAGGTGCTAGCTACCTTGTATAACAAAGTAATTTTAACTTGAATTCTAATACTTTATTAAACTACGTCTATTCAGGCACTTAAAAGGCATATTAATACAGGAATATTATTATCTTTTATTAAGAAAATAAAGAAAAATCATAATTACAGACTATTCTTCATACATTATTATTAAAACAATTATTATAATATGAGTCGATTCTTAGACGTGTTTATCTCTACATTAAACTAAGTTTGACAGGTTTCCACAGATGATAAAGCTATAATATTTAAAGACAGCTGTCAAATTTAGTTTGATTTACAGATTTTCAGAATCGGTCAGTTAAAAACCAAAAATTCGTTGTCACTTTTAAATTTGTGCTGAAATTATTCTAACAATTATTCTAAGGTCTAACTTGCTGAGCTTATGAACACATAAATATAGCTCTCTCTTGCTAATTTGGGATCCCTAAAAATAAATAGCAAAACTTACAAATTAGTCTGTCATTTTAGTAGACAATTGTAAACAAACACGAATGTGAATTTACGAATTTGTGTTTAAAATAAAACTTACTGCATGGTTTCTAAAACAACAGTTGAAATAATATAGTTATTTCACACTTTACACAAATAATTCAGCTACATTTGTTTGTTACTTTGGACAAAAACGTGCCACAGTTAAAATTTTTCACCTTGTTAAAAATCAAAAATCTTGTTTTACGCAGATGTTTTACAGAAGAAGAGAAATGTTCTAGACTCTATTCTAAATGCGATATCTCATAGGTAGATTCTGAATATGTTTAAAATTATATAGTCTCTGTAATCCATGAGATATCGTTTATAGAAAAAAAGTCTATAGGTACTCTAGTAAGATGTAATAATTCAAAATTATACTAGTGTAATTTAGAGGAATGGCATGTTGTATTTTCTACAAGCAGTATCATCTAACTACTGCGTTTTCTACATCGTTTTTCTCTGTACTTAAACGACAACACACGTTTTAGTGCATCGCTTATTTGTCGTGAAACCGTCGAACTAAAAGTACCAAATGACTACGCAAAAATTGCCTGACATACGCCATCTCGTACAAGATGGCGTCTAGACGTGACACAAGATGGCTGCCGCGTTATGGCGGCTCACGCGCTGTCGACCGGGCCTTGTTGCTTGAGGAGGTCCCAGTACATACCTCGCATTCGGACTAGTTCTTCGTGGGAGCCACTCTCTGCTACCACTCCTGAAACAGCAAGAATTAGTGTCATTTACGCATTACTATGAGGTCTCACAGTGCGCCTGGATGCACAGGGTGACACACGAACCAATCACAGAGCTCTATTCAACTCCGTGCTTTCGATTTGCTGCTTCACTTAAGCAAGCATCGTTTGTGAACACGGGCGTTAGTCAAGGACGTGTATAAAATAAGGATGGGGTTTGAAGGTCCAGAACTTAGCTTAAAGACCCGTCTAACTCTCTTCAAGCTTCTTCAGTCAGCAAGTGCAGTTGTGAGCGTATGTCAGAAAAATAATAAGCAAGCGTGAAATAGAGAAGTCGGTACTTCAGAGAAACAGGAAGGCGTCGTCTAGATATTATCGTGACTCGACAGATTTCAATGGATAAATTACTCTGTGAAGAATGATCAAGCCATAAACAAAAGAAGAAGAAGGTGTAAAGAAGTGACAGTGATGTGGACACACTACGCCACTTACTTACAGGACTTGGATGAACATGAAGACGATTCATAATCTCATCTGAACGAATTTTCCAATTTCTGTTGGTATAACAATGAAGATGGATACCTTTGTCTATAACAGCGATGGTGTCCGCATTCCGCACGGTGGCGAGTCTGTGCGCGATGATCACGGTGGTCCGCGACGCGGAGGCCACCTCCAAGGCTGCTTGCACCGTCTGAAAAAGTAGGTTTATTATTGGTTTGAGCTATCGACTCCCTAATTTCTTAGAAAAAGAGGATCTAAAGACTTTACTGGTTGTGTTTTTATGGCTCACATGCTGTCAATAAGTCTTTGAAACCTATTTTCAACGTCATCACTGAACCATTAGATGATGTTCAGACTCATTATAGCAGTCACCTGAAACCCTTAAAAAGATCCCTTGTTGTTATTTAGGTACTTTATCAACTACCTACTTACGATCTTCAGGTTTTGCTAAGGTCACAGCCAGCAGAGCAGAAACGCTACACATTGGCCTCGCATAAGTTTTTATAGAATGACTAAGATATCTTACCTTCTCACTATTGGCGTCGAGCGCGGAGGTGGCCTCGTCCAGCAACAACACCCGCGGGTCCCTCAGCAGAGCGCGCGCGATGGCCACGCGCTGCTTCTGTCCGCCTGACAACGCCGCGCCGCCGGATCCTAGCTCCGTGTCGTAGCCCTGGGGAAAGGTGATAGGATTATTTTAACGCTATCATCTAAGCCTGTACTACAGTGGTATGAAGTAAAATATGAGCGGATTCTATGGTTTCGATTTCAAGCAGTGAACATTTAGAGACTGATCATGATTTTAGCGAAAGACTCCACCATAAGGCGTATAATTCGATGCAATCAATCAGACATTTTTTTATGCTAGACAAGGCAGCAATACGCGATATGGCCCCTATACTTCTCGACCAAGAGCTAGTTTGTAATGTAAAATAGAATAGGAAAAACTCGTCTTACCAGTGGTAGTTGCGCAATAAAAGCGTGCACGTTAGCCTTTTGCGCGGCGTCGATGATCTCCTCTAACGGGACGGCGCGCGAGTTGTCCCCGTAAGCGATGTTGTCCCGTATGCTCCGCGACCGAAGTCGCGAGCAAGAGCTAGTTTGTAATATTAATATAGAATAGGATAATCTCGTCTTACCAGTGGTAGTTGCGCAATAAAAGCGTGCACATTAGCCTTCTGCGCGGCGTCGATGATCTCCTCTAACGGGACGGCGCGCGAGTTGTCCCCGTAAGCGATGTTGTCCCTTACACTCCTCGAGCGAATTGCGAGTAAGAGCTAGTTTGTAATATTTGTAGTACGGTAAAATAATCTTGTCTCACCAGTGGTAGTTGAGCGATGAAAGCGTGCACATTAGCCTTTTGCGCGGCGTCTATGATCTCCTCCAGCGGGACGGCGCGCGAGTTGTCCCCGTAAGCGATGTTGTCCCGTATACTCCGCGAGGGAAGTTCCGAGTAAGAGTGACTTTGTAATATTAGCAGGACAGGATAATCTCGTCTTACCAGTGGTAGTTGCGCAATAAAAGCGTGCATGTTAGCCTTTTGCGCGGCGTCTATGATCTCCAGCGGGACAGCTCGCGAGTTGTCCTCGTAAGCGATGTTGTCCCTTAAACTCCGCGAGGGAAGTCGCAGTCAAAAGCTAGTACTTACCAGTGGTAATTGAGCGATGAAAGCGTGCACATTAGCCTTTTGCGCGGCGTCTATAATCTCCTCTAACGGGACAGCGCGCGAGTTGTCCCCGTAAGCGATGTTGTCCCGAATGCTCCGCGAGAACAGCGCCGGCTCCTGCGCGACGAGCCCAAGCTGCGCGCGCAGCTGGCGAAGGGTTAACGAGTACTTGATGTCTTGCCCGTCCAGTTTCTGTGGGGGGTAAACAACAGGCAATCAGTCAGGAAAGAAAACATTGACATTTCCACCATACTCAACCGGTTAAATTTAATCGATATAAACTACTGAGATCGTTCTGCCTCCTTCCAAAGGTTGCTGTGCCCTAACTGGGTCCACATTGATCTGCTTGAATTGTAAGACCTAAATGCTAATGTGGTGAAGCAGTATTGAGTATTGAGTAAAGTTCTCGAATGGCGACCACGAGCCGGAGGACGTAGTGTGGGCAGGCCTCCCACTAGGTGGACCCACGATCTGGTGAAGGTGCCTGGATGCGGGCGGCGTAGGACCGGTCTTTGTGGAAATCCTTGGAGGAGGCCTTTGTCCAGCAGTGGACGTCTTTCGGCTGAAACGAACGAACGATGCAGAGATTTACTCTCCTTGGAAAGGTTACTTAATCAGATAATGTCTGCCGTTTTACTACGGATATAAGTCTTAGAAGAACTCGGGACTTGTCCTTATGGAGGAAAATATCCAAAGTAAATGACGTTTACTACTCCACCGCACCGTTCTGAAAGAATAGGTCTTTGCTATAACAGAAGTTGCAGTAGTACTAATAAGAAATGGGATCATTAAAGATCATTAATATCTGAAGATGTCGCCGGCGTTGGAAGTTGCAACTTTGATGGAGAAATAGAACTAGTTCTGATATTTTATATAAATTATATGATATCGGCGGCATCAGAATGGCTGTATCTGAACTGTATCTGTCGACCCTGGCTACACAAGTGACAAGTAGCATATTCCTTCCATGCTGTACTTGAGTTGAAAGCGTTAAAACAATCCACTTACAATAGATCCCGCGTCAGGGTCGTAGCTCCTCAACAACAGTTGCACAAGCGTGGACTTCCCGCAGCCAGAAGCGCCGACGAGCGCTAGCGACTTCCCCGGCTCCAGCCGCAGCCGCAGCCCGCGCAGCACGGGCTGGTGACGCCGCGTTGGATAACGGAACTCCACGTCTTCGAAGGAAAGCTCGCCTTTTGCAGTCTAGGAGAAAAATGAGAAATTAGATATAGTCACATTCAGCATTCTACTCAACTCCACGTCCTAAACGTTGCTTGTTAGGGTTCCGTAGCCAAAATGGCAAAAACGGAACCCTTATAGTTTCGTCATGTCCGTCTGTCCGTCTGTCCGTCTGTCCGTCTGTCCGTCTGTCCGTCTGTCCGTCTGTCCGTCTGTCACAGCCGATTTACTCGGAAACTATAAGTACTACAGTGATGAAATTTGATGGGAATATGTGTTGTATGAACCGCTACAAAATTATGACACTAAATAGTAAAAAAAAGAATTGGGGGTGGGGCCCCCCATACATGTAACTGAGGGATGAAAATTTTTTTTTCGATGTACATACCCGTGTGGGGTATCAATGGAAAGGTCTTTTAAAATGATATAAAGTTTTCTAAAAAACATTTTTCTTAAAGTGAACGGTTTTTGAGATATCAGCTCTCAAAGTCGTAAAAAGTATGTCCCCCCCCCTCTATTTTTATAACTACGGGGTATAAAATTCTAAAAAAAATAGAGGTGATGCATGCTAATTAACTCTTTCAACGATTTTTGGTTTGATCAAAGTATCTCTTATAGTTTTTGAGATAGGTTGATTTAACTGTAATTTTGGTTAAGTTATTGTGCTTACACTGAAAACGATGGCTGAACCTTATAAGATAGATCAAAAAATATACTACAGTATTGTACACCTTTTAAAATCCGCGATGATATAAAATCTTTATAATGTAGGTACTTTTTACGAGAAATATTAGCTTATTCAAGCAATACGCCATTAATCCTTATCCAGTAATGTACCTTAAATACATTGTGCATTTGATAAAGTTTAATATTACAAATGTGATTGTTGAGTAATAATAGGTTAAACATATCCATCGAACCAATATTTTTAAAACGCGTTAATCCTATAGATTATTATTACATCGATTCAAGAAGATCGGTCGCTCGCTGCGCTGCAGCGCGTGAGTTGCGGGGCGTGGTCTCGCGCGGGAGCGGGGATAAGATAGCTAACCGCGTCGACCCGAACGGGCAGACACGTGAGGGCAGACGTCGTTGTCACTTGTGCGCGCTAAGAGAATTTCATCGTTCCCATTTACTTCTTTCGCAAGTCGAATTTGGCGTTGAGACTTTTTAATATTGAATTGTACCTATTATAAAAAATAAGTAAGTAGGTATACTGGTTTAATAGGTGCTATTAAACCGGTCACGTACTAATAAATCCCCCAATAATATAAATTCCTTTGTTTTTGGTGCAAATTTTAGTGTTTCGTAGCAGGTTTTTAAAATTTCTAAAGCTTATTGTATATCATCTAACAATGGATACTTTAGATAATACGTTTTCCTACATTCTGAATTATAATAACTATATCGAAGATGATGTGGTTCGCGCATTTCATGAAAAGTTACTTCGGTGCACATCATTTAGACCGCGTGAGCTAGAATTATTTCAACACCCTGAACTGATTGAACCTGTACCTAAAAATGAGACGCACCTTCAAGTAATTTATGACGGTGACGTGGGATTAGTGGGGCACTGGAGTTGTATTTATTACATTAATGGAATACTGCGTGTGTACGATAGTCTTGTTGGTGTTCTAGGAAAATCGCAAAAAATATATGTAAAAGCCTTGTTTCCGTATCTATCGGAGTCATGTATTCAGTTTCCAAGTGTTCAGCGACAACCGAATACTATTGATTGTGGTTTGTTTGCCATTGCTTTTGCCACCTCTTTAGCTCGGAATATTTATAAATACATATATAAAATTAATATTCATACATAAAAGTACAAGGCAAAATATCGGGAGAGTTTAGGCTCCATTCACCAGGTGTATAAATTGACATAATAAGTTTATTATATTTGCTGCTACGGAACCCTTTGTGCGCGAGCCCGACTCGCACTTGGCCGGTTTTTTTTCAGTTCATTTAATTTAAAGTATCACTATAATCACTATTGACTAGTGGTATATCCGCAATTGTCACAAACTGCCTCATCATTCTTCATCTCAGCCACAGGACGTCCACTGCTGAACATAGGCCTCCCCCAATGATGTCCATATCGCCCGGTTTCGCCCGGTTGGCAGCGGCCTGCATCCAGTGCCTTCCTGTTGAATTCTGCTACCTCCAAGCGGTCATCGGTCGGTGGGTGGACGTCCCACGCTGCGTTTTCAGGTACATGGCCTCCACTCCAGAACCTTGCTGCCCCATCGGCCGTCAGTTCTGTGTAATGTACCCATTGCTACTTGCTTGCCATTATCAATGTTAGAGACTTTAGTTTGTAGACGGATCTCCTCATTTCTGATTCGATCTCATACACAAACTGCCTGCGAAGAATAATAAAGCTCGATTCACACATATCAGTGAAGCTACAGTTCCTTCAAGTGTTCGCTCAGTTCAGTATCAGTGCTACAGAGTTGCGTCAGTGAAATATTTTGAATATTTTAAAATGTCAGAGAGCTGTTTCAATGTTCTTGTTCAGAAACTATGAAGTTATTTTGTTTTTGATGCCGAGGCGGCGTCCGTGATCCGACAAAAAATATCGTCGTCAACGAATACGTCCGTGATTGCCGGTGTCGGCACTAACACTGGGAGCACTGTGTCGTCACTGACACTTACAAGTGGGGATGCGTTCATAGAAACTGTATGAAAGAATATTTCACACTGTGCCGGTACTAAATAAATAAATTTGATAATAAAGAAATAAAGAAATTTGATTTGATTTGTGTCTGAACTGTGACTCCACTGATATGTGTGAATCGGCCTTTAAGAAGAGCATCACTCACCCATCCGTCGATCTCGCGCGCCGTGGGCTCGTCGCGCACGGCGGGCTGGCGGCGCAGCGCGTGCAGGATGCGCGCGCCCGAGCGCCGCGCCGCCGCGAAGTTCGGCGCGAACGACAGCGCCTCCGCCAGCATCCACGCGCCGTAGATCAGCGCTTCTGNTCTGTGGGATTGATGGTGAAAACGGGCATAAATGATCTGATGATGATTTACTTACTTTCAGATAATGATTTACTGACCGTTTCAAACATGATTTTGTTCAAGTCCCGTTTTGAGCCTATCTTTTGATGCTGTTTTTTACAAATAAGCAGATTTCTGAATATTCTTGTCAAATACTTTTAAAGAAATCACTGCCTTGCAATTGGAGTACGTCGTACATCGTACGTGGAATGGCGCGTTACGTCACGCTTGAGTGGATTTTTTACTCAAAGGTGACGTCACGCGACATTTCAACTCTATATAATACTGTAATTATTCGATTACGAAAAAAATTAAAAAATATGTGTCCAAATTTTTTTTATTATCTGTCTGACGGACTAAATAGAATTTCGTTTCATTACCCAGTCATCATCCCTATTGCAAGTGCATTATAAATAGCACTTATTAAAAAAAAAAATTTTTTAAAGAATGAGGGCTATCGTTTTAGCGCTCACCAGTTAGCGCCACTGTAGAGTAAGGTCCTGTCACTTGCTAGTAGCGAAGACAGTGGCACCAACTGGTGAGCGCTAAAGTGGTAGGAGGACTATCGCATTTGCACTCATCAAGATGGCGTCACTGTAGAGTAAGGTCCTGTCAATCGCCAGGAGTGCCAACCGTTAAGTATAAAAACGATAGCCCTCATTGATCTGCCTCACTAAGTATGATGATCAAAGGATTATCGTCCTTCTTCGCCCAGGCTGGGAGTCATCTACCGAGTGCGCGCCGGCGGGGCTGGCGCGGCTGCCCGCGGTGTTCGCGGCGCCGGCCCAGGCGCTGCTCGCCGCCGCGCTCGCCGACTACCCGCATCATAGTCGCGACGAGGACCATGACGCCTTGCCGCAGTGATGTGGTGCGTTTTACCTTTAATTTTACTATACATCGCGCAGCAAGAGTTGATGCGATCAGCACTATAGATTAGGCATTTCATGAATAGCAGGTGAAAAATCATATGAAATGAATTTCCTAGCTGCGCTCAGCAGCTCTGAAAAGCGACCGAGCGAGTAAGAAGGAATGATTTGATCATATGCGTGTTAAAAAAGGACAAGAGATGTGATGACGGACGAAATTTCGCATGTGAAATCATATGAAATAAAAATCATCATTTCATAGAATGAAAATGAATGAAAAATAGCAATCATTTCCATGCTTACTTTCTTGGATGAAACGATCTATAGTATAGATCGTTTCATCCACGAAGACGCGCCCCACCGTTCTTCCGTTAATGTTCAAGAGTTAACGGTACAAAATCTAAATCATCCATGAGTGCACACGCACACTACAATAATGATAATGACGCTCGGATCAAACTCCCCGCACCCTGCTTTCCTCGAGCGTGTCTTCGTGGATGAATTTATCTATAGCAAATATTTTCTTGTCGCGCTGACGTTTTGCGTATTCTGACTGATTTCAAATATCAGTATAAGTTTGTGTTCGCCTCAACTTTAGTTACGCCACTTATAATTTTACTGGATTTTTTGTGTAATCATGAATTTATGTGTTTTTTAAACGATTAGTAAAATTATGAAATATTTGGGGGCCGATTCTGAGATATGTTTTTTTATGTGACAGGAGGCAAACGATTTAATATGTATAAAACTAAACGGGTCAGCATTTGATTATGAATGATTTCGTTAATTATTTTAGTAATAATTTAGTTTGTAATTGGTTGTGATAATCTTCTGTAAATCTAAAAAAAACAACAACGTACAGTCTATCGTTGACTCATTATACTAAACCTGTTTGTTGTAAAATCAACCAGGTAAGATGCAACAGTGTATGACTCGATATGCCATTGTCTGTAGGATCGAATTGAGTGGCCTTAGGTTTAGCCTTAGAAATCCGTCGAGAAATTAACACACACACACTTGCTTAATTTCAAATGAGGTAATAATAGGATAGGCATGTGACGTCATTCATGTCTAATGGATAAAAATTATTTACTCGGCAAATGTGATGGATAAAAACTGGAAAGACTGACTGAAGCCTCAGAAACTAAAGATAAAGAAAAAAATAAAGATAGAAAAAAATACATAAAGGAATAAGTAATATGAAACGTTAAAAATTAGTTTTTTCCGTATTTTTTAGAAATACTGTGTGTAAGTCTGTGTGTAATTCTCGACGGAACGTAGTTAATTCAATTTGAAGCTCATTATTAATGGAACAAGGTCCAAGTTTGTTGAGTAGGTATTTAAATTTTAAAACTAAGTAGATAGTAATTTCTAAGTAGTAGTAGTGTAGGTAGAATTTTGAAATAATTCATGTAGTAAGAGCGCTTTCACATTAAGGCGATTTAGCAGCGCGACAAACGAGCGACAGACGCGCTGCCGAAAATTTCATACTATGTGACAGCGGATGCATGCCTTCACATTATAAAAACGCCGCTGCCGCGCTGCAGTCGCGCTACTGTCGCGCTACTAACGCCCTAATGTGAAAGCGCTCTAACAAACAAATCTCAAACTCAAAATCGGTTCAGAATTTTAATAATATTAGTTAGAAAAACTGAGAATTTAATGCACAATAGTGTGGACAGTTGACAGTATATCAAACTACTTTTTGCTGCAAAACAGCGGCTATCACCACTGTATAAGATTCTATAGTTAGTTTGATATGCTGTCGTCCGTACTCGATTTCTTCAACACTAAACACGAATTTTCTTCCAATTGAAATGTATTATTAGATAGATGATTTGTTGATTTAAATAAAACATTGAATCCGTTTCAATTTATTTTATTTCGCTATCACTTTTCAATTGTTTCCTAAAAATAATAAATTAAACTAATAATTGACAACAATTTGCTTTAAAACCAAAATTGTAACGTCTAGAATACAAACATTATAAGACATGCACGACATTGAAAATATTACATTCTCACTTGTGATACAAGATTTGTATCGTATCTGATACCAACACATTATGGCCCTTATTCTAAAACAACCCTGAAAGTGGCCTGGTTATAGTCCGGTCGCCGAGCTGGGTAGCTTGGGGTCAATGGACGAAATTCTACGTGTTCGGCGACCGGGATTTATAATCTAGACTTTAAGGTTTTTTGAATCGACTTTTATAAGTTTTGTTTGAGAATACGGGCCTATAATGTGGTCTAATAATAGGTCTTAAAAACAATGTTTTTCTAGTTACGTACTTTTTGTATTTTCAACATTCTCACAGCAAATTAATACTTAATATTAAATTTAAATATTATTCGAAAGTTTGCATTTATCTACTAAATAGCTTAAAAATAATCACAGTCATAATAAAATAGCTTATTTCTATTACAAGGACAGATTTAATACTTAAACGCTATTTGGTTTTGAGTTACATGTAGAAGTAATAATTTTTGCATTATAGTAGGTCAGCGTCAAATAATTCGTGACACCCTGTGACCAAAAAAGTTTCACAACCTTATTCAAATTATAACAAAGGATTATTTCACTTTGTTCTGGGCGAAGAAAGTGTCCTCATTTCACCTCAAGATCATTTCACCTAGCTTCATTTTCCTGGTGACAATTCACCTGGGTGATATCACCACTTTCTTCACCCAGATGATATCACCCAGGTGAACAAAGTGGAATAATCCGTAACAAAGACGTGTTTCAACTGCGAACTTTTTGGCTACTTCGGATGTCACGAAATATTCGACGCTGACTGCACAACTAAGTACGTAAGGTGCTAGCTACCTTGTATAACATAAAAGTAATTTTAACTTGAATTCTAATACTTCATTAAACTACATCTATTCAGGCACTTCAAGGCATATTAATACAGGAATATTATTATCTTTTATTAAGAAAATAAAGAAAAATCATAATTACAGACTATCCTTCATACATTATTATTAAAACAATTATTATAATAGGAGTCGATTCTTAGACGTGTTTATCTCTACATTAAACTAAGTTTGACAGGTTTCCACAGATGATACAGCTATAATATTTAAAAAGACAGCTGTCAAATTTAGTTTGATTTACAGATTTTCAGAATCGGTCAGTTAAAAACCAAAAATTCGTTGTCACTTTAAATTTGTGCTGAAATTATTCTAACAATTATTCTAAGGTCTAACTTGCTGAGCTTATGAACACATAAATATAGCTCTCTCTTGCTAATTTGGGATCCCTAAAAATAAATAGCAAAACTTACAAATTATTCTGTCATTTTAGTAGACAATTGTAAACAAACACGAATGTGAATTAACGAATTTTAAAATAAAACTTAAGTACTGCATGGTTTCTAAAACAACAGTTGAAATAATATATCTCACATTTTACACAATTTATTCAGCTATGTTTGTTACTTTGGACAAAAACGTGCCACAGTCAAAATGTTTTTACCCTTTTTGTTAAAAATCAAAAATCTTGTTTTACGCAACTGTACAGAAGACATGAATAATGTTCTAGACTTGATTCTAAATGCGATATCTCTTAGGTAGATTATATGTTTAAAATTATGTAGTCTCTGTAATCCATGAGATATCGTTTAAAGAATAAAGTCTATTCAAAGTTATACTCGTGTAATTTAGAGTGAATGGCATGTTGTAATTTTCTACAAGCAGTATCATCTAACTAAAGCATTTATCTACATCGTTTTTACTCTGTACTTAAACGACAACACACGTTTTAGTGCATCGCATATTTGTCGTGAAACCGTCGAACTAAAAGTACCAAATGACTACGCAAAAATTGCCTGACATACGCCATCTCGTACAAGATGGCGTCTAGACGTGACACAAGATGGCTGCCGCGTTATGGCGGCTCACGCGCTGTCGACCGGGCCTTGTTGCTTGAGGAGGTCCCAGTACATACCTCGCATTCGGACTAGTTCTTCGTGGGAGCCACTCTCTGCTACCACTCCTGAAACAGCAAGAATTGGTGTCATTTACGCATTACTATGAGGTCTCACAGTGCGCGTGGATGCACAGGGTGACACACGAACCAATCACAGAGCTCTATTCAACGCCGTGCTTTCGATTTGCTGCTTCACTTAAGCAAGAATCGTTTGTGAACACGGGCGTTAGTCAAGGACGTGTATAAAATAAGGATGGGGTTTGAAGGTCCCAGAACTTAGCTTAAAGACCCGTCTAACTCTCTTCAAGCTTCTTCAAGCAAGTGCAGTTGTGAGCGTATGTCAGAAAAATAATAAGCAAGCGTGAAATAGAGAAGTCGGTACTTCAGAGAAACAGGAAGGCGTCGTCTAGATATTATCGTGACTCGACAGATTTCAATGGAGAAATTACTCTGTGAAGAATGATCAAGCAGCCATAAACAAAAGAAGAAGGTGTAAAGAAGTGACAGTGATGTAGACACACTACGCCACTTACTTACAGGACTTGGATGAACATGAAGACGATTCATAATCTCATCTGAACGAATTTTCCAATTTCTGTTGGTATAACAATGAAGATGGATAGTTGCCTCACCTTTGTCTATAACAGCGATGGTGTCCGCATTCCGCACGGTGGCGAGTCTGTGCGCGATGATCACGGTGGTCCGCGATGCCGAAGCCACCTCCAAGGCTGCTTGCACCGTCTAGAAAAGTAGGTTTATTATTGGTTTGAGCAGGGGGAGAATTAACTATGAGAAGGAACATGGATCAGAGAAATTTGTAGGGACTGCTTGACGCAAAGCGCCCGGGGAAAGAGCCCAGAGCAAGTACCCGCACGCTCTCCCGAGATTCGGTTCGTACGCCGTGAGGCAGAAAGAACCATGGGTGGTGGTGGGTTATTGGTTTGAGCTATCGAGTCCCTAATTTCTTAGAGAAAGAGGATCTAAAGACTTCACTGGTTGTTTTAATGGCTCATATGCTGTCAATAAGTTTTTGAATAAACCTATCTTCAACGTCATCACTGAACCAATAGATGATGTTCAGACTCATTAAAGCAGTCATCTAAAACTCTTAAAAAGATCCCGTGTCCCCCTGCCGTGTTGTTATTTATGTAGGTACTTTATCAACTACTTACCTACTTACGATCTTCAGGTCTTTACTAAGGTCACAGCCAGCAGAGCAGAAACGCTACATATTGGCCTAGCATATTTTTTTTATAGAATGACTAACATATCTTACCTTCTCACTATTGGCGTCGAGCGCGGAGGTGGCCTCGTCCAGCAACAACACCCGCGGGTCCCTCAGCAGAGCGCGCGCGATGGCCACGCGCTGCTTCTGTCCGCCTGATAACGCCGCGCCGCCTGATCCTAGCTCCGTGTCGTAGCCCTGGGGAAAGGTGATATGATTGTTTTAACGCTATCATCTAAGCCTGTACTACAGTGGTATGAAGTAAAATATGAGCTGATTCTATGGTTTCGATTTCAAGCAGTGAACTTTTAGAGACTGATCATGATTTTAGCGAAAGACTCCACCATAAGGCGTATAATTCGATGCAATCAATCAGACATTTTTTTTTATGCTAGACAAGGCAGCAATACGCGATATGGCCCCTATACTCCGCGACCAAGAGCTAGTTTTTAATATTAGTAGGACAGGATAATCTCGTCTTACCAGTGGTAGTTGCGCGATAAAAGCATGCACATTAGCCTTCTGCGCGGCGTCTATAATCTCCTCTAACGGGACGGCGCGCGAGTTGTCCCCGTAAGCGATGTTGTCCCGTATGCTCCTCAAGCGAAGTCGCGAGCAAGAGCTAGTTTGTAATATTAGTAGGACAGGATAATCTCGTCTTACCAGTGGTAATTGAGCGATGAAAGCATGCACATTAGCCTTTTGCGCGGCGTCAATGATCTCTTCTAACGGGACAGCTCTTGAGTTGTCCCCGTAAGCGATGTTGTCCCGTATGCTCCGCGAGGGAAGTCGCAGTCAAAAGCTAGTACTTACCAGTGGTAATTGAGCGATGAAAGCATGCACATTAGCCTTCTGCGCGGCGTCGATGATCTCCTCCAACGGGACGGCGCGCGAGTTGTCCCCGTAAGCGATGTTGTCCCGTATGCTCCGCGAGAACAGCGCCGGCTCCTGCGCGACGAGCCCAAGCTGCGCGCGCAGCTGGCGAAGGGTTAACGAGTACTTGATGTCTTGCCCGTCCAGTTTCTGTGGGGGGTAAACAACAGGCAATCAGTCAGGAAAGTTCTCAAGTGGCGACCACGAGCCGGAAGACGTAGTATGGGTACTGGGCAGGCTTCCTAGCAGGTGGACCGACGATCTGGTGAAGATCGCGGGAGGTGCCAGGACCGGTCTTTGTGGAAATCTTTGGGGGAGGCCTTTGTCCTGCAGTGGACGTCTTTCAGCTGTAACGAACGAACGAACGATACAGAGATTTGCTCTCCTTGGAAAGGTTACTTAATCGGATATTGTCTGCCGTTTTACTACGGACATAAGTCTTAGAAGAACTCGGGACTTGTCCTTATCTATGGAGGAAGATATCCAAAGTAAATGACGTTTACTACTCCACCGCACCGTTCTGAAAGAATAGGTCTTTGCTATAACAGAAGTTGCAGTAGTACTAATAAGAAATGGGATCATTAAAGATCATTAATATCTGAAGATGTTGCCGGCGTTGGAAGTTGCAACTTTGATGGAGAAATAGAACTAGTTCTGATATTTTATATAAATTATATGTTATCGGCGGCATCAGAATGGCAGCTGCCGAAGGCTACATGCGAACTGTATCTGTAGACCCTGGCTACACAAGTGACAAGTAGCATATTCCTTCCACGCTGTACTTGAGTTGAAAGCGAGAGATGACAGCGTTAAAACAATCTACTCACAATAGATCCAGCGTCGGGGTCGTAGCTCCTCAACAACAGTTGCACGAGGGTAGACTTCCCGCAGCCAGAAGCGCCGACGAGCGCCAGCGACTTCCCCGGCTCCAACCGCAGCCGCAGCCCGCGCAGCACGGGCTGGTGGCGCCGCGTTGGATAACGGAACTCCACGTCTTCGAAGGAAAGCTCGCCTTTTGCAGTCTAGGAGAAAAATGAGAAATTAGATATAGTCACGAGAATATGCAGAAAACCAGCATAATTTACTGGGCACAAGTTCAGTGCCTTGCAATGGAGAGACACCGTCTGAAATTTTGAACATAATGTCTGTTAAAGTTTTATCTTTTGCTGATTCTTTTCAGCACGGCCAGTACGGCCACATCATTTATTCCAAGCAGTGGTATTGGTAATTGGGACTTGTAAAATAATTTTTTGAAAGGCGTAAAGTTGACAGTGTATGTTCTGCAAACAGCAGATTTAGGTACCTACGTTTTGCGGGGAATGTCATTATCATTGGATCATTTAGTCACCGCACTGGTTCATCATAACTAGATTGAGATTTAGCGGGAAGCACCTATAGCCTTATTCACGTAACGAAACTTCAACGACAACAAAACACTGAGTTGAGATCCCATCGAGTAATCCTTCAAAATGACCCTTGTGACAGTGGCGGCGTAGCATAAGTTGGCACCCGGGGCGTCATAATATAAATTATAGCCTGAGGCACCCCAGAATGGCACCCCCCCTGTCATGACATCACGACCGTCCTTGCCATGCAGATGCGTCAGTGAGTACTAATCTGCGCGACTTTGTCACCCCCTGATGCTTGGCACCCGGGGCGGACCGCCCCCACCGCCCCCCCTTACGCCGCTACTGCCTTGTGAATACGGATTTAGAAATGTTTTTCAATGGGACGACTTCTGAGCGTCAGCGAGATCTTGTTGTCAAAATACGTGAATTAGGCCACTGTACGCGGGCAGCGCAGGACCGGTCATTATAGACCTTTGTTCAATAGTAGATATCTCTTGGTAGAAACGAAAGGATAGTGCGGCACCACTCACCCATCCGTCGATCTCCCGCGCCGTGGGCTCGTCGCGCACGGCGGGCTGGCGGCGCAGCGCGTGCAGGATGCGCGCGCCCGAGCGCCGCGCCGCCGCGAAGTTGGGCGCGAACGACAGCGCCTCTGCTAACATCCACGCGCCGTAGATCAGCGCCTCGGNCGCTTCTGACACGCTGCGGGTAGATGTGAGATTAAAGCCTTGATCACACGTACCGAGCAAACGGACGAGACAGTATAATGTTTACTCGGCCGAGACAGTAATGTAAGCGAGTAGCTGTTCACACGTGTTTTGAAATTAGTACAGTTAGTTCAGTTCCATTGAGATTTTTCTTTTTCTCTAATCTGGCGAGACAGTGCACGTTCAGACCTGCCGAGCGAGCGAGCGAGACAGCGCGGGGCAGCGGGAGGGTGGACACTCGGCCTAGTAAGTGGACGGGGGCCGAGCTACTGTCTCGTCGCTTTACTCGGCCGATCACTCGGTGCTATGTTCATACGCACCGAGTACGCGGCCGAGAGCACTGTCTCGCCCGATTACTCGGTACGTGTGATCAAGGCTTATATGCGAGAAATAAATGGGCCTAAACGTGGCTCGATTAATGCTGACCGGGCGCCTTTTTGGCACAAAAATATGCGTGTATAGTTTTAAGTCTCTTTTGGTTCTTGTTCTTTTCGTATCGACAACAAACCTACATAGTGTCAGCCCAAAACTCCGCCACAAGAGTGGCGTTGTCAGCAGCACTCATCAAATCCTCCTGAGTGCAGTTTCTTGGGCACTCAGGGCACGACATCAGGTGGTTTATCGACTGGGGAACAAAACCACACCTGCACTCCATGTTTAATCCATCCAAGAATCCCCACCTGACCAGATTGTCTACGGCCAACCTGCGTCCGAAGTCTATTTAAAGACTTCCAGGTAAGCCAGGGGAGCTCATGTCCAGGTGGAGGACTCTCAGACATAGGGACAAAAGGGCAGGGGAGATCTTTTGGTTGATGAAACAGAACACGGGTGTAGATACTTACAGCACGGCATACTCGAAGCGCAGATCCTCCCTCGCGATCAGATACCCGCCGTACGCCAGTGACACGGCATACCCAAGCGTAGGCGCGCACAAACACAGTCCATATACCGGCCCGCGCGCCCAGGCGCCGCCAGACTGGGCCTTGGCTGATGATAGCGCGGTGGAGTAGCGGTCGAGGATGGTTTGCTCCACACCTGGGGAACAGCGACTGATTAGTTTTAAGAATAAGAATAAGAAAAACTTTATTTGACACAAAAGAAAACAGAAAAACAGAACAAAGGGACTTAAAACTGTACACGCATATTTGTGCCAAAAAGGCGCCCGCTCAGCATTAATCGAGCCACGCGTGCATGCACGCGTGCCCCGACGCTGGTTTTCAGCGGCGGTTTTGTTTGTTGATTAATGGACAAAGTAATGGAGATGGTGTCATAAGGATGACAAGTGAAAGTGGGGGTAGGCCGGCCATTTATTGGGGGAACAATGAAAAATTACAGCCTGTCGCTGCGTCTTAGCAAATGTGGAAGACCGTGGTCTTTAGCCTTCAAACAGAAGCCGACTGAACTGATGACTATCGAATGCCGAAAAGCACGCTGTCGAAGTTGTAGGCGTGTGTAAGAAGACACTTCGACGTTTAAGAATTCCTGCGTGGATTAGTGTGTGTGAGAGATGCCTCGGCTCTCTAGAGTCTCTAGTCTCTCACAGTCCTACTAATATTATAAAGGCGAAAGTTTGGATGTCATGATGACTGGATGTTTGTTACTTTTTCACGCACTACTGAACGGATTTTGTTGAAACTTTACAGTATTATTGTTTACAACTCAGATTAACATATAGGCTATAATTTATGACGATATGTGACAAATAAATTTCAATAAATAAATAAGACGTGTCTAAAAGCGCCATCTATCGTCATTGGTTAAAATCTATAGCGCTGGACAAAGTACTGTTTTTGACGTTCGTAAATCGTAAATATTCATGCGGGGGAAGCCGTGAAACGCTAATCTATCTAACAGGGGTACAACGAGGTCCACGCGCACGAAGTCGCGGGCGGCCGCTAGTGTATACATAAGAGCAAGCTCACCCAAACTATGCACGGTGCGCACACGCAGCACGGCCTCAGTGGCCACACGCGCCGCCGCCTCGAGCGCGCGTCTCTCGCGCGCCACCGTGCGCCGCGTCACGTAGCTCTCCAGGCAGATTCCACCCATCACCTGTGCATAACAAACAGTTTCAATACAAATTAAATCTTGCTAAAAGTAAACCGATGGGGCAGAAAGGTTCTGGAATGGAGGCCGCGTACCGGAAAACGCAGCGTGAGACGTCCACCTACAAGGTGGACCGACGACATCGTAAAGGTAGCAGGGAAGCGCTGGACGCAGGCCGCTACCAATCGATCAACATGGAAAGCATTGGGGGAGGCCTATGTTCAGCAGTGGACGTCCTATGGCTGAAATGATGATGATAAAAAGTAAACCTACCTACAATTATGAAAATCCGGCTCGAAGGACCAGCAAGTTAAACGATAATGATGAATCACTAGTTACATTGCATAATAGTGATAGTAAAATGGTGATATCTTTCTAATCAATTCTAGCTTAAAATTTCATTCAAACAATTTTAAAATCCGGCTCGAAGGACTAAATGTATCGTTTTGAAAGGACAAATTAGCAAATTGAAACTAATTCGATTTTAAGGGCTAGATTGAAATAGTGTCTTGGTAATTTTTCGTTTCGACTACCACTCTATCAAGAGTGTAACGACTGAGAAGAAGAAGAATTTTATTTTATTTTTCTTTATTCAGAAAACCACAGCTCTTTATAATAATAATACAAACAGGTATTTTTGTTCTTACAGCCAATAATGGATTCTATATATTACTAGCTGACCCGGCGAACTTCGTACCGCCTTAGCGTAGAGATTTTCTTAATATTTTTTTCCGTAAGAACCATCCTTGGACTTCCACAAACATTAAAAAAAAAGAATTATCGAAATCGGTTCAGCCGTTCACACGTGATGCCGTGACAACGCGAAACGGGTTTCATTTTTATATATATAGATTACAAACTCGTAAAAAACAGTCAAAGGGGCAAAAAAAAGAAACATAGGCTTGCATGCAGGTTGTGTGTGTGTGTGTGTGTGTGTGTGTGTGTGTGAGTGTGCGTGAATTCTTCATTACGCACAGGATTCAATATAAACTGCTACAATATTTGTAAAGAAAAGTTGTATTAAATGTTTGTACTCACACAAGGCACACTGAGCAAGCTGACGAGCGTCATCTTCCACGAGAAGAACATCGCCAGCGTCACGCCGATGCTCATCGTGCTGACGCCCTGCAGCACCGTGCCCAGACGAGTACCTGGAAGGAAAGCCACCATCATCATCAGCTCATTTAGGCCTGATTCTTCAATCGTCAGATATCTTTTAACAGTACCTCTAGCATGAACAACTTTCGTCTTCGAATCGTTTGCGTATTCGACAAAATTCGATACTCAACCTTCGAATTAAACGATAACGTGACAATTTTGATTTTCAAAAAGTGTTAGAGTTCGAGTTCGAGAAAACTACAACAGTGCCCTTGTGAACGTGGCGGAAAGTGAACTTAGCATGAGATGTGGTTGCACGAAACTTATTTTGAGAATCAAAATTGTCACGTTCATGCTAGAGGTACTGAAGAATAAACTTGTAATTTTGACATATTTTTCATACTGAAACTGTCAATGTGCCAAACTTATTCTTCAGTTAAAAGTTGTCCGGCGATTGAAAAATCAACGTTAGTCTCCATTGGAGCAGCGAAACCTTTGTGAACAATGTGAACATACAGGGAAATGCAGGATTTGACCTACACTCCTCATGTTGGTAAACAAAATGTGGGATGACCTGCTAATCCTGCTTTCAAAAGTTTTTTTTAAGAAGTAGCCCTCGTACTAAGCTAAAATGCTTGTGTCACGAGTGGGCTCACCACAATAGTCGCGCGTCAGCGGGATTCAAACCCGTATACCTCGGATAACAAGTCGGCCAGTTCGACCCCTTCATCATTTGACTAATTTGGCTTCAATTTATAAAAGTAAATCATGATTAAAAAGACTTAAAATGTATCAAAACTTACCAGTAGCTCCCTGAACGGCGGCGCAGTCGGTGGCGAGTCGTGCGCATAGTGCTCCCACTGAGTTGCTCGGCTCGTCGAACCACGCTTGTTCCTGATCACAAACACAAGTTTATAACAATTTGTTTAAAAACATTTTGTTCATTCTACATCGACTCTATCAATGATAATTTGTATCAAGATACTAAGGAATTGGAAATAGACTAGCTGACTGATATCTGGAATGAAGAATCGGCCTCCGATAGCATCTGTTTCTGTTTTGGAATTTCAGTTTGAAAATAATATGATTTTGGCGACATTTGTCTTTGTCCATTGTCATTCAAAATCAAATTCAAACAACGATTTAAGCGTGAACATGACAGAGTTACTGTGACCTGTATGTATTACTGTGGCCTGATGCAGCCTGTGTGTTACCTGGTGCAGGTAGTTGCCGAAGCACTGTCTCCTCAGGCGGTCCGTGAGGCCGGCGCCGGCGCGGTTGAAGAGCCAGGTCTGCAGGAAGGTGACTCCACCCTCCTGTAGCCTAGTTATTCTAGCCTAGTTTATTTATTTTTTTTTTTTTTATCCACAACGAGGAAGCTCTTGGCCTGTATCTCACCTGATGGTAAGTGACGATCAGGCCGAAGGTGGAAGCGAGCTTCACCCGGAATCCTCAACCACGGAGGAACTGGCTATCTTACCTCTAACTGCCGGAACACAACAATGCTGTTAACATTGTTGTTATGGCGACAGACTTAGGTAAGATGGTGGNCACACCTGGGATAATTGAGTCTTATTAGTTCCGTTTTATGTACCGTCTTCTGTGAGGTCATTCATAAGAAGGACAAAATAAAAAAAAAACTGCTGGACAACCAAGACGTAGAATTTGGAAGATCGTGATCTTTATGTACTAAAATGAATGACTGCCAGATGCCAAATACGAAGCTACAGACAAAAGATATCGGTGTATGAAACTTACACTCACTGACAGGAGAGTATACTAATGAGAGGCGTTTGTGTCAAGAGAACTAGCCCCAGAGACTTTCGCAGTCTCTACGGAAAAGAGCACATGGCAGAGATGGATCGAAATCAGAGGCTTCTCAGGGAGGGTGTGTGAAGAAGCTCAGCCTCGGAGATTCCCAAGAAAGATTGCGAGTCAGAGAAGATTAAACCTCACAGAATAGAATAGAAAACATTTTATTTTAGGCAAGACATAGATACAAACAGAGAGAAATATACAAGTGGACAGTTGTTTACCGGCTTGTGCCCCTCTGAAAAAAAGGCACCCGTAGGCAGCGTACATCAAGACCGCCAGGGTTTGTCTTGGAACTGATTTTCAGCGGGGGCCCTCTGTTGTCACGGTACCCCTGCTGACGGACACAGTGTATATTGTATACGAAAGAGTAGACTCACCCAAGCTATGCACGGTGCGCACACGCAGCACGGCCTCAGTGGCCACACGCGCAGCCGCCTCGAGCGCGCGTCTCTCGCGCGCCACCGTGCGCCGCGTCACGTAGCTCTCCAGGCAGATTCCACCCATCACCTGTGCATAGCAAACAGTTTCAATACAAATTAAATCTACCCCAAAGTAATCCTACCTACAATTATAATCCGGCTCGAAGGACCAGCAAATTAAATGATAATGATGTTTATCATCACTGCACTGGTTAAATTGCATAATAGTGATAGTAAAATGGTGATATCTTTTTAATCAATTCTAGCTTAAAATTTCATACAAACAATTCTAAAAATCCGGTTCGAAGGACCAAGTCTATCGATTTGAAAGGACAAATTAGCAAATTGAAACTAATTCGATTTTAAAGGCTAAATTGAAGTGTGGGTATAAAGAAATGTATCTTGGTAATTCTTTATTTCGACGATCACTATCAAGAGTGCAACGACTGAGAAGAAGAAGAATTCTTCGTTACCCTCAGGATTAAATATAAACTAGGTAGGTACTCCAAGAATAATTGTAAGGGGATGTGGTGTTATAACATGTTACTAACACCTATGGATCTATGTCTGAAATAAACGTTTTATTATTATGTTTGTACGCTTTGGAGCTCACGGGTCAAAAGTGGCCCGGTCCTTTATAAGGATAAATGTTTGTACTCACACAAGGCACACTGAGCAAGCTGACGAGCGTCATCTTCCACGAGAAGAACATCGCCAACGTCACGCCGATGCTCATCGTGCTCACGCCCTGCAGCACCGTGCCCAGACGAGTACCTGGAAGGAAAGCCACCATCATCAGCTCATTAAAGAGAAACCTTTGTGATATACTACAGGCAAATTGAGGATTTGAGCTGCACTCCTCATGTTGGTAAACAAAATCTTTTTTTTTTTCATCAGGAAAATACATTGATTTGTATACCCACCAGCGGCGGAGTGTGGGGTTCTCCCTGCCAGAAGGGCCTACCCACTAAAAACCTGACGTTGCTCTCGGTAGCCATATGAGTCGGGAACGGCCTGACCTGTTAATCCTGGTTTCAAAAGTTTTTTTTAAGAACTAGCCCCTCGTGCAAAGCTAAAATGCTTGTGTCACGAGTGGGCTCACCACAAGTCGAGCGTCGTCGGGATTCGAACCCGCGTTCCTCGGATAACGAGTCGGCCAGTCCGACCCCTTTACCGTTTGGCTATCGTAGCTTCAATTTATAAAAGTAAATAAAGATTAAAAAGACTTAAAAAGTGTATCAACACTTACCAGTAGCTCCCTGAACGGCGGCGCAGTCAGTCGCGAGTCGTGCGCATAGTGCTCCCACTGAGTTGCTCGGCTCGTCGAACCACGCTTGTTCCTGATCAAAAATATTATATTTTTAAGATTTATTCCTACTCTATGTACAGTCGACAGCATATCAAGCGAAACACTGTGCTGTGTGTTGTAATAAGAGCGTGTTTCCAACAACAATGTGTAATCAAATGTGATATTGACTGTATCCACATGGTACTACCCTGACTCCATCAATCAAAATCAGGATGATAAGGAATTGAAAATATAGTTCCTGACTGACACAAAAAGTTCAAAACTTAAGAAGATGAGCACGCTCAGAGCTAAAGAAATCGGGGGATTGGGAATTTCTGCGTGTTACCTGGTACAGGTAGTTGCCGAAGAACTGTCGTCTCAGGCGGCCTGTGAGGCCTCCTGCAGGAACGTGACTCCATCCTACTGCGCCTGTATATATTACTGTGGACTACCAGTTACCTGGTGCAGATAATTGCCGAAGCACTGTCGTCTCAATCGGTCTGTGAGGCCGGCGCCGGCGCGGTTGAAGAGCCAGGCCTGCAGGAAGGTGACGCAGCCGCACGCCGCCGCGGCCAACGCGAACATGCCGGCGTACATGCGTGACTCGCTCAGGATCTCTTCCTTGTCAGAAGAGTCGAACATCTGGAAGGAATTTATTTATTTATTTATAAGGCATACCAACAACATATACAGTATTATACAGGGTGGAATTTTGTAACGCCACCTGGAGGGAAAGTACTCTTAATACTGTAAGTAGATAGAACATTTTATTCAAAGAAAACATTCCTTTATTTTTTAAAAGAAAGAGAACTGCATTCTTAGATTTTAGTTTTTTTTTTTCGAAAATTCACTACCGTACCATACAATTTTCTGTAAATAATTGAGATAATGTAAGATTTCATGATTTTTCTTTCATTTGATTTATCAAGTTTGGTAGAGAGATTTCATCCTTATTCTTAACCCTAACGATCGATGCAATAAAAATAGGTACAGGGTGTATTTTTTAACAGATTTTAGTTGGTTCGATTCCGGGGTGTAGCAAGCAATTTTTGGAAATCTTTGAATGCAGTTCTATTTCTTTTCAAAAATAAAGGAATGTTTTCTTTGAGATTTTTTTCTATCTACAATATTAAGAGTACTTTCCCTCCAGGTGGCATTACAAAATTCCATCCTGTACCTATATTATACTCCTATGACTAACATTTATGAAGGTAACATTTCTGATATATGTATATGTCAATTCAATCTTTGATATGCGGATCTCAATACTCAATACTTCTTTATTGCATTTCACAGTATACATTAGGATCTCCTTCTTATCTGTGCAAGATCTGCAGATTAATTTTTAGGACGTGGGTATACTGCCCTCAGAGACGGCTAGAATTCTCCGTTTAAGGCAGAAATGGGTGAGGTGATCTGATCACTATTGAGAAGATCAGTCATTTCCGTCCAATATTCTATTATTTATCTCTTCACTATTTGAATTGACTATGAGAAGGGACATGGATCAGAGAAATTTGTAGGGAGTCAAGCAAAACGCCCGAGGAAAAGAGCCCAGAGCAAGTACCCGCGCGCTCTCCCGAGATTCGGTTCGTACGCCGTGAGGCAGGAAGAACCATGGGTGGTGGTGGGTTATTTATCTCTTCAAGTAGCCTGCGAATTGAGACACAATAGAAATAAATTGTTACCGCGGCCTCATGCGACCTCTTAGGGTTTGATGGGTCATTTGGAAAATGTTGCATAAGTACAGCGCAAATGCGCAATGCAATCTTTTAATGGTAATGCATGGTCACCAGTTTTCTACCCTAATGTCCGTTGTTTTACAAGCTATATGCCCCGCCCACATGCCACCATTTTGACGATAACGCGGGCTGTGTTTAACTACATAGTTCTGCCATACTTCTGAATGAGGGATATCGTTTTTATACTTAACAGTTGGCACCCCTGGTGATTGACAGGACCTTACTCTACAGTGGCGCCATCTTGATGAGTGCAAATGCGATAGTCCTCCTACCACTTTAGCGCTCACCAGTTGGTGCCACTGTCTTCGCTACTAGCAAGTGACAGGACCTTACTCTACAGTGGTGTACTCTAAACTGGTGGGCTAGTTTGCGCCACTGTAGAGTAAGCTAAAACGATAGCCCTCATTCGCTCCCGCTGAGACACGCTGGGCATGGGACGTTCCATTGCCCTAAATACGTCGAGCTTTCTCAGTTAAGAAGTTCACAGCATATAACTGCTTGCTACTGACCCCATACAGCTTGGACAGCAGCAGCGCGAAGACCGGCATAGTAACGCCGACGAGCAGCGAGGCCACCGCGCCGCCCACTAGCAGGCGCCACTCTGGACTGTTCAGCTTCAGAAGCTCCCAAGTTGACGCGCTCGGGACCTCCTCCTCTGTGCACACTTCCGTGTCGTCCTGCAAGGATAACAGTGCTTGTTAGGTTGATTCTACAACTTTATATTACGTCGATGGATACGTCTCAAGAAGGCAAAGTAGGGCAGTTGCTCGCCCTAGATATTGTATTAAAATATTCACCTTACATTTTAGTTTAGTGTCGAAAAATACCCTTTCTAAAATTCTCACTTGCCATCTCTGGGTCAGAAGCTGAATTCGCAAATGATTAGGTACTTTTGCAACTTTTGTCTGAGATTTGCAGTGTGTACAGTCAAATTGTAAATCCTGGTCTAACTGCCAATGAAATTAAATTAGTTCACTTTCGTATTGGAAACAAGCATGTAATAGAAATAGATCATTTAGTAGGTTTGTATGTAATATGAGACTTACAACAAGGGTGACGGGTTCCGTAGCGACGATCGGCATGTGGCCGAGGGACACCGAGCTGCCTCGCATGCTGTTGCGGTTTATTGCCGATGCTGGGAAATAAAGAAAATCAAAGGTTAGATACATATATGTATCTAGTCATAAGGCGTACCCAAAGAAGCCTCCTCCTACCCCCTCATTCTGGCAGAAAAGGTATGAACTCTCCTAAAAGCGCTACAGCTTTGAAGGATCGAAGCCCTTTTGCAAAAACAAAATTAGTTACCCGACTGCGCCAGAAGGAGTTATGTTTTTCGAGTGTATGTATGTATGTGGGTATGTATGTATGTATATTTCTTTGGCACGGCCTACAGCCTAAACGGCTTGACCGATTTTAGCGTTAGAGGTGTCGGTCGTTACATTCATCTTAATCGTGAGAGTGACACTGGCTATATTAAAATTGGAAATAATTAACTTTTAAAAAAAATAAAACCGACTTCAAATGCGTGAACACAAAAAAAAAAAAATTAAAAATATTGCGTATAAAAAAGTTCATCCCCAATTTTCCACCCTTGGGGGTGAAATATTTTCTTCAAATTCGCATGAAACCACCCTTTTGATAATACCTATTCAACAAAAAAATAATCGTTCAAATTGATTTATAATCGGCGGAGATATTGCGTATAAAAAAGTTCATCCCCAATTTTCCACCCTTGGGGGTTGTTTTTTCTATTATTAAATTTAAATGGGACCACCCTTGAGGTATTACCTATACGCCGAAAAAAGATTTGTTCAAATCGGTTCATAATTGGCGGAGTTATCGCGTAACAAACATAGAAAAAAACATACGGGTCGAATTGAGAACCTCCTCCTTTTTTGAAGTCGGTTGAAAAGGTTACATACATCTATCTAGTCATAAGGCGTACCTCCATTTTGCCATAAAAGTAAAAAAGTATTTATTACTAAAAGATGTCACATTGTACAAATTGTTATGGCGGTCTCTGCACTAAGCAGGAAAGCTTGTATCGCAGCGGTAAATACGAACAATTACCTTTAAAATAATGACATCGGTCTTAATAGGACGGACATGTTTAAACTAGTTAGTTAGGCTTAACATTTATAATGTGTTAAAATATAGATATATAAAACTGTTCTAAACAAATATTAATGACATGACATAGCTTTGGTTTAGAAAAACTAATAACAATAACATAAAAATTGACACCACCAATCAATTGACGTACTTTTTAAAACTGTCAAACGACACTCTCCCATAGATTTTGTACGGCAATACTAGCATGTGACGTCACAATTTTATCAACTCAATGAAACTCCTTTTTTCAATTATAATGCAACCAAAAATCGTAATTTACCGGTAATTAAAACTTAATTAAGTTTTTAAGACCAGAAAGAAGTGTCTTTTTAAAAAAGTTGTGGTTTAGAATTATTGGCGAATGGTGTCAAATACCCAATTATACANAGTCCAGCAGTGGACTGTAAAGGGCTGTTGATGATGATGATGATGATAACACTCAAACATTAGCGGAAGAATGGTGGGGCGCGTCTTCGTGGATGAAATGATCTACACTACTACATTTTTATCACCGAAAAAATTTTAACAGGTTGTGTAAAAATGTGAAGTAAAAAAAAATTTTTTTTCATAAAGTTATTTTTATTTATAAATTTTCTTTAGTCCGTATTTTACGCGTCACAGCTGGGGCACTCCGCTGCTCGCTAGAGTAGTCGTACGCGCTCGCACGTTGCCCCGATCTATCTGTCTCGCTCACGCCTCGACCAAGCTTCCAGTGTTAAGTGCTAGCGACGCGTGTGTCCATAAATTAGGTACCAATTTTGGGATGAAATTTTGAGTAATTTAACTTTTTTTTTTTTTCATAAATAGGACCAGTATCAATAACTCATTACCCAGAATTTTTTTTTCGGTCATAAAAATGTATTATATTAAGAACTGGCACTGACTTGCTGGTGAGGTCGTCCTGCACGAGGCGCCAGTAGAGCCCCTTCAGCTCGAGCAGCTCCTTGTGCGAGCCCTGCTCCAGCGCCGCGCCTTGCTCCATGTACACGATGCGCGTCGCGTTCACGATCGTCGACAGCCTGGGGAAAGAAAGGACATTAATTGATACAAACCAGTTTATTTAGTGTAGGCGACACGCGACAACGACAGCTCGGCGACTAACGCCCGTATTCACAAACGATGCTTGCTTAAAGGAAGCAGCCAATCGAACGCACAGCGATACATAGAGCTCAGTGATTGGTTCGTGTGTCACCCTGTGCGTCCACGCGCACTGAGAGATGAGACTTCATGGTAAAGTTTGTGAATACTGGCATTAGACGCGATGACAGGCTGCGGCCTGCGGTCATGTATTTTGTTCAAACCTTCGCACTCTTGGCATCAGAGTTGTGAAGTCGCGACGTCAAGCTAAAAGTCTAGCCGACGAGCTGTCCCTGTTGCGTGTCGCCCCTAGTGTGCGCCTACACTAATCCTATAGTGCAGGCGCACTTTTCAAAAAGTTTTGTAGTAAACTCATATCCCAAGAAAAATAGGAGCTCTTATAGAGCATGTACACATCTTTGTTATTGATATTATACAGTAAATTCTATAGTTAATATGCATACCTGTGTGATACCACAAGAGTAGTTCTTCCTTTGCTAGCCGCATCGAGAGCTGCTTGAACCTGTGTAAAGTACAAAAACAATATTAACAATTTGAGCTTCTTTAATCTATTCTGCTATTCTGTCAAGTCGTCAAGGAATCATTGCAGAGAGAGACTAAATGCAGAGAGTATGCAATTTATGTTATTAATCCGAAACAAAGTAGTTAACAAAACAGTAATAATCTACTTCATCAGCACCATCTGGCAAAAGCGTAAGTTGACTGCGTTAAAGATATGCCTTACCTGTCTCTCAGCGGCAGGGTCGAGTGCCGACGTGGGTTCGTCCAGCAGCAGTATACTTGGGTTGCGCACGACGGCGCGCGCGATGGCCACGCGCTGCTTCTGTCCACCTGACAGCGCCGCACCACCTGAGCCCAGCTCTGTGTCGTAACCCTGGGGAGAAATGACATGTTTGAATACGGCTCGTTAGGGCGGGGAGCTGTGAAAATACAAGGTTGGCAGGTGCCTAAAATAAATTAAGAATGTCGCTAGCACCGACACTGGTTAAAACCAGTTGAACTTATGAAGGTTTTCGAAAGTGTGGCTACTTCAGTAGCCTCCTAATCTTCATAAATATTACAGCTATGCTGAATTTTTTGTTATACCATGTAATCAAATATCCACTTTACACTGGATCCCTCCTGGACGGAGGCTAAGTTTGCTGCAGAGAGGAGAGGAGAGGAGATGTGTTTGAATATCCAATCTATAATTTCGTTATTTCCACATCATCTCTTCTCTTCTTAAAATCTTATTAGTTATTCAAGTTTTGTTGGAAACCGGGAACAGATAGGTACGAGTAACAGATATCGTCTTACATTGGCCAGCTTGGTGATGAACTGGTGAGCATGCGCCAGCTTGGCGGCGGCTATCATGCGCTCCTCGCTCACTCCCTCCAGCCCGATCAGGATGTTTTCTCGAACCGTGCCGCTGAACAGAACCGGTTCTTGGCCCACCACGCCTGGAACAAGATATATTACAGTGAGATCTTCAAGAGATACAGAGTCTGTAAAATAAGCTGTGGATATTTCAACAGTTAAGTAGGTATTTCAACATGTCACCGTATTATCAGCCATAATAGCATCTTCATATCTGTCATGCTTAGACTTCAATTTAACTATGGGTACTGTTATTAGGACGTCAGATGAAGTGAGAAAAACCCGGGAAGAAAGGGTCGTGGCTTCAATTCATTACACTAATGCCCGTTTTTACCATCAATCCCTATTTTTTAAGTGACCCCTATGGTACAACATAACAGGAATTTTGTGTATATAGAGGTCACTTAAAAATCAGGGATCTATGGTGAAAACGGGCATAAGGGAAACTTTCAGCCTGTTCAAATATCAACACTGCCGTGTAGAGCAGACAAGTCTGCAAAAGGCGTCTTGGTCGTCTTTAAGTTCCGAAGGCTGCGACCACCAAACGGAAGAAGGAACACCACAAATTTTAGTGCATTCGTTAACCTGCTGCCTACCTACCTGCCGCTTGCTGGTAAGGACAGGCCATTTTCCAGGATCAATAAAAAAGTATATGACACTAACCGATGCTCCTCCTAAAGTGGTGCACGTCCAGATCAGTCAGCTTGTGTCCGTCCACGGTGATGTGCCCTGAGTCAGGTTCATACAGCCGCTGCAGCAGCTGCAGAAGCGTGGATTTACCACAGCCTGAGCCACCCACCAGCGCTACTGTCTCCCCAGCTGTGACCTTCAGGTTGAGCCCGCGCAGAACCTGGGAGAGAGTTGGTTGGAGATAAGATGGTATTGGGCATGAATTATACAATGACCTGGAAGAATATCTAATGAGGCTTAGGAAGAAGACTATCTAAATCAAGAAAGTCTGATTTAGTTAAATCTTGCCGATCATCAATTTACCTATGTTCATGTAGTTTTGCTTTAGATTTTCATAACTGGACATGAATCTTGTCACGCATAATGTTTTCTATTCTAGTTTTTAAGTTCATGATAGCAACATTAAACTATTGAATATTCTTATTGAGCTTTGCTCCCATTTCCACGTTTAATATTTAATTCTTGGCTTATTTTTGGTTTGAGAATCAGTGCGCTATGTTAGAGAATATGGAACATACAATATTCTTATCATTTCGCCTTATCAGTTCTCTTCGAAAGGATCTTCCCTTCCCCCTTCAAAGACATTTCAAAAACGAGAACACAAATCCAATAATCTCCAACAACTCACCTTAACATCAGCCCTCGACGGGTAATTAAAGTACAGGTTCTCAAACGTGATGTTCCCTTGGAACCGCTCCGGCTTGGCGCCCGTGCTGGCCAGTGCGTCCACCTTGGAGCGGCGCTCCAGCAGCTTGAAGAGAGACTTGGCGGCGCCGCGGGCGGTAGAGAAGGTTTCCAAGTGTGGCTGGCACATGGCGATGTTCTGAGCCGCCATGAACGTGCAGAAGAGGATCTGGAAGATGAAATGGTGAGGTCAGAAAACTACATATCTAGAATAAGAACGATAACTGGCAACGCCACTCTTGTAGAGGAGTTTTGGGCTGACTCTGTAAGGCTTGGTTTTGACACGACAAGAAGAAGATAAGAAGGATTTGTTAATGAGCGCCCGTTATGTGACTCACTGAGGTTAGTTCTCTATTCTACTCTGTTTGTTAATTGATTGGTTTAGCTATTATAAATCGATCGAACACACGCGTGATTAAACTTTTGAGTTAATAATTCCTAGCAGGCGACGTGACGCCGCGAGCGCGACATTACTGGCGATCGTTGTATTTTTATGGTAGCATCAAAGATTATTAATTACATCCTCTTTTCCGTTGCTAGCTAGCGATACGTCTCTGAAGACGTTTCATAGAAATACATAGTAACCAGTAATGTCGCAGCGACACCTGGATTGCTGCTATTGCATGTCAGCGGCTTCAAACTTGTACCTTTAAACTTTAGATATCCTGGAGATCAGATACGACCCTTATTAACCTTTAAAGTCCCAGACGGCATACATTAATGCCATAACAATTGATTATCTATTGTGTCTAGATTCGCGGGCCTTGAAGGATTAATCGTCCTTAGCACTATCGTTCTCACCGTAAGCATGACTCCAGGGTGGTACTCCTGCTCCTCCGGCGGCAGATCCATGTCCCTCACACACAAGGCGGCTCCGAGCATTGAGCGCGTACGTCAGCAGCCATCGTGACATCAAGGAGCGATTGAGTTAACCGCGCACCTCGCTGGAATGTGGCTCTCCCTAGCACTTACCCGCACACCTTCCGCGTTCGCCTCCGTACCAGAGCGTCGATGTGACGTCACGGCCACAATCACGGCTGCCAAGTGTGCAGTTAACTCGATCGGGTTGAATTCGTTCTCACCGTAAGCATGACTCCAGGGATGGTACATTAGATGACGCTCAAAAACTTCCTTGGTAAGACTGTAGTCTTCTATAAACACCGAATAGAACGCGCTATAAATGAAGCAATCATAAACAGCCCTTTACAGTCCACTGCTGGACTATGAGCCTCCTTCACTATAGTTGAGGGTATTGCCATAATCCCCACGCTTGGCAGGCGGGTTGGAGATCGCAGTTTAAAATATTGATGTTTTTCAGAGAGCGCTGCTGCCCGTTCTCTGTTTGATGTGTAGTGTCCCTAAGTCGCCTCTTACGACACCCGCGGGAAGAGTTGGAGTTGAAATGAAGCAATATAGTTACTCATTCTCACCGTGAGCATGACTCCAGAGTGGTACTCCTGCTCTTCCAGTGACAGGTCCATGTCCCTCACACACAAGGCGGCTCCGAGCGCGAAGACGATGGCGTTGAGCGCGGACGTCAGCAGCCAGCCAGATACAATGAAGTACTATTGTTCTCACCGTGAGCATCGCTCTGTTGTTGTCGGGCTGTTTAATACTGTGTCAATAAGTCTCACCGTGAGCATGACTCCAGGGTGGTACTCCTGCTCCTCCGGCGGCAGGTCCATGTCCCTCACACACAAGGCGGCTCCGAGCGCGAAGACTATAGCATTGAGCGCGTACGTCAGCAGCCAGCCAGATACAATGAAGTACTATTGTTCTCACCGTGAGCATCACTCTGTTGTTGTCGGGCTGTTTAATACTGTGTTAATAAGTCTCACCGTGAGCATGACTCCAGGGTGGTACTCCTGCTCCTCCGGCGGCAGGTCCATGTCCCTCACACACAAGGCGGCTCCCAGCGCGAAGACTATAGCGTTGAGCGCGTACGTCAGCAGCCAGCCAGATACAATGAAGTACTATTGTTCTCACCGTGAGCATCACTCTGTTGTTGTCGGGCTGTTTAATACTGTGTTAATAAGTCTCACCGTGAGCATGACTCCAGGGTGGTACTCCTGCTCCTCCGGCGGCAGGTCCATGTCCCTCACACACAAGGCGGCTCCCAGCGCGAAGACTATAGCGTTGAGCGCGTACGTCAGCAGCCAGCCGAGCCCCGCGCCCGCGCCCGCCCACACCCCGCGCCGCCGCGCCGCGCGCTCCGCGCCCACCAGCGACGAGCCGTACCTGGGGGGACAACGTTCCATAAGTTTTTTTTAATCCACAACGAGGAAGCTCTTGACCCGGAATCCTCAACCACGGAGGAACTGGTAATCTTACCTCTAACTGCCGGTACACAACAATGCTGTTAACATTGTTGTTATGGCGACAGACTTAGGTTAGATGGTGGTAGCTAGCCAGGCGGACTTAGAACAAGCCTTACCCCTAAAATCTGCCCCCACTGGAAATCGAACCCGGGACCTCTGCGTCTGAAGCAGGTGGTCTTACCACTAGACCACAGAAGGGATTAAGTTAAGTTAAGCTTCAGCCAAAAGCACAAAAGATCCCAATGGGTCTACGTGCTCTGCGCTCATGCGCGGCCCTAAATAAGATAAGAAGCTTCAGCCAAACCAACATTATGCAGATTGCGTCGGCAATGGCGACCATTACGCATGCATAGGCCAATGATAGGTCGCGCGTCCTATCATGTCATTGGCTTGGTCGCCATCGCCGACGCAATCTGTACGCGTTAGTTTGGCTGAAGCTTTACATATTACACACTAGTGACGCGCTATATAAACACGTCATACGTTACAGAATACGGCACAGCACCGTACTTGCATGTATGTGCAGTTACAATCTACGTCACACGCACTTCATTACATGTCCGCGCCATGCCGCACAAAATACAGGACTAACCCCTTGGTGAAATAACATCCCCCAAATGACAGAAAGACAGAACCTATCTGACAAAGGTTTGTCAGATAAGTTCTAGGTAGGTCCTTTACGTTAAAGTTACCTGGTACCAGTAATACATTCAACAAGATTCAAATTCCAATTTACTTTATCAGGTTCTAGACTCTATGCCCATCTTCTTAGATAGTGTAAATTGGAAATCAGTTGATCTTATGGCAAACCGAGCAGAGTTAAAAGCCCCTATACCTACCTTTTTTTATTTTTTATTTTTTTTTATTTATTTAACAACTTAAAGACAGTTACATTGAGACAATTACATTTAGATAGCTTTAAAAACCACTAGGGTTTGATGTAAAGCTAACGAGTTTGCAGTGGGTACATTCACAATTTCAAATACAATTACATAATACAGCATAAACATATTTTAATATTGTTACATTAGCTTTAGGAAATAGTCCTTCAGCTTATATTTAATATTTTTAACAGTGATTTCTTTCACAAATTCGGGTGGCATGCTATTTATAATCCGGGGCAGTCTTACTTACTATACTTACGAAGAGGAATGTATCAGCCTGACAAAGGTTACAGGTATTTAAATATGAGTTGGAAATGGTAGAGGATGACGTCCATCAGTGGACTAATCAAGAACTCTTTAAAAGCCTTTAAGTAAGGCAACACCACATAATGTTTAATGTATTAAGGTTATTATATAAGATAAGGTGTCTTTGTTGGCTATCCTTAATCTACTCTATCGCATTGGGGTAACCTGTAATGTTAGAGCTAAGATTGTTATTAAATAAATAAATAAATAAATAAATAAATAAAGGATGCTTACCTCTCCAGTTCCTTCTCCTCGCCGGCGTAGGCGCGCACGGTCTTGATGGCGGTCAGCGCCTCCTCCACCACGCGCCCGGCCGAGCCGTATGCCTTCACTTCTTGTTCGGAGCATTTTGTTTGGTACTGTGAACATAAAGGACTGTTAAGGAGCCAATAAATTTAAGGTATTTTCAGATTCTTCCACCCACGAAAGTTCAGATTAATCGTGGAGTATGTGAGTGTACGCCGCCACTGTCAACTACAGGAGCAAGGCCCTCTATCTAAGTCTTTAAACCAAATTGGTTCTGTGTTTCATTTCAAACAAAAGACTTGAACGTCTTTGTGAGGAGGCAGTGGATTGCTGACCAAGCTGCTGCTTCCTCATTTCTTCTTCTTCTCAGCCATGGTACGGTTGACAGAGTGGTCGTGGTCATCAACGAAGTGATTTTTTGTGAGCGGATGTCGGCTCTTCTTACGTTTCGTCATCTTTCCCTGCTGGTCAACTCGGTGCACTCGTGCTAGAGACCGCTCACAGCAGTTTTTATCAAGTCTAGAAATGTACCTTAAGACACAACAGCAGCGACGAGTATGGCAACAGGCACGACGGATAGCCCAGCCAGAGTCAGCTGCCAGCCGTAGTAGGAATTGGGTACCTCCACGTTGATCAAACTACTGTTAGGCTACTTGTTCCTCCCTATTCCCTATTAGACTACTTCTTTTTAACAGAAGGACGTCCATTGCGGACCAAGAATTCCATCCAGGTGCTTTACGTGACCTTTTCAAGCCTCATCGCATGACTTTAACATAGCTAACCTTAGACACGACGGCGGCCACGAGTATAGCCACAGGCACGACGGACAGCCCGGCGAGCGTGAGCTGCCAGCCGTAGTACAGCGACAGCGCGGAGCCGATGACGACGGTGCCGCACAGGAATGCCGTCATCGACACGTGCTCGCCCACGCCTGCCTTCAGCTTGTCCATGTCTCTGTGGAAATCAATGAATGAATTAAACTACAATTTGGTAGGGCCCAAAAGCTTCAGCTTAACCAACGCGTGCAGATCACGTCAGCGATGGCGATTACTGCGCGTGCACAGGCCATTGACTGGTCGCGCGCCCTGTCATGGTTGATAGCTTAAAACCAGATTTTTTTTTATCTTTGGACCTTCTGTCGTGGTCAGTTTCTGGTTAACCACTCAAAACGCGTCATCATGGCTTTTCTATTAAGGTGACCATAACGTGTTGTGATATTTTTTTCTTCAACACTATTACTTTTATGGGCTAGATTTTTCAGCAGTCGTGTGTGGGCAGGCCTCCCACTAGGTGGACCGAAGATCTGGTGAAGGTCGCGAGAGGTGCCTGGATGCGGACGGCGCACCGGTTTTTGTGGAAAACCTTGGGGGAGGCCTTTGTCCAGCAGTGGACGTCTTTTGGCTGAACGAACTGTCTAATTTACTTCTCCCAACAAAGCTTTTTGCTTTAAGAAATCGAATCCAAACTTACTCTGTAAGCGCAGTAGCGAAGTTCATGTCGGTGTTGGTGTCGAAGAATGCGACCTCCTGCGTGATGACGGTGCGCAGCAGGCGCAGCCGCAGTCGAGACACCTGCAAATCAAATCAAATCATTTATAAATGTAAAATATAGAACAGAATTCAAATGGTACATAATGAGTAGAACTCTATGTTTGTCCTATGAGTGGACTCCAAGCGACAATTTGGTGTTCTTTGATCACCCATGGATAAAATGACCTGGGTGATCAAAGTGGACTCCAGTTTAATTAATATTTTAGTTTCCTTTGATCACCTATAAATAAATTAGTTTAAATTACACCACTGAATAGTCAACATACCTACGTCATGTCCAATTGTTTGTTGCGGTTTTTAGAAAATATCAAAAAATGTTACAAAACAAAATATGGACATGAGACTATTCAAAGGTGTAATTTATTTATAGGTGATCAAAGGAAACTAAAATATTAAATAAACTGGAGCCCACTTTGATCAACTGGGTGATCAAAGCCAGGTGATCAAAGTGGAATAGACCGTGTACAAAGTCTCAGATAAGTAAAGATACAAACAAAACAACACAACAATGAAAGAGTCTTTGTTAGCTTGGCAACACTTCCTCAACCCTTATCCAGGCAGGTGGAAAGTATTATTTCCTGACCCTGGTTTGTTGTCAGTGGCAATACGCTTCCTTGAGGCAAGGTCACGCGTGAGGCGTGAGCAGTGCTGATTGAAAATTTTTTTGGACATTGGAAATGACAAAAGCTAAACATTTCTTAAGGCTAACTATGGTCCAGTTTCCACCAAGACGGAGCGAGGCGGAGAAATGTTTTGAATAACCAATCAGATCTCATTCAGATTGAATAAAATTGACATAAAAGCAATTTAGCATTCATTCATGATTGGGAACTAACTAAGGGAATTTTAGCATTCATTCATAACTTACTCAGTTCGGCATATACCTACTGCAAAGTTTAAAGGACAAGTGTGAGTCGGTATCATGACATAAAGGCGACCATTCATACTTACCTAACAGGTTTCTGTTGTGTTAATAACAAAGTCTACGCATCACCTCATTCATTGAATGAATGACTGAGCAAATAATGTAAACCAGTTCCAATAATGTCACCGTTTAAACTAGTTCTTTAGTAGCACTCTACATTTTACCAAATAGGTATAATATTGGATGTTCTCCTTTATTTTCTCTCCCTCTCTATTATACATATTTTTTTATTAGTTAAGTAGATGTTGTTAATCATACTTACTACCGCATTAAATTATACATCCAAGTACTGTCTGTACGTCAGTTTTTTTCTGTCAGTTCCACAACTTTTTTTCCAGTAGCCAGTGGGTTATGTGGGACTCTCCCCTCCAGAGAGGTGGTGTCTACCCTCATACAACCAATGGTGTCCTCGGGAGCCCAATAAAATAGAGCGAGTCGCTGTCCTTCTACAATATTCCCTTCAATAATAACCAGGGGCGTAGCTACTAAGGGGCAGTGCCCCGGGGCCCCCAAGCTCAGGGGGCCCCCGAATCCTTAACAGAAAATCTCAATTGAACTGAACTTTGAAAATTTCTCCCATTTTCAAAATAAATAGAGAGAAATTCGAAAGCTGTATCAGGAGTAAGTAAGCTTTAATGTCAATTTTGATAAAACCTAACCAGTTTAGATAGCAGTGGGGCCCCATTTTTTTATTTGCCTCAGGGCCCTCGGTTACCTATCTACGCCACTGATAACAACCTTCCCTTTGAATCACTCTATTGTTGGCAACTGCATTGAAATCCATCCAAACCTCTAAACCAGTGGTTCTTAATCGGTGGTCCGCGGACCACTGGTGGTCCCTGGAGGCATTCCAAGTGGTCCACGAAGACATCGTTATAAACAAGTGACATGACGTGATGAGTCGAGTCAACACAACGCAAACGGCGCACAGTGGGCGAGAAATCGACTTCCCCTTTCATAGGATTTTGAAAAAAATAAAATAAGTGGTCCCTGACAAGACAGAAATTTGGTAAAATGGTCCCTCGTGACTTAAAGGTTAAGAACCACTGCTCTAAACGTACAGACAACAGCAGTGGCATAGTTTTAAAGTACTTCTATGTAAAGAAGAGAGTCCCTCACCATCCTAGCGGCGGCCCAGTTGGCGAGCGTGACGGCGACGGCGGCGGTGGTGAGCTGCGCCGCCATGATGGCGAGGCTGGCCAGCCCGAACGCCAGCGAGTCGTCCACCAGCGCGTCCATGTGCGCCGGCCGGTTGCCTTCTGCACTGTGGACAGATATCATCATTAGCGGGTTGTTTAGTCTCTACTGCAGTCTTTCCCAAAGTGGGCGATAACGCCCCCTTGTGGGCGCTGCAGGCTTAAAGGGGGGCGGTAAGAGACCCAGAAAAAAATCGGGACGTTGTGTAGAGGCTTGGGAGGCGTCATCTACTAGGAGGACACTTAGACATCGACTGAGCTCGACTCTTGACTACAAAAATGGGGGGCGCTAAAAATAATTTATTCTCAAAGTGGGCAGTAGACTAAATAAGCTTGGGAACCACTGCTCTACTGTAAGAGCACTACAATCTAATTTACCAAAGGCAAATGGAGGATTTGGCCACCTCTACTCATGCAAATTATTCAGCTCATGGAGCAGTTTCGAATAAACGAAGGAAAATGCTTCGTGCGTACTCGTGAGTCTTTCTCTCTGTCTAACCTTCTTTCGCTCTTTATAGAAGATAAGGAAACGTGAGGAAACCCTTTTGCCCCTACCCAGGATTACACACAAAGCTTATGGCGCAGTTTCATACAAGTAACGTAGGAAATACGAAAAATGCATTGAGGTGAACTTTGTGACTGCTATCTCTCTCTATCCAGGAGCAAGCAGAATTAAACTTAAGAAAACGGACCTTGCACCTTGCCCCTACCTTGGGCAAAACGGACATACAGCATATATCATTACGAAAAGGTATGCAAAAGCTGACAGGGATGCTAAAGCTGAGAGGTATGCTAAAGCTGAATGGTATGCAATAGAAGAAAGGTATTCTACCCAAAATACAGCATTCCCCCCCTTCCAAAGATTTAAGCTTTAAGATACTCACAGCGTGGCCCCCCCTCCGAACAGCGGCAGTATGTACAGGTGGCGCGGCGTGGCGGCGGCTTTGTGACGTTGCACGAACAGTGACGTCACTTCCCCGTACGCCACGATGGCGCAAAGCAGCGCGCACGAGCTCACCGACCCCGTCAGCGCGCCCACAACTGTCGCCAGGATCTCCACCGGCCGCGCGTAGCGCCACTGAAAACCACAACACAAGTTACAATGAGTTTAAAATGTCAATCTCTAAAGTCCGGACGGTGAGCAGATAAAATTTTGTACAATGACCCCAAGCTACCCACACAATTACAACACTCCAACGGCAATGCGTAGCGCCATTTATTTCAGCTTTTAAACCAATTAATGGTTCAGGACTGCTACAGCTAACGTGGACCAGTGCTGAGAAGCAGCGTAAGAAACTGTCACTGAAACTATGTAAACAATGAGAATTCTCCCTCTGCAATGAGCGCCACTGCAAGCACCATTACAAAAAAGGGCTTTTTGTTTAGACGATAGACCATCGTACGACGGTGCTCAAAACGTCGCTGCAGCGCTGGAGAGTTCTTTCAAATACGACTTCGAGTTCAGTGATGGTTCACAAATTAAGATCACGTGAACAAGGCTAGCCGTGTGGTTCTAGATTCGTTTTTAACAGGACCACCCTCATTCTTCCCCTGGAAGGCGACTAAGGGACAAATATGCCAAAATCAGGCCTCCCCAACCCGTCTGACCAGTGTGGGGAGTGTAAGCCAAGTCCTCCATTGCTTCTGGTGAATTAAAGAGGGTCGTGCTCCTGCAGTGGAGACTAAATGACCTGATGACGATGACCAACATAATTATTGCGTTATTTATACCAACAACAATAGGACAATTCACAATTTATACCAAGAACACCATGACTGATAGTTCTGGAGGCGATGACAGCAAACGTCGTTTATTATCTTTGGCACTTGGCAGATTCATTGGTGCTTGGTAAAGAGGTACTTAACCTTAGAGGATTAACCAATAGGTGATTGCTCTATGGTTCTTCTGAATTGGATATTTTCAAGGATATTTTTATCCGACTGCGCCAGAAAGAGGGTTATGTTTTTCAAGTGTATGTATGTGGGTATGTATATTTCTTTGGCACGGCCTACAGCCTAAACGGCTTAACCGATTTTAGCGTGAGAGGTGTCGTTAGATTCGTCTTAATCGTGAGAGTGACACTGGCTATATTAAAATTGAAAAAAAAAGGCGAATTTTAGGCGCCATAATGTCTTCAAAAAAAAATTTTTTTTTCTCGGAACCTATCGAGTGGGGTATCAAAATAAAGGGGTTTTTAAGTAGCTTACAAAAATGTATGTTATTATCTTTTTAGTCATTTTTTTACTATGTATTTATAAATGCTTATTTCCCAATACTAAAATATAGTCAACGTAATCTTGAACAAGGTTTAATCACCTATAGTTGCGTCGGTCCAACATGCAGTGTCAATTCTTCCTGTACACGCAATCTGCTATTATTAATCTCAACTGTTAGTAATCGAAATCGATTATAGAAATAAAACTGTATACTACTACTGTACTGTAACTATTTATTTATTATTTATTTAAAAAAATGACTACAATCGTGCGTATGGGAATCTATATAATTAAGTATTTTAGCACCTAAAAGGTTAAAACCGATGACAGTTATAAGATACTAGCTTTTGCCCGCGGTTTCACCCGCGTGAATTTTATTTTGTCACAGATCATCATAAATTATAACCTGTTATATACGTTATTCTGGGTTATAAACAATAATAGGTACATACTGTAAAGTTTCATCAAAATCCATTCAGTAGTTTTTGCGTGAAAGAGTAACAAACATCTAGACATCCAAACTTTCGCATTTATAATATTAGTAGGAAGTAGGATCAATACACATAAAATGAAATAGCTTTCTGATAAATTAATTCAAGTTACATTAATTAGTTAACCGCATGCATGACTACAGTCGTGCGTATGCGAATCGAAATTAAGTATTTTATCACCTAAAAGGTTAAACCCGATGACAGTTATAAGATATGACCACACTGGGGAGTGACTCTTACTCTCGAAGAGGAAAATCAAATAAAAACAAATGGTAGTCTTCCACTGCCGCTGCGTCAGTGAACTGTTTATTTGCTAACGTTACGTTTGCGGAAAGATTTCAGAACGCGGTTAGATTAGGCTCTTACTTGCCCTTGAAAGGGTGAGTGACAAACGATACATTACTTAAAACATTCGACATAAACAAGATGGTTAAATTCATTTGAAAAAGTAAGAATTGAGGTCCGAATTCGAATTCACGACCTTTCGCTTGCTGGGCAACGGGACTATTCCCACCTCTCTTTCCCACCACTACAACTCCTGTGTAGCCAGGGTCTACAGCTTGACCGCCAATAAAAACCCAACCAGTGAAGGTCAAGTTTGTCCCGGGGGAAAGTTTTACTGCTTAAAGTTAAACATAGGAGTTCGAAGTTAAGGTTCGACTTCCCTCCGTTGCAAAGCGGATGACTGGTGACAAACAAAGGTTTAGTAACCTTTATGAAAAAGATATGCACCACGGACAATAAACATTAATTAAGGGGGCCTATCTTGCTGGGCAAGTGGTCGTCCACTAAACAATAGAATAGAGAGTTACCCACAGTCGCAAAGTATATTTCGAGACAGATTTATCATGAACTCTTTATTGTACACCACAGTACACCACATAAAATTGACTTAAAGGTGAACGAATGAACAACAAGTTAGATAATGGCATAAGTAGTTTAGGCTGATTAGAAAGCTGGAAAAGAAAACTGATCTTCAACATTGACCAATTAAATCTTATGAGTTGTAAAGCTCAAGTAATTATGCAGGTACAGAATTCCTTTCAGTTTTCATTCGCCCATAAAACTTAATGCTGACTAAAAATCTCAGAGCCGCCCATCATCGCCTTTTAAGTATTTCCTACGTATACAGATGCTGACTTACATTTATAAATGTCACTTCCTACCCATCACGTCTTGTTCATATTCGGTGTATAATCGAGTAAAAGTGAACTCGAGCGCATCGCACGCGGCTGGGGAAACCCCGCGCGCAGGCTGAGAAAGCAGGAAATGCGCGGTAAAGAAATAACTTTACTGCATCTTGGTGGATTCATTTTGGAGAAGAAATATTGGAGAGTTTTTAAATTATTGGATAATGAAATAAAACTACTTATTTTATTGTATTTAGGACCGTATAAGGCATTATTCAATATCCTACTAACGCCGTGGGCTCTGGCCAGTAAATTAACTGCAAAACCTTTATTCAAAACTTTATTGCATAGAAAAGGCGAATCGAAGACGTGTAGGTACCTACTTAGGCTGGTTTGCACCATCTATATTTAATTTTTACAATCGAAAAAAAACACCGGTTATCGTTATAATTATGATCAAAGTTAAGTGGTGCAACTCAGCCTTAGTGTATTGTTATTATTTTCAGCTTGTGAATATTTGTTTACATTTCTAAGTAAAGTATTACCAAAACGAGATCTTAATAATGGCTTGCACTGTCAAAACGTTGTCAGATCTTACGCCCGTATTCATAAACGATGAAGCAGCAAATCGAACGCACAGCGTTGAATAAAGCTATATGATTGGTTCGTGTGTCACCATGTGCGTCTACGCGCACTGTGAGACCTCATAGTAATGTTTGTGAATTGTAGAGCCTCTAGCTCTACAAGCCCTAAGCTACACAACCCACATAGTTCATGGCCAATCTTCACAAATAACTGCGCAAACTTGAAAACCATGCGATTTTCGCATGCCTGGATTTGAACTTGTAGGTATTAACCTCTCGAATTGAATGATATCTGTGAGAACAAGAGCCTTACTGGCTATACAGCAGTCTATTGTTCAGACTGAAGTTCAAATTGTCGCGACCTAGAGCCCATCGTCGGGTTCCCACGCGCTTGACTTTGGTTGTGTCGAGAAGGACACTTATTAGTACCGATTCGCGAATATTCAGCAGGAAACGAGTGTGGCCTCAGCAAGTTTAGGTCACAATGTGTGATTTGAAAATAATTGTTAAGAGATAAAAGTATGACTTCTTCTCAGCACTTGTCATATTGTTTGTCTGGAAGCACTCACACAGTAAGCCTCCGAAGGAGCTCTTGGCCTGTATCTGACTTGATGGTAAGTGACGATCAGGCGGAAGGTGGAAGCGAGCTTCACCCAGAATCCTCAACCACGGAGGAACTGGCTATCTTACCTCTAACTACCGGAACACAACAATGCTGTTAACATTGTTGTTATAGAGACAGACTTAGGTAAGATGGTGGTAAGTAGCTAGCCAGGCGGACTTAGAACAAGCCCTACCACCAACCAAACCGAACAGAAAAATCGTCCCCTACTGGGAATCGAAAATTAAGTACAAATAACAAACGAACAGTTAGAGATTTAAGAGATCTGGAAAAGGTTTCACTACCTATCTGTAAGTATGGAACCCTAAAATCTAACTAGATTCTTGGCTCTAGATGATTTTCACCTTGAAATTTGATTTCAATGGCTGAATTCGATTTCAGCGCTACTAAATGGTTAATTTAACAAATTATGGAATTTCCAGTACTTTTATAAACATTATTCACCCTATTGTTATTTATTAATGCTGGACTGAAACTGATTATGAAATTCGGTCCATTTCATTGTTTTCCGTGGCCATGGAAAAAATGGTTACTAATTTTAATGGATAATTCAAAATTTCAATGATTTAAAATACATAAACAAATCTATTAAAACTGTTACCTGTGTAATTAAAATAAAATAAATAAATAATTTTATTTGTAAAACTCTCAATCCTTTAGATTTAAGTTAATGAATGCATTGACTTCGAAGATCCCTTGACATCTAATCTCAACTGTCACTAAAAATATGGTAATGTACAAGTTAAATCGCTTTTGTTAGGAATGGGTTCACCACAATACTGCAGCAGTCCACGATTACTTAATATTTATTTATGTAAGGTATCACTTAAACACATTTCTACCCACAAGTAAGTATTTGTTTGCGCTACTATTTAGCTAATTACATACTTTTGTTTACCCAAGATAACACAATTTGAAAACAAAAGCTACTTGAGGTGATTCCCGGTTTCGCAGTTTGTAGGCCTGAGTCAGATTGCCCGATAAGCGATGTGACACCTCGGGGAAGTCAAGCAATTTTCCTTTTTGAGACGATA